AATTACTTGTTGGTAACCTCAATGGTATGAAATTAAGAACCTATCCAGAAAATGAAGCTGCCTTGAGTATGTTATGATACATGTCTCTGTGAGCACTGCAGAAAACCATTGTTGACAACCTGCCATCTGGTGTTATCACAGTCTTTTAAGGGTGTGAATCTTTTTTTTAAGCTCTGTAAACTGATTTTTCAATATTTTCATTTGAACACCAATCTGAGACATTTTCTAAAGATAATCATAAGCATATAGTCTTATTTTAATGTCACCTAATAGTCCAAGTAATGAAAGAGTGTAGCTTATTCAGTCATAATCTGAGAGTATACCCTCTGAGGCTTTGTACAATGTCCTATGGGTAATTAAAATGTATAATATATAAAAATTAATAAATAGTCCTTGCACTCAAAGTGAATATAATCCATTATATAAAGGAGAAATAAAATCTTCATGTGAAGTAGTATAAATGGTCTAAATGTGACATGCTAGTTTATCAGCCCAACTAAAGAAATAAAGTTTAATCAGTCAAATTTGAAGTATTCAGAGTGGTTCAAAACCCAGGGTTATTGAAACCTGTTAATAATAAATGAGCATCTCATCAGGAATTTTAGCTTCCCTTAAGCACTTTTTTTTTTAAATCACATCTTTAAACCACAAATGAAGCTCTTTAAATTTTCTCTAGCTTTACTCTTCTTTGTCTTTATGGAACCAGAAATGACTTAAATGTCAGTAAATTAAAAAGGAAAAGTAAATATAAGGAATCTCTATGAATCATAATTGAAAGGCAGTTTTTGAATTTGAGTTGGCTATTCTAAAAATTATTCTTATAAAGTCTACTTTTAGTAGTTTAATGACTTCAGATGAATTGCTATGGAAATGATGGTGCTAGAAAAACTTTAATAATATTTATCAAAGGTTGTTTTCTCTAACTAATGTAATTGAAAAATATTATATTGTGAAATATCCAGAGTTTGGGAATGTGGTACTCTGGATACAACTGAGGTAAAAATTGAGTAAAGTCAAGGGAAAATACATCAAAACATCCAAGTTCCTTGAGAAAATACATACAGCAACAATTTTCTATTATACGATTCATCAATGGAAAACTTAGAAAAGTAATTGATATAGTAGTTTCTCATATGATGTTGACCATTTACAGAAGTTTAATCCTCCTAGCACAATTAGAACATTGTGCTAATTTTCACTATAAAGTAAAGATGTTAAACAGAGTAGCCCAATTTCACTGATGAGTTATAATCATGATTCATAATGTTTCACCACTTAAATATTAACTGATAAATCTTTACTATATAATCTATTTACTTGGAGTCATTTTTACACAGGCAAACATCATTTTTTATGAGTTTTCTTTGTATCTGTCTAAATATACCAATCACCTACAGTGAAATGAGAGACAGCCATATGTTATTTGAATTGCTAATTCTGAGATCAACAGTTTGATAAAATGTTTATTTGAAAATAAAAGTGTTGAAATTTAAAGATTAGATAAGTGACTATAATTAACCTAATGAATTGAAAGTTCAGTAGAATTGTTTAAAGTCAAAATTAAATATATATTAATATATTTATGTATTATATTGTTACTTTATATACTGGAGAGATTTGTTCTATAGTTTCACTTCAAAAATAAATCATAGAGTGTGGTACTGTCACCATCTATATCCTACCAGAAATGAAAAACAAGGATGTTTAGCTGAAAGTTCTAAGAACCAACAAAATCTTCAACATGTAATAAAGCTATTCCCTGAAAACACACCTGTCGTTGGAAACTATTTTCTCTAAATTAAGACAAATAAAATCTGTTTATAACTGGCTAGACAAAAATGTAATAACAGCTTGAAGCAAAGCTTTTTCCTTCATAATGTTAAATTTGGGAGATATTCTGTGAAGGTTTGAAAACATTCATGAATCTATTAGAAATAATCTCACCTGGGATTTGACTAGGGATAAACCCGGGAATAAGCCAGGGTTTGGAGATGATAGGGCCGTGGTTTCTTCTCTGATGCAAATTCCATTACCGTGTGGCTCTTCTTGCCTCTACTGTCCATTTTTTCTAAAAGGTAGCAGATGTAAGGGTTTCTTTTATATGAGACACAGGCAAAAAAAATATATCAGAGTAGAATATTATATAACGCATGTGTGCAAACAGTCTATATATAAAGGGGTCTCTGATACTAAAATTCAGTACTTGGTTTTAAAAAACTTGAAGTTGAGGAGCCAGGTAAAAGTTCACTGAAGTTGTCAGCAGTTTTCTGATTCATTTATATGAAGATTGCCTTTTGTTCCGTTAAAATAAAAATCTTCAGTGGCTACTTTGATTTTGGGAAAGCCACAATCCTATCACACAGTGGAGGTGCTGGAGGTGATGAGGAATTAAAATGCTCTTATAATGATGTTTCATTATCAGCAGAGTTGCACCCTGGGGAGTATTACTATTGACACAGAGAGAGGCCTGTGATTGCAGAAAAAGAAAACCATTTACTCTGTTCTTACACTAGCCCCAGAGAAAAGAAGAGATTGACTTTTGAATTACATGGGGGATATAAACAGGTAGATGATAGGACTCTAAGGAGAAAAACTAAATGGCAGACTATACCCTTTGTCAAAGGCAATGGCTTAAGGATCGTAGAACTGTGACATGCTTGATGGCTACACTCTGATTCACACAGTGGAGGTTATTTATTGAGTTTTGTATTCCAATGAAGCCATTTATTAACTATGGTCCACAGGTGTTCCTATCTTCAGCTTTTCAGCAATCTTTACTGTTCTTGTACATGGAAATGGTGGTCTTGGTAAGGATAATACCATATCTAGGAAATATTTAAGAAACGTGTGGGAGCATTTTTGGTTGTCCCAGTAATGGAGAAGAACTACTGCTATTCAGTGGCTGAAGACCAATTATTTTAGATGATCTCCTACAATTGTTAAGTCACATGAAACAAATAATTTTTTTACCACCTGTATGATTTGAATGCCCATCTTTCATATAGTCTAAAGCAAGTTAATGATCCAAAGCTGTAACTGTGTAAGACATAGAAAACTAAAGTATTTTTGGTCCAATTTTGAAGCCCACTAAGTGATTTCAGGATTGCAAAAATTATGTACAATACAGTAGACTTAAACAATATTATTTTTGAAAATTTACCGATGGCATTATTCACCATTTTTGAAAATGTGTCACCGTGCAACCACATTCCAAATATATATTTTTATTGAGTTTCAAAATATTATATTAATTAAAAATAGACAAGAGGTTCAACCAACTCAACATTTTAATATGTTAAATATAGTTACTATAACTAATATGTACTCATGTTCCACTCACACATTCTTGTGCACATTGCACTCTCCCTCCACCAAACACCCTTGCCAATACCCTATCTACTCCCCTCCCCCCTGGTCCCTCTGGTAACTAGCAAATTGTTTTACTAAGTCACTCCAAGGATGGGCACAAACATCAGGTATCTTGAGTGTAGCCACTTGAAACATTTATATATGCTCAGTATTTTATCACAAGATTTTTATTTTATTTTTCCTTTATTTTAAATGTTGGGCACTAATGTATTTGTTTAAAATGCTTTACTAAATCTATTGCTTGGTATTTATATTCTTGCCATTTTTTTTTATTTTCCTCCTCTTTCCTAATCTACTTTTCAACTAACTGAATTAGTTATTATGTCATTTTACTAGTGACTTACCTTTTATTTTTTACTAAATGATAAAGGTTAACAATATTATACTTTTTGAAGTTGTCTAAGTTTTCATTCAAATAAGACTCATTACATATTATTTAAGAGCATTACATTAAGAACTTTCATCTCCTGCCTTCTGTCCTTCGGATTGTTTTCGTATGTCTGTGTGTTATGAGCCCCACAGATCACTGTAATCATTAATTTTTGGATATTAATAGATTTTTATTTTACCAAGTTTATAAAGATATAATAGACAAATAAAAATTGTATATATTTAAGGTGTATGGCTAAATAAATTACAGAGCATTTGTACCTCTGAGTATTATACAGCAACTAAATAGAATGATTGACTCAGAGATTTTGTATTGTTGGTGAGAAAAATCAAGATACAGGGAAGTATAAATAGTAACATATATTTTGTAAAATAAGCATGATATAATATTTATATGAGATGTGTGAAAAATATGGAAACATGCATACTAGGCTCTTGCCATGTGCTATTTTGGGGGCTAGGAGATCATAAGGTCATGAAAGTTATAGGCAAAGATTAAAAGAAGGAAAAAAATACATGAGTTCACATAAGTAAAATTTCATATACCTCTAAGTTTATATATTAAGAATTACATCTTTAATAATAAAGTGTTAAATAAATGAAAAAAGTAAGATCACCTACTAAAACGAAATGGCTTTGACTAGTAAAAATTACTACTGGACTGTTCATCTGAAAAAGTCATCAATTAGAAGTATGCTTTGGGAAAAAGTCAATTTCCTACTAAGTGTCTCAGTAAATTCATTTGTTATATTTTTCTAAAACTTGCTTACAGGTTTTTCAGTCTTACAAAAAGTACAATGTTGACACCCCTGAGGAGGGAGGTACTTATGATCTGTCCTTTATGCCTGAGTTACCGGATTAAGATTCAATTTCTTAGGACTTTGGCTGGGCGTAACCCACAATAGTCCGTGCCCAAGGAGGGAGGTTTAGGAAGCTCAGCTTAAAAACAAAAAACAAAAGCAAAAACACAAGTCTGAAGCATATATTTTTAAAAATATATTAAAGACTATAAAGTTAGAGACAAAATTTCCTCTAACAAGAATAGATGTTTTTCTCAATGTTAAGTTTTTCCCAAAGCAATCTGGTTGGATTGTTTCAGTCATAACTCAAAAGGCTGCAATGCAGTGAGAAACATACATTTTATTACACTCTAAATCTTATGGAGCAATTTTTATTAAAACTAGAAAAGTTTAAACTCTAATGACTTCAAGTAATAGCTTTCTGAAAAAAGCTGACTAGTTAACATTAAAATACAGAAACTATTCCTAAGATAGAAAAAATTATTCTCAATACCTATCTACCAACAGGCAAAGCCACAGATCATTACACATGGCATAAAGAATAAATTTGGATAAGGGATAAGGAATAAATGGGAGAAGGAATAAATTCCTCTTTAGAACAAGCACAGTAGTATCTAGCGTCTCCTGCTTACTTTTTCTTTGATTTCTTTTTTCTCTGCCCATCAGGGGCCTGTGCCTTCTTCTCTGGCTCAGCCCGCTTTGCGGCTTCCTCTGCAGCCAGCTCCTCCAGTCGGAGGCGCTCAGCTTCCAGCAGCTTGTTTCTGTACTCTTCCCTGATGTGGAAGATCTTCTGCCGCTCATCATCTAAAGAATCCTATTCCAACACACAACCCCAATTAAGTCAGTTACACTGACAAAAGGTTATGGTGCCAGAAAACAAAACAAGAAACAAAAACGTAACGACTTTATCCCTTCCTTATGCGATAGATTCACATGGGCAGTGATTAAGGAGTGATGAAAATTAGGTCGTGTTCTCAAATGTCTATCAATATATAAAACATAAGCTAGCAACAAAACCTTCGTGAGGGGGGGCCTCCCTGGTGGCCAAGGAGTTATAAGTCTCAGTGCTGTCACCACTACAGCCTGAGTTCGATCCCCCGGCCAGGGAGGTGACCCACATGGCGCAGCAGACCTCTCCTGTCACCCCCGCTGCTCCCCTCAGCAGTGCATTTGAGTACATCTGCCTGTTCTGTTCCCCACTCTGTCTCTGGTGAATCCTCTCTGCCCCCCATCTCTGGCCTACACCCCAGTTCTTCTAAGCCAAAAAAAAAAAATAATAAAGGTAGTTTAGATCTTAACAGAATGGTAAATAAAAGTATTGGAGAAAATCAAAGAGAAAGGTGAAGAGAGAAACAGGTAAAGGTTTTAGGTAAAGCAACTATCTGCTTTAAATGAGTTCTAGTATAACCTATAAAGAACAGGAGGCTCAAAGTCTCTCACCTACTAACTGCTCAACAAATTACTAGTTCCCACATGTATTCTAGCTCTGAAAAATATGTCTGAGCTGTACTTGAAGAACTTTCAAATAATACCACCTCATCCCTGGGTTATTGCTGCCATTGTCGGTTTGTTTTCATTCCCACTACTCCAAAATAACTTTATCAAGGAGACCAGTGACCTATATGTAGTTAAACCCAAGATCATTTCTAAATCCTATTCTTCCTCTCTCCTCCTGATGAACTGATTTCACCTGGCTTCTTGGACACCACACACCTCTTGAACTTGTCATGGATCTCACCAGCTGCTCCCTCTTAGTTGCCTTTGCTGATTTCTCCTTCATCTCTTTGTGTTGAAGTGACAATGTTCAGGGTCACAGGCCCCTTCCCTGTGTGCTGTCATTCAACCCTCTAGTTAAATTACACTCATGTATTTTTGGGCCCCCAATTTTTTTAAAATCTCCAATACTTATCTCTCTGTCCCAAATTTAAGAGCCAATAGAGAGTGCTGAACTTCTACTCAACACCTTCACATGACTATCTGATATATTAAAATGCCCATTTTGATATAAAAGCTATATCTAAAATTGTTCAAAACTGATATCCTCATCTTTGTTCACAGACCATCAGATTTGAGAGTGACTCAAACAATCAGTTGTTTAGGGAAAAAAAAAAAAAACAACTATTTGCTAGCTCCTCTCTTTCTCTTATAATACAACAACTGATCAGGAAATCCTGCTGTCTCAACTTTCAGAGTAACAGTGCCCAGTTGTTGCTCACCACCTCTGCCTCCCACCTGGTGCACCGCCATTACATCTCACACACTCAAGGCAAGGAAGTCCTGTGTAGCTTAGAGATGGGGATACTTTCTGGGAACTGCCTCATTAAGTGATTTTGTTGTTGTGTGAACACTTATCAGCAGAAATTTTGAACACTTTGGGGCTGCGATGAACCAAACAACCTGAGATTAAATCAAGCAGGGAAAGTGATGCCCTCAAGGGAGCCATTCCTTGATGTATGAGGCTATTGCTGGCATAAAACATAGGACATAGACAGCTATGAAGTCAAGAGGTGGCAGGGATTTGGGGACCACTGCAGTTCATGGTGGTCCGTCCTTGATCAAACGTCCTTTTGAAATGCATGATTGTGGCCTCTGCACAGATGTCTCTCTCTTCTTTTACATGTGCTCACTTTTCTGTATCTTTCCCATGCATGTGTGTTGCAGACAAGAGGGAAGAAAAAAATCATTCTATTTGGTGGAAGTTCATCCATGCACATTTACTGAATTTTCCCATTCCCAGTTTGGTACCTTTCAATTAAGTCTGATCTTTCATGCTGCAGAAATGTCTGGATAAAGCCCCTCTGTTCTCTGTTCTGCTGGACGTGTGATGGAAAGTTGAGGTAGAGAGCTGCAGTTCTAACTGCTGAGGAAACAGCTTTAATCTGAATGTTGGAATAACCGTGCATTTCTTCCTCTCACTTCACTTTCACATCCTAATATGGCTGGTATCTCCAACTTCTGAGCTTTTGGGAGACTCAATGAAGCAAATTAGGTGGATCTGAAGTTTTTCTTTTATTTTCGGCTTAGGATTTGACTGTCTCAAGTCTGAATATGATCTTCATCCAGCTATTTTGCAACTTCACATATTTTGTTGTGTTCTCTGTCATTCTTCACATCTTTGTGGATAGATTTCCAATAATGCATTTTAGAGGGGTTTTAGGAAGTTGGTAAAATTAGCTGTGTATATGCAATTTGCCATCCTTTTTTTTTTTTTAAAGATTTATTTGTGCATAAAAGAACTGGGGTGGTGTAAGCCAGGGGTGCAGAGGGGGTGGTGAAAGGATTCACCAGAGAGAGTGGGGAGCAGAACAGACAGATGTATTGAAATGCATTGCTAAGGGGAGCTGTGGGAGAGACAGGAGAGGTCTGCTGCATCATGTGGGCTGCTCCCTGGCCAGCCAGGGATGGAATTTGTGCTGCAGTGGCTGGTAGAGCCTGACAGCGCTCTTTAACCCCTGCACCACCAGGGAGGCCCAATTTGCCACCCTTTTCAAGAAGTTGTGAACCAAATGCTTTTAAGACATTTTAATATGCATATGCCATATTAATATTATAAAGTATTCTATCAACTATGGTCCATATATGCTCTTATAGACTCACCCGCATTTCTCCATACATCCTCAGGATTTCTTCCTTTAACTGAGACCTTTGCTCTTGGTTCCAGTTTCGGATACTAAGGATTCTGGTCCTGTATTGCCGGAACTGATGAATCTCCTCTGCCTTTTCCATTGCCTGCTGCTGGCTGAGTTCCTCTGTTTGCAGCACAGGCTCACTTTCTGTTTTCCTTGAGATGAAAACATCAAAAGAGATCTATACATCACTTGAGAATGCCAGAATGAAACTTAGCACTCAGTTAAAAATCCTATCAACAGTGTGGTGGTCTGAATGAAATCAAATATTAGAGATAGAACGAATAAAACATTATTTTCAAATGACTATTCTTCATTGAGTTGCTGAAATTTTAGGAAATTATTTTCAAAAGCATCAGTAAATTTAGAAGTGTTATTCGATGAGGTGATTTGTGTTCACAACTGTGATAATATTTTCCATTTTAATTTTTGTAGCTCAATAATCTTGAATATATTTTAGAGCTTTTCAATATACCCAAGTAAAAATCTCTCTCATATCTGTTTAGTTCTTAAGAAAACTGAATCAAATTTAAATAATAGCAGCAGGTTTAGTGGTTATTTTCAATACTTAAACTCACCTTAATCAAACTACAAATTAAATCTTTATGGAAAACATTTAATAACTTTTATGACTGACTTAAAAGTTTTTTGCTAAATCTGAGATGGAAAATCATGTGCTTCTAAAATTTTAGATTCACTGAAATTTATATTAAGCTTTAATTTTCAAATTTTCAATGGTTTAGCAACTTCTCATTGGCAATGTATTCAAAACTCTATAAATGGGGATGTCTACATTAATCATACTTATTGAAACTTACCGTAGGTATTGAGTTATGTCTATGTTCTCTAGCTCTTTCTGAATAAGTTGTGGAGACACTGTGAAAACTGTCAGGGATTGTGAAAAAGGCCCTGTTTAAAAAAAAAAAGTCTTAGACATTTAAAAAAGAATCAATAATGATTAACTAAATGATGTTATGTCTCATTTTAATTGAAAATAGTATTTTCTGTTAACAAAATCATTGATTGGACTTGGCTTACTTAATATGGTTTTAATGTGGTTGCCGGGGTAGAATATAAATGTGTTTTAAGACACAGAGTCATTCCTTCAAGAAATATTTAACCCAATGAAGTAAAAAATATGTAAGTAAACACTGCAAAGCAAATCAGTAAGAGCTTTGACTCCATAGATCCATAGTAAACCTGGTAAGAAGAGACTTGAGACATAGACTGAGTCAAAAACATTAGCTATTTAACCTGTTTAGATCATTTCATCTTTTTCAATTATTGAAGTATAATTTACATACCATAATATTCACCACTTTAACAGATATTTTAAGATTTTAGTAAATTTACAGAGTGGTGCAACCAACACAAAAATCTAATTTCAAAACATTTCCATCATCTTTTTTGTTCTTTCAAAGCCATTCTTCATTCCCAAGACAAGTTCCAGGCACACAATAATCTATTTTGTATCTCTAAAGTTTTGTCTTACCTGCATGTTTCACAGGAGTAAGGTACTTTGGTAAAATTATGTTTGACTTTTAAAGAAACTTTCAAATCATAATGCTTTAAGTACCATTATCTTCACAATATATTCTGAAGTCACAAAGGAAAAATTCTCCCATTTGGTTCTTTTTCTTTTAAATAATTGGTTTATAAAACATTATATAAATTTCAGGTGTACAGTATTACAATTTAACATGCCATCTAATGAATCTACCAAATGTCTAGTTTCCATCTACACCCAAGAATTGATCCCTTTTACCAAATACGCCCATCCCCCAATCTCTTTCCCTCTGATGACCAACCTTTGCTCCCATTATCCATGATTTTGTTTTTGTGTGTTCATTTGTTTATATTTTTATAAGATTCAGGTGTACAGTTGGTAATTCAACATCTGTATGTATTACATTATGATCACCACTGAAAGTCTGCTTCCCATTCATCACCAAACTATTCATTCTATCCATTTTACCCACTGCTACCCTCCCACCAAGTGCCTCTCTCTGGTAATGATATTATGTTTTCAGAATCTAAGGGTTTGATTTTTTTTCCACTTGTCTCCTTGCTTGTTTGCTTTCTTTATTTATCTTCCACATGAGTGAAGTCATATGATATATGTCTTTCTCCATTTGACTTATTTGACTTTAGCATATTCCGTGTAAGATCCTTCCATGTTGTCATAAATGGCAGGATTTCTTTTTTTTTTTTTAATAGGAGTAGCATTCCAGTGTGTGTGTGTGTGTGTGTGTGTGTGTGTGTTTGTGTGTGTGTGTGTGGTGGATGGAAACTAGACTTTTGGTGGGGCCATCACATAGCAGGCTGAGTTGTAATGCTGTACACCTGAAACATACAATGTGCATGTCTGCCCATCAGTGGGCATTTAGGTTGTCTCTATTCCTTGGCTCTGTGAATAAAACTGCAATGAACATAACTTTTAGTTTTATTTAAATGGATGATCTGGGAGTTTTTTTTAAAAAACCTTCACTTGCTCAAATCCCTGCTCCTACTCCTTTCAGAATCTTTGAAGTGGGTGCGATAAAGGAATGAAAGGGTCTGAATTATTAAAAAATATTTCTTGAGCGCATACTTGTATTCCTTTTTTTTTTGGATTTATTTATTTATTTATACAAGAACCGGGGTATAGGCCAGATGCACGGGAGGGCGAGAGGATCCACCAGAAACAGAGTGGGGAACAGAACAGGCAGACTGCGAAATACACTGCTGAGGGGAGCAGAGGGCAAGACAGGAGAGGTCTGCCATGCCATGTGGGACCCTCTCTGGCTGGCCAGGATCAAACTGGCACTGCAGAGGCTGCGGACAGCTTCACAGTGCAGCGCTCAACTGCCTGTACCACCAGGGGAGGCCCACATACTTGTATTTCACCAGAATCCTTTACTATTCTAAATGTGTCTCTGCTTCTAACTCAAATTGAGGAAATGTGAGATCTTTTAACAGTTTCTCAACACCAAACTATATTATTTTACATCATTTATAAATATATAGTATGTTGGAAATAAATGAAGTATGGGAAATTAGCTTACATACCTTCAATCAAGTTAGCTAATATATTTGTGTATTGTTTAAATAATGCAAGGAACAGTAATGTCATACTTATATTATTTGACCTAATACCTTGCATTTTCAAAATGCTTTACATCATTTTCTAAAAATTTAGAGCTCAAAAAAGAATGTAGGCTACAACTTTGATGTTACTGTGGAGAAGAATGGAGCTATCTAGACCTAATCTGTGACTAGCAAGCTATCTGAAAATTATTTAACTTATGAACATTACTTTGTATATGACTATGATTTGGGGTATTATTCAGGTATACATCTTATATTAATTTACTTTTAAAAATTATTATGCTAAGGCATTATCTTATTAAAGGACATCAATAAATTCTCATAAATTCCCACTGAATGAATTACCTTTTCTTTAAGGATGGGAGACTTCTAAAATTTGACAGCATTAAAGTTGTAGAATAAAGCAATTTCACTCTTAAGTATCTATCCATAGAACACAGAAACACTAATTCAAAAGGAAAGTAAATGCCCATGTTCATTACACCATAACCATTTACATTCATCAAGCTGTTGAAACAACCTCAGAAGGTTCAGATACAGATGAGTGGATCAGGAAGGTGTAGTGCATACACACAATGGAATACTATGGGAATCACATAAGGATATGCTTTAGCCATAAACTGTTTTAAGTACTAAAAGTCTTAGGCTGCTCTAGCAATTTGGAAAAGAGAATCATTGTTGGTGAGCGTGGAGATGTCTCCTTCCAAAATAGTCCCTTTCCTGGCTGTGTTCTGAACCAGTAGATATGTGACTGGAGAAATGAAGTGTCCTGTTTGAGGCCAGGGGCCATTTTCATGGGATGCTAGAGCAGGCCAAAGCCTCCACACCCTAAGTCTTAAGTAGTGCCTCCGACCTAAGGCTAAGCAGTGGACTTAGACTTGCCATGTGAGTCCAGTGCATTCTTTCCAAAGGTATCAATCAGATAAGATACTTGGCATCCTTAGCCACAGAAAGACAAGTAGTTGCTTAGGGGGAAGTCCTTCCTCATAGTGACTAGGAATGTGACAGACATTTCACTGTAACACCTTCCAAGAAGGATTTAGGTTCATTTTAGTGAATAAATGCAAATCCACTTCACACAGAAATAATCCAAGTTAGGGTGTGGTTTGCATACCATGGAACATTTCTCTTCAACATTTTGGATTCCAAATAACTAAAACTTGTTATATAAGGTACAAAGAAAATCTAATGTGTATCATACTACAGTAAAAAAAAAAAAAAAAAGATCTGTGTTTACGACAATTTTATATATAATAACTGTGGTGGTCTACTGTTGGGGTGAGGCCAGAGGCGCAACGGTGAAATAATTTACCAGAGACAGAGGGGAAGACAGAAAAGGCAGATTTTGAAATACCCTGGAAGGGAGCAGTTGGCAATAGGAGATATACATCTATGGGGAAAGAAGGATTTGGGGCTCTCAACATGTTTCCGTGGGCTTTTTCATAAGTGGGGGAGTCGGTCTCTGCTGGTTGTTATCTGTTGGCTCATCAGGTTTTGGTGGGTTTTCTCACAAGTGTCCTGCCTGGTTCTGTTTGCCTGTTTCCACATTCCCCAGAATTCTCCATAGCTCCCTATTGGTCATGTGGACCCATGGCTACTCCATCAGTTTCTCATCTATTTTGTCTCTCCCGGCATTGTTCAGCTTGAGCAAAGTGCCGAGACTATATTTTAACTCTATTAAATGACACCCCAACAGGCACTGCAATTTTATCTTCAAGATTTGTAGACACAAACAACAGTACAAAAATACACCTACACTTTATTTATTTTTTTTTTTTTTGGAAGTTTTCAACAATACTTTAATGACCAAGTTCAAAGATTGATAATTTATGCCAGAAATTTTGAACAACATATCTTAATTTTGCCCTATTTCTTTTTTTTTTTTTATTAAATTTTATTTTTATATTCCCCCATACAATTGCAAACGCCCCATTCTGACCCCAATCCTTCCCCTCCCGCCCCCCACCCCCCAAAAAGTGTCTCTGGTTCATAGTTTTTTGTTGATTTTGATTTTCACTTTCTTATATTCATTTTCCTGGTCCCTTATTTAAGTTTTCTAGATTCCTGCTATGAGTGAGACCATCCGGTATTTTTCTTTTTCTTTTTGGCTTATTTCGCTGAGCATGAGCCCTTCCAGTGCCATCCATGTTGCTGCAAATTGCATGTGTTTATCTTTTTTGAATGCTGAGTAATATTCCATGGTATATATGTACCACATCTTCTTGATCCAGTCATCTATTTTTGGGCATTTGGGTTGTTTCCAAAGCTTAGCTATTGTAAACAGTGCTGCTATAAACATAGGAGTGCAGGTGCTCTTTGGAATTGATACACTTTATTTTTTAAGTTTTGTCTGCTTTTATCTTTAGGTAAAGACTCTAGTAATGAGGTCCTAGAGTAGATTATCAGCACCAGTAAGCGAAAGGGAGAGCTATGAATCCAAAGTACATGTTTCCTATGTGATAAGCTTAGCCATCATATGTTTAAGTTACTACCTTTGCCAGAATTTCTACTTCAAAATATTCATTTATGATGGCTGTCTACAGCCACTGCACCATGAGTTCAATCCCTGGCCAGGGAGTTACCCACATGGTGCAGCAGACCTCTCTAGACTCACCTGCTGCTCCCCTCAGCAGTGTATTTCAGTAGCTCCACCTATCTGCTCCCCACTCTGTCTCTGGTGAATCCTCTCACCCCACACCTCTGGCCTACACCCCAGCTTTCGTGTGCACAAATAAGTAAATCTTTAAAAAATATATTTGTTTATAACAATGATAATGACAGCAACACTTCCTACCTTTTTCTTTCTGTTCTCGTTCCTCCTTCCCTGCTGCAGATATTCCACTTTCATTGTTCATCATTTTTGCCAGATCCCTGAAACCCTTAGTCATTTGCCACTTCTTCCACAGTAAGGAGCCTGATGGTATGGTCTCTCTGGTTTCCAAACGCTCAGAAATCTTGGAGCCTGGCTCTTTCAAGGCACTTGAAGATGTTTCCACTACAACATGAAATGTGCATTACTGAAAACACTTGTGTGGGATAACATCACATGCAACAAGTAACAGGGCTGACGGGAGCACAGAACTGGAGCAGAAGACTGGAGGAAAGCTTCCCAACGTCTAGCCAGAGCAATCCCAAGTAATCCATGGTACCTCAGAAGATGGCATAGATGGCCCTGGCAGCCAGTCTATATAGAAGCTGCCTCAAGATGGGATAGTAGGGACTTTTTGGAGGTGAGACATGACAAATAGAAAGGGGCTTTCTGGACCAGTGGAGCTGCTGTTAGGTGGGGCACGAGAGGCGTGTGCTTGGAGAGGGCTCTTCTCTCTGGGGAGGGAATCCTGTGTATAGAAACATGGTGACATGTCCCCCTTTTTGAGACGCATATGGTGTCATATTTCACTCTGAATGAGTGGCAGTACTAGGTTAGTGCTTAAGAGCAGGGAGACATGGTGGAAAAAGAGGAAGTCATTCAGTAGTCAAAAGTTGGTTCTTTAAAAATGTTGTTAGAACTGGTGCACTCCCTACAGCAAGACTGATAGAGGGTTAAGAAGAACTGGTGCACTCCCTACAGCAAGACTGATAGACAGTTAAGATAAAATTTGTTGCAGGAAGTTTAACTTAGATAAAATAGACAAACTTCTTGTAAAACAAAATTTACTAGCCCTAATTCAAGAAGAAATATAACGGCATATAGAGGACAAGCTGATGAGTGCAAATACATGAAGTTCAAGAACAGGCAAAATTAATTGATGGTGATAAAGGTCACTCTGGTATTTACCTGAAGGAGAAGATGACTGGGAAGGGAATGAGGAGGACTTGGAGAATTTTTAAGTGTTTTATATCTTGATCTGAAGGTGGCTCCTGAGTGTACACATATGAGGAAATTCATCAAGCTGACCGATTCAGATCTGTGGCTTTATTACGCGTAAGTCGTAGGACTAGGCCAGAATCCTTTGACCCCTATGTCCTCTAGTTCTTCTCTTTGGAAGGAGATCTCAAGTTTAGCAAAAATTCTGCTGAACTGATTTATTACGAACCCACACACTATTTATTTATAGTCAAGCAGCCCTCTCCTCCCCACTTTAATCAAGTTCCTCTTCTCCGACCTTGACACCCAACCAGGTTCCTCTGGGTAATTTTCCATCCACTCCTTGTCCTGCTTGTTGGCCGAATGTCCCATTTGCCCAGTTCTATGAAGTTAAGTTCAATGTCTCTGCTATCACAATAGTCCTGAATTTTTTCTCGCCATTTTAAACATCTGTCCAGAGCAATGTAGATTTTTACTTAATAGTACATTTTTAACAAAATTTAGAGCCTAAAAGCCAAGAGCTGCAGTCTATTCATCTCTGTATTCCTAGACTTTAATGATCAGGGGTGTGAGTGCATTAGGAGTTAGAAATGTTTCAGATGCCAACTTCGTCACTTTTTAAAGGTGGGACTTAGGAAAAACAAGGCAACTTTGAGTTTGGTCTCTTTATCTGTAAAATGGGGGTAGTTATGTCTACTTCTTAATCACTGTAGGTTAATGTAGGGTAATAAACAAAAGGCTTTGAACAAATGCTCTCCTCAGGATAACATGATTAGGGTGATATTTGTTGTTCTGTACTCTTCACATAAAAACTTAAAGAACATTATTTTTATAACAGTTATTAAGTTATACTCCTGCAGATGTGAAAGTGTAAAAGCATGACTTGGTATGTGACTATCTTTAGACTCCCTAGACACAGCCCCCTGTAGTAATGGACTGAAGCAGCCAGGTGTTTATGAGAAGACACTGGGTTCAGAGAGAGCTCTGTCTCTGGGTATCTTAGAATATTACTCTGGACCTGTATCCTTATTTTTTTTTAAAGATTTATTTATTTATGTGTACAAGAACTGGAGTGCAGGCCAGAGGTGTGGGGGCGGTGAGAGGATTCACCAGAGACAGAGTAGGGAACAGAATAGGCAGAATGACTGAAATACACTGCTGAGGGGAGCAGCAGGGAGACAGAAGAGGTCTGCTGTGTCATGTGGGTCAGCTCCCTGGGCAGGGATCAAGCTCATGTTGCAGTGGCTGGTGATAGTTTGATAGTGCTGTCTTTTACCCCTACCCCACGAGGGAGTGGGCCTGTATCCTGTATTTGTCAGTGGGTTGATGTAAGTAGAAAATGAAATAATTAGTATTTTACAGTTCCAGGCCCAAGGCAATAACTTAAAGCAGTTAGTTTTACTATTATTATAACTATTAGTTATAATAGTTTTACTATTATAATAGTTTTACTATTATTATAACTATTATTTACTGTTCTTGTTATTAGAAAGTGTTGTCAACTTCATATACCACAATCTTCTACTCAGATTGTACCCTGATTTCTGGTTTATCATTTTTTAAATAGGGAAAATCACATCTGTGGGGGACAAGGAAAACATAAACTGGGTAAAAAGAAAGCATCTCAAATTTGTGTGGACTATGAGTGATTTGTTGGTTACCGCCCCTTGGCGGGGATAGCTGAGGGGGGCTCCTATGCTTCCCAAATACCAACAATAATGTCAGCCAATGTTTCTTTCTATTTTCTTACAGGGTGGTATGAAACTATTTACAATGCTTGAAGCAGTACAGTCTGAAATGTTTTCTTTTCATCAAGTAAAGCTTGCTACCTTTTAAAGAAGTGCAAATAGGTGGCAGGACACTGACCTTCTTCCGGTGGTTTAATCTGGCTTTCGGACACAAAGACATTCTCAGCATCAGGTATTTTCTTAAGATACTTGGTCACGTAACGCAGACGAGCCTGCAAAGCCTGAAGAACAAACATGATCAACCAACAGTAGAATTGATAGCATCTGCCTACTCTTAAGAAAACAGGAAAATGTGCATGTGTAGGGCAGTTTGAACCACTGAGGCTCTTATTTTCACATAAACTCAAATTCTGAACCCTCCATGATTGTGATAATTATTTATGAGAACTAATGAAGAAGCAGCCTTAAAACTAATTCCCTGGGCAGGCTGCCTCAGAGCCAGTGTCTCCAGAACCTTTTTCATCTGCCTCACAAGCTCTGAATTGGAACATGAAGTGCATGTGATAATGTTTCACTCTGTTAGTGATTCTTATATACACTGTAGGGCTTGGGAGGCAAGAGGTATGTGTGTCCAGCAAGGACCAACACCAGCTCTGCATCTAGGGCTGTGAAATTCTGTGTACTTTCTTACTGGAGATCCTCAGGGACAGATATGGGTACAGCACAGATGAAATGAAACCCACAGTTGTGTCAACAGCGACACGATTACATGCTTTGCTTTTGCAAATCATCTGGTGTCAGGAGGGTGATAGCTCATAAGATGTCCAGGTGCGGTGCTAACATTTAGGTGGTCCATGTATCACAAAATTTCAGAGACCTTTCCTAAAGGAAAGACCATGTTGCTTCTCTAGTGTGGCTCTTCCCCCAGACCAAGCTTAGGGATTAAAAGTAAAAGTACAACTTTTCAAGCCATGGTGACCTTAATTGACCGTCCTGGCTCGGCCATCTCCCAGGCCTGCTTCATAGCACGGATTTCATCTGCTCGCTCTGTATCTTTTTTCACTTCAATAAACTCTGCTTCATTGTGTTCAGTGACCAGCCTCAGAATCCAGTAGGGTTTATTTGGGTCTTCTTGTTGAGAGTGAATCGTGGCTATCTGAGAAAACAGAATCATTTCTTTGGGTCAGATGCTTTTCCTCTTTCCAAAAGTTCTAGTTTTCACCCTCTATTTCATCATTTTACTTTTTAAGTATTTGTCCAGGTGAAGTAAGAACAGATATCCACAAAAGATTTGGACAATCTTTTATTCATAATAGCCAAAAGAGGAACAATATAAAAGTCTACCAGCTGATGAATGGACAGAAATGTTGTAATATATTAATAGGAAGGGATATTAATGAACATTAAAAAGTAAATTAATAGCATAACCCACAGTACAATTGGATCTCACAGGCAGACATTATACTGAGAAAAGAAGCTGAGCACAAAAGAAATCATCTTGCATGATTCATTCATATGAAATTCCAGAACCGCAAAACTGTTGTCTGGAGTTAAATTTAAATTTAATCACATGTATTTTCACTGATAGGATCACTTTATAATTAGTAACATTGAATCCAAACTGCACATGAAAATTTTGTCCAGTGGCCCCACCATCCCTACTTTGCCCCACCTGCATCATTAGAGATGGGCAATTGACATTGTCTGTAAAGTGCTAGTAACCACACCAAATTCAAGCCTTTCTCCCTATCAGATTGCCATCAGTGAATCTCAATTATGTAGACATTTTCAAGCCATATGTCAAGCTGCTCCCAACCTATGGTTCAAGAAAGTGATCCTATGAGACAGAAATATTGCTGATGTTCCTAATAAATTGATATCAGGTATGCACAGACCTGGAAATGAGCAACTATTGCTGCCCTCCTTTTCGTGAAGAGATCCTGTATGTGTTTGGACGATTGATAGAGTAAAAGGCAGTATTTGCATTTTAGAAAGTAGATAGTAAAAATAAGCAATTTAAATTTAAGAAAAAGTTAGCTTTTCCACATGAAAGAAAATCAATGATAAAATAAAGTCAACATGATTATGATGATTAAAGTGAAAACACAAAATATAATATGATTGTTTCTGTTTCTTACTTGGGACATATATTAACAAAATTTCAAATATTTAGTCAATTTTCAAAAACATAATGTTTGCAGGCAGAAAGAGGAGCCCCCGAACTTGCATGCTCTAAACAGATCCTTCCATCCTCCACATAAAGACAACACACACACTAGTACGCAAGACCTTCAATAGAAAAGAACTTTAATAGACTTAGTGTGCATAACATAAAAAAGATAGCAGATAAAGGATAATTTCCCAATAAAATTCCCAAAGTTACCCATCCCCTGGTGTATAAATGCCCAGCCAGATAGGTTTGTCCCAGAGCGGGACCACTGAGGCCCAAATGCTTGCCACAAGTCTAAGTCATCTTCTACTGGTAAGCCATAAGAAAAGGGCAGAATGGGTCAGGCAAATCTGAAAGGAAAGGAACAAAAGCAAAGTACAAGTCAAGATAAAGCCTGCCCCTGTCAGCCTCCCCATGTGTCTCTCACCCATGTCTCTTGTCTCATCCAAGTGTCTAGTTCTACATGCCCTAAGTCCCTGATGTACGTTCAAGGCCAAGAAGCAAGCATGGCTTGCTATGCACACTACCTCTATTGATGTTACTTTCTATTCAAGGTCTTACACACTACTAGTATATTTTGTCTTTATGCAGCAGATGGCTGAACCTATTTAGAGCGTGCAAGGTTTAGGGGAATTTGGGGTGCCCTAACAGAATGACTCTCTGAATTTTGTAGTATGTAGTTATGTAATGGAAAAGAGTTTGTTTACCTTTATTTTCATTTGTGCACTGTGATTTCCCTTTTCTGGAAAACCCTTGAAAGCATTCAGAGATTTGATGGTTTGTTTAATATTTTTCTGTCTTAACGATCTGATTCTTAATTGATGCTTTTTAAAAGGTAGTTGAGAACTTGACTTAAAATGAGCTAAACTTGAAATCATTTCCTCTAATTGCCAAAAACAGCCTTTGAAACGGAGCTTGGCAAACATTTAAAATGGAACTGAGGAATGTTCACATGTGGAAGTCCCTGGCAGAAGTGCTAGGTTGCCAAGTCCCAACACATAAATGTGACATATTCTCTGATACTGTTTAGGGGAGCACAAGAATGGCAGTTGCTGCTTCTTTGCTTCCCGCACAGAACTCTTGCACAATGGGCCACAACTACTTCTGCAGCAGCAGCTCCTCTCCACTTCATGGTATTGACAGAGGCTCAGTTGGTTTAAATCAGCGGAACTCCCAACATAAATAGAAGAGCAGCAGCCCCTGCACCATGCTCTCAGTTACCACCCCACCCATGGCGGAAGTCACCTCAAACTCGTTTAATGCACAGTGTTTCCAGGGTAGACTCCAGCTAAGAGAGTAAATCTTGCACGTACAAGTGAACAGGTGTTTTTCATTATCAGACAAATCACCATCATCTCTTATCCTAACCCATTAATTTTCCTTTATTGTCTATTTTATTAGTGCTGCTGACATCCTATATTGTTAATTCAGCTGGAAATCTGGAGCTTATATTTTATTCTTTACCACCCACCTTGGTTTAATAACTGAGATGCTCTTTTTTTCCCAGGAAGCTCATTAAGTCCCCTTCTCCCTTTGGACCAGTTCTTGGCACACCTTGTAGATTTTTGCCTGGAGGAACAGCACTGAACTATTTCCCCTTATCTTGTCCTTCCCTCTTTAAATTACTATCCTTAAAAAGCCACGAGAGAACCTGAAGTATAAATGTGATCATGTCATTACACTTCTTAACCACCATACCCTGCTTAGCCTAAGCAGTGCTGACAAATGCTGGGGAGATTTTGTCCTCTTAAGAATTTAGTTTTGGGCCGCCCCTGGTGGCGCAGGCAGTTGAGCACAGCACTGTGGGGCTATCCGCAGCCTTGTAGTGCTGGTTTGATACCGGCCTGCCAGCCAGTGAGGGTCCCACATGGCGTGGCAGACCTCTCCTGTCTCGCCCGCTACTCCCCTCAGCAGTGTATTTCAGTCAGTCTGCCTGTTCTATTCCCCGCTCTGTCTCTGGTGGATCCGCTCACCCTCCCATGCATCTGACCTGTACTCCGGTTCTTGTATAAATAAATAAATAAATAAATAAATAAATAAATCTTCAAAAAATTAAAATGTTTTAAAAAAAAAGAAGTTAGTTTTGAGTTCAGTGTTTTTAAATAACTTGCATTTGAATATCTTTTGGTCTGTGTTTGCATTCCATAAATTTGCTACCCCTATCCTCTTCCTTTTATCAAATCATTGTAATTACCTAACTGGAGGCAATTTGGAATGATGACCTCTGGGCAGTAGATAGAATCTCTAATGAGATTTCTAGGTCCTTCTCTATCTGATCTTTGCCCCTCTAGCTTTATCACTCATATTTTCATGCTCTCACACACAAAAAAAGCATTGGTTTTTTGCCTTAGATGTCTTTGCTCATTGACATTTCAGGACTTGGCTCCCCTAAAAAGAGGTTGAAATCGGTGTCTATTCTACTACCATTGCATATACAATATCTAGCATTAAAACTCTGTTCACATTGAGTGCACTCCATTAGAATATGAGTTCCTGAAGGGTAGAGACGGGATAACATTAATATTAGAAATCCAATTGACAATAATGGTGTCTTATGTGCTAAAAGTTGTTAACACTTTCTTTTTTTTTTTCAAATTTATTTATTTTTATACAAGAACCCGGGTACAGGTCAGATGCGCAGGAGAGTGAGAGGATTCACCAGAGACAGAGCAGGGAACAGAACAGGCAGACCCACGAAATACACTGCTGAGGGGAGCAGCGGGTGAGACAGAAGAGGTCTGCTTTGCCATGTGGGATTCTCACTAGCCCGCCGGGATCGAACCCAGGCTGCAGAGGCTGCGGACAGCTTCACAGTGTGGTCCTCAACCGCCTGCGCCACCAGGGAGGCCTCAGTTAACACTTTCTGATTCTGAACTATGGAAAGGAAATTGCAGAAGGTTCCAGGAAAGTCCTTACAGTATCTAAGAGGTTGCTGGAATCAGGACGATGGAATTTTCCACAATTTTGTATCCAGGAGTGATGAGCAAGTGGAGACCCAATGAACCTAAATTTATTAAATAACTTTAATTAAAAAAAAAAAAAGTAGTACACCCACCTGAGGCTCAAAACGAGGTGTTAGTTTTTCTTTGGCTATCTTTTCCTTTTCAGACTTTTCTTTGCCTTTCCTTGTTGATTTGGAAGTTCCTGTAGATTTCTGTCCCTCGCTAGGGGTATGGATATCTGGATTTCCAAAGGTAATTAATTCTTCATGTTTCTCTGCATGAGTTGGAGAAACATAACAATATAGGACAACAATAGACCAGTGAGACATGATATACAGTAAAATAATGTATGTATAAATACAAACAAGGAAAGCAAGTCAGGGGGAAATGGTTCAAGGGTTTGAGTTTCTTTTTTTTTTTTTTTTTTTTAAAAAAAAGCAAGACATTTTATAAAGATGTGTCACTTCCTTTTATAAAATTGAGAAATAATTCACATACCATAAACTCATCCAATACAATATTGAATTGATTGATTTCTATTTTAACATTTTTTTTTGTTCTCTTCCTTTTTCCTGCTTTGGGCTTAGTTTATCCTTCCTTTTCTAGTGTTATGGTTGTTTGAGTTTTGAAGTTTAAGTTACTAATTTGAGATCTCTTTTAAAAGCAAGCATTATAGCTATAAATCCCCTTCCCAGTACTTTTTTCATCATATCTCATTAACTTTAGTATGTTATACTTTGTTTTTCATTTATCTCTTAAGAATTTCTTCATTTCTCTTGATTTATTCTTTGATCCATTAGTTAAAAGCATGTTGCTTAATTTTTATATATGTGAATTTCACAGATTTGTTATTCATTTCTATTTTTTTCTGTTGTGATCAGAGAAATCATGCTTACCATGATTTCCATTCGTTGATGTTTATGTAGACCTATCTAACTGCTCTAGACATGGTTTATCCTGCAGAATGTTCCAAGTGCACTTGAGAACAATGTTTATTCTGCTGTCATTGAACAGACTGTTCTCTAGATATCTGTGATGTAAAATTTGCTATAGTGTTATTCAAGTCTTCTACAGCTTCTGACTGATTTCTGCTTGGTTATGTGTATCCATTATTACAATTGGAATGCTGAATTTTGAACCATCATTGTTGAAGTGTCTATTTCTACATTTAATCCTGTCAGTCTTTGCTTCATATCTTTTGAACTCTTGTTAAATTCATATACTGTAAAACTTGTTATATTCTTTGATGGAATATTATATTCTGAATATATCATTACAGTTAAAGAAACAGTGTTATAATCCCACTAGTAAAATTTGGGTGGCACTTGAAACCAAATACTTTTGAGAATAATACTAAAGTTTATATGTGTATTTTCAAACAGATAAGAATTTCAAAGGTACAGATAGCAACATTTGGCAAAATATACGAATGCAACATTTGGCAAAAGGATTGCAACATAACACCACTTCTAATTCTATATGAAGACAGTCACTATCACTATGTACTACCAGTTTAAGAGCCTCCTATTCTATTTCCTTAAGGGAAAGTCAGTTTCTCAGTAATTTTTGCTAAAACTTAGGTATTGAGTTATACTAAAGGTGGCGCTGTTGCCTCATTTTAAACAGAGACTAAGCCTCCAAAACTTTACAACAGAAATATCCTAAGCTGTACAAATCTAAATTTCAGTTCTTACATTTAATCATGAGTTATAAAGATGTGGGCTTCTGTTTCACCGTATCCTTACTAGCTTTTGTTGTTTCATTATATTTTTCTTGTAATGTCTGGTTGTATTTCATTTTAAAATAATATGCTATTTTTTATGATTAGATGAGTTGCTTAATTTATTTAAAAGAAAATATATTGAGGGCCTCCCCAGTGGCGCAGCGGTTGAGCGCTGGGTTGCGAAGCTGCCCGCGGCCTCTGCAGCTCTGGATCGATCCCCGGCTGCTCCCCGGCCACAAGAGGAGGGTCCCACATGGCGTGCAGACCTCTCCTGCCGCCCGCTGCTCCCCTCAGCAGTGTACTTCGGTCCTTCTGCCTGCTCTGCTCCCCGCTCTGGCTCTGGTGAATTCTCTCACCCTCCCGCGCTTCTGACTGTACCCAGTGCATGTATAAACAAGCAAACAAACAAACAAATAAATAAATATTACATGCCTCTTTAAAAAAAAAAATTTAAGAAAATATATTGGAAATGCTTATCCTTCAGATTCAGTTATTACATTGTATAATGTGATATTAAGCTATTTGAGATTCCACTTTTTACAAAGCACCAAACTATCATTTCCTCCTCAGGAATATTGACAGCAGTTTATATTTTGAGAAAATAAACCTAAAGTGTCCTTCATGAGCATATTCTCTCTCTCTTTTAATTATTGTAACAATTTATCTTTTGCCTTATACTTTCTGAACAACTTGGAAAATAAGTATAGCTAGAGACAATTCCTGTTCATTTCTAATGTAATCATCAAAGAATTTTACCAAGACAAAATGTATTTAAACTAGTTTTAAACAATTATTTTTGGCTTTTATAAGCTGGCAGTAAAAATATTGAAATGTGGGCCTCCCCAGTGGTGCAGCGGTTGAGCGCTGGGTTGTGAAGCTGCCCGCAGCCTCTGCAGCACTGGTTCGATCCCCGGCTGCTCCCCGGCCACCAGAGGAGGGTCCCACATGGCGCGCAGACCTCTCCTGCCGCCCGCTGCTCCCCTCAGCAGTGTACTTCGGTCCTTCTGCCTGCTCTGCTCCCCGCTCTGGCTCTGGTGAATTCTCTCACCCTCCCGCGCTTCTGACTGTACCCAGTGCTTGTATAAATAAATAAATAAATCTTAAAAAAAAAATTGAAATGTACAATTAGTTAAAAAATATGAAATGTTATGGGATAGGGAAGATAAATTATGAGCAATACTGTCTTAATAATTACATGACTAATTTATTATTAAACATTATGTAAAGTATAATTTCATGAATAACCATTTAGAGTGACATACCTTTGGTGTCATTTTTCTCTAAGTCCTTTAGTGCTTGAACAAATGTCATTTGACTTTCAGTGAGAGGCCAGCTGTTATACAATACCACACATTGTATAATATACTTGGAATTCTGTGAAATAAAAATGCAATGTGTAAGCACAAATATGAGACCCTCATACTTTATGATGTCAGGTATATAGTAAAAGCATATTATTTTTCTAGATCATGTATTCATGATTTAATTAAATACTACCAGATGTTTTCAGAAATTGTGTAATACCACATCAATAAAAGTTTATCGTCACATCCCAAGCAATACATTAGCATTTACAACTTTTGCATTCAGGTTTATAAATAAACCTTTTTTTTTTTTAACTTTTGTTAGTCATCAGTTTGGGAGTCAGAATTACATTACTCTCGTAAAAAGGATGGGAAAGTTGGTATTGTATTTCTGTGTTATAGAACAAGTCACTCCTAGAAAGTCTGTTGTATCTACCCCCTAAATCCAGACTAACATGCAGATTTTTTGAAAGGGAAGACTTTATTATTTCAGATTTACTATTCATTATTGGTAGTAATACTACTACGAGTAGTAGAAATAATATTAAGACCATTACTATTATTTCATATTGTGTTAGATGTTTAGGAGTCACTCAGTGCAGTAGTTTTCCTTAATGACACAGACCTGCTGTGGGGTGACCACAGATTCTTCTGTGGTAGACACACTGGTAGACTCTTCATCCATAACAGACATACCAATGTCTGCTATTGCACTTCCAGGCCTGCTCTTGTAGGATTTCTGACTTCCAGCAGTAGATTTCTTCTTAACAGACACTTCTTGTTCTTTCTTGGATGAAGAATGAGATGATAGAAGTTGCTTGCTAGCTGAGTAGGAGAAATAATAAATTTAATCTGTAATTTGTGAGCATTTCCACATCTTAGCCATTGTGAATAATGGTTCAAAGAGCTAAGTGGTACACAATTCTTTTCAAATTAGCATTGTCATATTCTTAGGTATAGTCCCTGGAGAGGGATTGCTAGGTCACCTGGCATTTCTATTTTTAGATATTTAAGGAATCTCCATACCATTTTCCATAGAGGCTGCACCAGTTTGGAAGTCATAATTACATTACTCTCATAAAAAGGACTGGAAAGTTCATATTATATTTCTGTTTTCTAGAACAAGTCACTCCTAGAAAGTCTGTAGTATCTACGCCCTAAATCCAGACTGACCTACGGAGAAGGAGAGTTCTTTTTTTGTCGCACCCTCTCCAGCATATATCGTTTCCAGTCTTTTTGATATAGGCCATTCTCACAATGTGAGGAGATATCTTATTTATAATGGCATAAAGAATATATGGCATATACATTCAATGGAAATACTAGCCGGTTGCCAGAAATAAGCCAGAAAGCGGAAGACAATTATATAAACAAGACATGATGGCAGATCCAGAAAAGTATTTTTATCAATATGAGTATAAATGGATTACATTTAAGATGAATATGGGACTGAGTAGGAAAAAAACATATAAAATAAAAATTCAAGAACTAAGTGGACAAACAAAAATGAACAGGTGAGTGATAACATGGAAAAACGAGTGTTAATGTCAGACAACTTATTAGTGTTGAAGAAAGACTTGCATTCATTTTAAAAATAAAGAACTTTATGCAACTTGCAGCACAGCATGGAAATATGTTAATATGTAAGAGATAAAATTTTATAGATTATACAATGAAATTATGGAGATACTCATTTTTCTAAAAAACTTACAAATTAAACAAAATGAAAATGAAAATCTTGAGATTTTTTTAAATACTACAATTAGAAAATTTTATTTTCATTAGAGAGAGTGTGGTATTTAGACATCATAGATATTTAATTTCAAAATAGAGTATCCATATTCTACAGAAAATGCAGTGCAACAATGATCAATCTGGTTGTTAGAATAAGGTCACAAGAAAAACACCAATGAAATCCTCAAAATAGAAAATGTATAATCCACATTATCTAACCTCACAAAATGTATTTAGATACTGATAATATAAAAAAATCTTGCCAAGACTGTTTTATTACTTAGAAACTGTAAAAATACTATAAATGTTTAAAGTTACAGACAAAATAAAAATCCATGGTTAACTACAATACCACTCATAAAACTTTATAGTTTCCTGTACAATATTATATTGTAAAGCTATATTTATAAAACATATCATTAAATATATTTAAATTAATAAAAACAGATTCAAAACATGAAACTAGACAAAAGAACATTAAACTAACTTTCAAAAGTAGATGGAAAGTTTTAAAAGATTAATATGATCACTGATAAAGGTGATGATAAATATGAGCTATTAGGAGTGATAAATGAACCCAAGTGTTTATTCTAAGAAAAAAGCAGGGAAACTTCTGAAAAGTCTAATCAAGATTACATTTTAAAAAAACAAATGAATGGCAATATTTAAAAATATTCAGACAAACATACATAGAAGAGATTTGAAAATTATAACAGAATTTTGGATACAAATGTATGCAAATAATTTTGAAATACTAGATCAAACTGTCATTTGTACATAAAAATTCATGTTGTAATATTGAAAGTTTGAAAAAATTAATCATGGGGAATTTTTACTTATTTATTTACTTTTCTTTGCCTGGATATTCCTTAAGCTTTTCAAAGGAAAACACTAGTCATAGAAAAAAAATAATTAAAAGTGGGATAAAGGCAGCCTTTGAAAGTTAATCCTTTTAAATTGCTTGAGTGTCTCAGAATTATTTTCCACCTTTTAAGTAAATATAATATGTAATAATATATCTGATTAAATTGGCTTCCTGACATTGCTTTGAGGTAGTTCTGCCAGAAATGGATTTCCTATGAGGCTGATGGAGTGAAGCCTTGAGGATCCTTACTTCCAATAGTGTCAGCTAAGACCCTGGAAGCAGGGGTCCTAGGATTGAGTTTTAAATGGTCATATATTTTGTAAAATTTTAAAATCATAAGATATTTTAATCTGCTGTAACAGCAATCTGTTATATCCACTTTCTCCACTCCAGATTTTTAAAAAGGTTTAAAATTAAGAAAAATGTATTCCCTAATATCAGACTTAGTTTCAAAGTCAAACCTAAATTTTTAAAAAATACATGATTTCTGTAGCATTTACATGGTTTCCAAAGTTAGATTCCAAATTTATTTCAAGAATTTGTTACATATCTAACTTGAGAACCTGAAAACAGTAGCAGATAGTCATAATCGCACAGAGAACTCCCATATAGATCTACAACTACTACTATAATCCAGTAAACTAACCAAAATAATATATTCTTAACATGAATGTACTAAAACATCATTGACAGATTGTATTCCAAGAATGCATCAAAATTAAAAATTAATTTATGAAATTCAAAAGGGTAAATTTTGATAATTTCTATAAACAAAATGTAATTAATTAATAAATTTCCAAATCCATTCCAAGTTGAAATTCTGAGCTATTAATAAAAGAACTGTTTAAAATTTTACAAAGCACAATTATTAAAAGTCAACAGTAAACATAATGCTTAATAGTAATCATATTACATTGACAGTAATAACTTTAAAGTTTCTGTTAACTTTATAGAATTTTTAAAAAAGAGTGTATTGGGAACAAAAAAATTCATTCAAAACAATAAAAATGTTATTTCTTATTCAGAAATTTAAAAAGATGAATTAAAAACTTTTTAGTACAATACTATTTAGCCTTCAGAGACTACTCTGACACATAAATATAACAGATTTTCTGTAAATATTTTATTCTAACATCAACTTTTACAGATTTAAATGCTTAGTAGTTATTTATCTTAAAACATTTCTTTGAAAATCAGTTGTATGATCATAAGATCTATTTATGGATCACAATAATCAATTTAGAAAACCACACTCACACTGGGAGCTCAAAGCCCTTTCGCCCAGGAAGTTAATTGCTGGGATGATAGCTTGGCCTTTTCCAGTAGTGCTGATGATAGTTTCCTCATTTTCGAGGATCTGTAGCTTGATGAATGCATCAGGTTTGGATGTGCGTACATGTATGGTAATAGGATATAATAATGAGACTTTAACTGAATACCTGAAGAGAAAATTCAATTTTAGGAGCAAATATTTTGGATTTCCCCTCAAAACTGTAAAGGAAATGAAATCATTTGCTGATACAATCTTAAAGCAAAACCACTTTGTAAAGTCAACTAGAATTTTGGAAGTATTATTGCTATTATAGATTTTGGCAGATCTTCTATATGCCAAAATCTCTATGCAATGGTCAACTGAAATAAATATGGGATGTTTATTATCATCCAATTCTAAGGAGGAAATGTAGCTTTCAACACGAGAAGCAATCGCTTCCATAACTTGATAGATCTGAAAACTAATGCCACACTAAACCCTGCCATTACGCTCTGGTCTTCAACTCTGAAAAAGAGCACACACAACTGGCAGGAGAAGTGCCCTTCAAATCACTGTCAACAGTGTTACCTTTGCTTCACAAAAATACAGAGAAGTTGACAGCAGTTCCCACTAATTGCACTTAGGCCTTGACCATGCAGGCTGAGAACTTCTTGCAAATAGACTGGCATGGAATGTCTAACTCCATGCCAGCACCCTAACCACCCCAGCTGCTCCCTGATAATACAATTGAAGAGAGGTTTTTTGGTGGAGGGGATTTTCACCCAATTTTAGGTGAACTACTTGGAAGTGCTAAGGATCCTATCAACTTTAAATTTCTCTAGAAGTTTGCTTTTCTGAGTATCCTATATCTTGAATCTCCCCCTTTATTCTTTCTCTTGTTTTTTGTACACAGATTTTTTTTAAAAAAAGATTTATATTAATGCATACAAGAACTGGACCACAGAGCAGAGGTGCAGGGCGGGGGCGTGGGGTGAGAGGATTCACCAGAGACAGAGCAGGGAGCAGAACAGGCAGACTGACTTAAATACACTGCTGAGGGGAGCAGCGGGCGAGTCAGGAGAGGTCTGCTGCACCATGTGGGTATCTCCTTGACTGACCGCAGATTGAACTCATGCAGCAGAGGCTGCAGATAGCTTCACAGTGCTGAGAATTAACCCCTTATGCCACGAGGGAGGCCCCTGTAGCAGATCTGACTCTTTAAAAACAGATGAAAACAAAATCAAAAACAAATCAAAAAATCTTCATTCAACCCTATGGTCTCACCTTGACTCTATTTCACTCTTCTCTGACTCACCATTACAGGAGAGTTACCTATTTTCACTGTCCTCATCTTATTCCTTTCACTACCTCTCAGCTGTCCACTCTCCCCACCTGAGTGCTGAGCTTGCTCTGCCCAGGGTTTTAAGCAGTTTATCACCACACTGTAAAACGTCAGTTCTCTGGCATACACCCCAGATCTTGTATGCATAAACAAATAAAATAAATTTTTAAAAATAATAATTAAAAAAAGAAAAATAAATAAATCCCACTAGATACAACTACAAGGAGTGATCCTACATAAGCTTTACCAAATCACCTTACCTATGTTAGTTGTTTCCAAAAGAGTGTAGAAATTGGAAGTCAAAACTGACTCAGGATTTTACTATGCAATGCATTGTTTTTAAAGATACAAGAGAAAAGAAAATTATTATTTACTAGATTTGGAATTTATCATTTTGATAACATTCATATTTAAAATAAAAATTCAATAAATTTAAAATAAAATATTTAATACAATGAAATATTAGTTTTTTAATAGAAAGCATTTCCCTTTTAGTTTTATACCTGAATAAAATATTCTTATCATTGGGTATGTAGTAATCTCTGATTTCCTTTACAGCAAAGGTATTGCAGGGGAATTCCCGAATAAGGAATGGGAGTGGATTATAAGGGCCAATGAGGCGCAGTTTCCATCGTGAAGATGACACATACATGTCACCAGTAAATGCTTCAGCCACGAATGTGTATCCTTTCTGCAGGGGAGAAGAATTACACAGAAGTAAGTGACACTGTCATTAGTCTCTCAATTGTACAATGCGTTTTCATAGCACTTAAATGCTCTATTATCTTGATGTACATAAAGATACCATAATCTCCTAAAAAACATCAAATCACTAGCATGATGTCTTGAAATCCCTTTTAGAAAGCACTGTCTTACAGGCTTTCAGAGAAAATGAACAATCCCAGCATTTTTGTTCATGTAGTTTATCACTGCCTCGTAATGGAATAGCTCAGTACCCTTCTACTTATTTTTTCTGTATTTTCCAGAATCATCTTTCTAAAATATAAAATGAGAGAAGCAGAAGAGTTTATGGAAATGTAGTTCCCTGAGATCACAGTCAGCAGATGAAGTCTCAAATTAATGTCAGAGCTAGTTCATGGAACCCAAATGTGACCCAAAAGATACACTGTTTAGGAGGGAGAAAAACAGCAGCTAAGGAACTTAGGAAAGTGGTAACATCTTTATGGGTAATAAACAGGTTCACCATAATTGGATATCTGGTCAAGAAATCAGTAAAGCATGAGCATGATATTATAATGAGGTACAAAAGTTCAAAGCAATGCCGAGTTTATAATTCCAGACACTTCTAGTAAAGAAGAAAAGTTAGATTTGTATTCCAGTTGTTCTCTGATGCAGAGGAAGTTCTCTGATATGTTTAGATTTCCAGAAACACAAAATTAGAAATACAGAGACAGAATGAATTCCTACCTTGGAATATTAACCAGAATCCAAATATCTGTAATGGAATGAGAAGGGCAAGACCCATAAGGACTTTTTAACATTATTTTTGGGACTAAGATAAAAGGAAGGTAAATTATGTTTGCTAAATTATTTTTACATGTGAAGTTTAATGCAGAGATTTATTGTAGTTTTCGGCTTGCAGTACTAATGCACTAAGGAAGCAGAAAAAATGAAGTTGGAGAGTTAATACTACTTAACTCCAGGACTTACTGTGAATTTTCAGTATCCAAGGTGGTATAGTATTGGCAAAAGAATATACAGATAGATCAAAGTGTAGAGAAGAAAGTTGAGGGCTGTGAGAGTGAATGTTCTAGTCACTGTGAGAGTGAATGTTCTAGTATCTCCTGCTGTCAAATAAACAGGACTTCAACAGAGAAAGACCAGGATCTTGTCTCTCTGCTAAGTAGATAGAAAACCCATCTGCTTCTCCTTCTGGAGCCTCTGCAAGGTGCTGGCCCCTCATCATGTTTCTATCATATGGGGAGGATCAATTTTATACTTACCTTATTTTTGGTGTACAAATAAGGCACCACTCTTTGGAACACCTTTGGCACTTGCTCCATTGTGTCATTGTTAACGATGTGAAGCATGCAGACTGGAAGTGTAGTGTATACTTTGGGAAGCAAAATCATATCTTGAGGAACTAAAAATGTTTCTCTGTAATTACAAAAGCATGAATTTTCCCTTGACATGAAAAATACAGCTTGAAATTCACTTTGAGGCACAAAAGTGTAAATATAAGTTTAAAATCCCAAATAACTATAAGGTGTGCACACACATTGGTTACTTTTAAAAAATACTAATATGCTCTTTTCTGACAAAAATGCAAACCCTTTAAGAAATCTAATTTTGTATGTAATTTTGACTTTCACCAAATAGTCTACTGACTAGAAATGAAATTATTTCTTTCTATACTGGAAGAACATCAATTTATTATGGTGTGTTTATCAAAATATACAAAAAAAATCATAATAATTTCACAGTGTTTATATTTTATTTAAAAACATGAATAAAAAGTTCTATAGCATTTTATTTATGCATAAACGATGTGGAAGACATTTTAATTAAGCTGTAAAAACCACCTAAAAATTCATACTTTTGATACTCAAAAAATAAAACTACAATATGAATATTGCATTCCATCTACAGAGAGACCACTCGCAATGTATGATAGCCTCACCTGAATACTATAAACCAGCTATTGGGTGGCTGGTCTCCATAAGTCACAGTATAGTCAACAAAAGCAATCTTAGTGTCTTCATCTTGATAGCATGGATAAGCTTTCATGGAGTCACACTTGCTTTTAAACATTAGTCTGTAAATGAAAAAAATAACTGAAGTACCAATGACACAAAGCAACTTTTAAAATAGATCTTACTTACAGATCAAATAGGCAAAAACTTAGCAGAAAAGATTGAGTCCTTGCTCAATTCCTTCTGGGGATTTCTTTTTTTTTTATTTATATAAGCACTGGGTACAGGCCAGAGGTGCGGTAGGATGAGAGGATTCACCAGAGACAGAGTGGGAGCAGAACAAGCAGATGGACTGAAAACACTGTTGACAGGAGCAGCGGGCGCAACAGGTAAGGTCTGCCGCACCATGTGGGTATCTCCCAGGCTGGCCAGGAATCCAACAGGCGCTGCAAAGGCTGTGGACAGCTTCACAGCACTGTGCTCATCCCTCTGTGCCACCAGGGAGCATCCCCCCACCCCCACCCTCTTCTGGGGATTTCAATAAGCAATTTTACTGTTTACCAGAGTCTCCTCCCTAACAGGATCTAAAGCTCTAATTTTTGTTTCCTCCAAACCAAAGGCTTCAAGAAACTCTGTTCTTCGCAGAGGCTTTCTGCTTAGAGGTTTAGGTATGTACAATTAAGAAAAATGAAAGTGAGTAGCATAGATGTGAAGCTGACAAAATACTGTGGAAGTTCAGAGCAATGGTGTTTCTAGCAGCAGTGATTATGGAGAACTCAATGAATATGGCTGCCAAGAGACTGCAGTGAGGAACTGCATCACAGACTTTACCTTAAGAGAGAGGTTGCATATTGTTCTAGATTCTGCTCTAGCATAACCCAAGTCTTCTGTAGAGTATCTGCAACACTGGTATTTTCCTTTGTGTCTAAACAAACAATGGAAAACAATAGAAATGCTGTAAGGTGTCTGAAAGATGGTCTTGTTCAGAATTCTTTCACAGACGAAGCTGAAATTCACAAGTAAGGTGGTGTCCAAGGCATGGGCTTTATTAGCAGCAAAATCGTGTACAAAATATAGAGCTGTGAACTCTGCTTGCCTTTCTATGCCATTTCCATTCAGCTTTGGTTAAAAATTATAAAATGTTTTTTGATCTAATTATAGATACTCACCAGAGTTTACAGCCTGAGATCTTTCATTACATCAAAAAATTCCTCAGCAAAAACTCTTCTCTCAGAAAAAAGAATCCATCCATTTTTTTCCAAAGAACATGACTACTAGCACCCCACTGAAGTTTAATGTAGAGTGCATTCCACAAGGGCCTCAGCAGGGAATGATTTGACAAGAAAAAATGTTAGTCCATGTGATGTACCTCAAATTTAACATGCCAGAGACTGACCTTTTTCCTAACTAGCCTATCTGTCTTGATTTCTTCATAGCACTTACCAATGTCTGAAATTGATGTCCTAATATAGTTACTTGTCTTTTGAATGCCTACTACCAAATACAGGACGCCTCCAGAGCAGAAAGCTTTGTCAGTTTTACTGACTTTTGTGAGGCCACGGTCTAGAGCCAGCACTGTGCACACAGAGCTGGCCAGTAAACACAAATGTAGTGAAAGAAAAGCAAATGCTATTAGACTGGCCCAGTTTTTGTCTCTAAATAGAGAAAGGAAAGCATTAGAGCAGCATGATTTTTACAAAGTAAATGAGCACCAAAAATATATTTAATTTGATGTATTTATGTGTTCTAATAGAAAAACCATAAAAATCAGGCCACGGTTAAATTTTTCTGTCACAAAATTAGGTAATGTAGTTTGCTTTATGTTGGTATATTTGTAGTTTTTACTGCTAGATGAACAGTGGTTATTCTCATTAAGTGTTTCAAACAGAAATATTGTTCAGACAAAGCATTTTAATATACTTAAAGAATTCTATTGGAACTGAGGATTTTCTGATGAAAATGCCAACAAAATTGTACCATGAAAATACCGAGTATCATTCTTGCCTCTAGTGTTTTGTTTTAAGCAGTAAAGTAGATCATTTTGCAGATAAAGTTTATTTTACATACATATATTTTATTAATACATTAATACACCTAAAATGCATTTTGTCTTCTAAGTGTACATCATTATTAGTACACTTCTTATGATATGACAGACACATATTATGACACTTCTACATTCATCATTCAATTTTTTAAAAAATGGTCTAGAAGGTAAAATGATCTATGTCTTCACATACATAAATATATTTTTTTAATAATATAACAGGCCTAAAATGTATTTTTGCTTCTAAATGTACATCATTGTTACATACACTGCTTTTGATATGACAGACAGATATTATGACACTTTTTCATTCATTTATCATTCAATTTTATTAAAAAATGGTCTTGGAGGCAAAATGATCTATGTTCTAACTGAAACTACAGCCTTCTGCAAGACGCTGGGGATGCACAGAGGAAAGACCAGCTCCCTGTTTTCAAGAGTTCACAGTAGATTGGGGACACTATTGATTATTCTCCTTGCCTCATTGCTTTCTTCCCTTCTCTCCCCCTCTACTCTCCTGCCCACCCCCTTCTTTCTTTCTTTTGCTCTCAGTATTGTGTTCATACTTTGTGCCAAGAACTGAGCTAAATTCTGGAACAAGAAAGGGAGCACACTGACCTCAAGGACTTCAACTTTTATAACATTTTTAAAATTTATCTGCGCCTATTTTGGAGTCATCATTCACAAAGATCTCATTCACACAGAAATATGTATTCTTACATAGGCAAGTTCATTTCATAAACAATTGAAAAATGATACCTGGTGTCCTGGCTTTCATAAGCAATCTAACATAGGTCCCTCTCCATATGGCTTGAATTTTTGTTGCTGCTGATACTTCCTCAGGAGAATACTCTTTATCACTTACTGGCACAGAATATTTAGTATCTACCCATTCCGCTGGAAAGAGAAAAACAAACTTTGGACTGAAAGCTACCTTTAAAGCCTAGCCCTGTATTCAGTGCTAGTGACATCTGAAGTATCGAAATAATTAATTTGTTATTATATTTAGACTTGTTTGCTGTGGATGCCCCTTTTTAGCATGTAAACATTCTTGAGGAGGAAATCGATACTGAGTATTTGACATCATAGTGAACTGTCATCGTTTTCCTCTGTAAAAGTAGCAAGATGCTCTCTCAAAATTGAAAAATAATGTTAAGATCATCTTCATTAACATTAGGATTTCTATGGATCTTATCACAGCATGATATCCTTAGAAAGGGGAGGTTCCAGGTTCCTGGGCCCACCCAAGGAAGGTGGAGCTGAGCTGTGAAGAGAAGCTAGAAAAGACAGGGAGAAGGGCATGGGAGAGGAAGGAAAGAAAACATTTAGGAGAGGACTGGAGATACACGGAGGAAAGACAGTGAAGTAGTAGCCACGCTTGCCTCTCGGCCTTGGATACCAGGGACTTGGGGGACATGGCAAGAGTCGCTTGAAAGAGACAGAGATGTGGGTGAGAAACACATGGGGAGACTGACAATGGCAGCCTTTACCTTAGCTTGTAGTTTGAGTTTGCTCTTCTCCTCCTAGACTTGCTTGGCCCATTTTGCCCCTTTCCTATGGTTCCAGGCCAGAAGGTACCTTAGGCTTTGTGGCAAGCTTCTGGGCCTCAATGGCCCCACTTTGGGTCAACCCTTTTTGGCTGTACATTTACCCATGTGGGGATGGGTAATTGAGTATTTTGTGGTGAAACCATTTTAAGTATATTCTTTCTCTTCTCTCTATTGCACACTAATTGCATTAAAGTTGTATTAATGCACACTTTAATTATTATTCAATTGTATTAATATTAAGTTGTATTAAAGTACACATACATTAAGAGTATGTTTTGTCTTTATGTGGTGAATGGCAGAACCCATTTAGAGCAGGCAGGTTTGGGAGTCTGAGGGGGTGCCCCTTCTGCCTGCAAACAACAGGAGTAGAGCTGGGCAGAAAATGGGAGGGTTACTTGACTATTAGAATAATCCCAGAATTCCTCAACTCACCCTGTATAGATTAATGGACTTTCATACATTTTAAGGTCAAGGATAAAGGAAACAGGAAAATCCAGGGCTCCCTTGAACATATGTGGGTTCAGGGAAATAGATCAGAGTCTTGGAACTTCGTGTATTCCCCAGAGGACAGCTTCAACTTCACCTCTGTTGGTAAAAACCTATTCTACCAACTCCACAAAAAACTCTGAGGACCTTCTTCTCTATTATTTTACATAAGTTTAGGAAATTCTTTATCAAATACATATCCCAGAATATGTCAGTACCTAAGGAGACATCTTCCAAGGAGGAATCGAGTAATTCCATGTCCAAGATCATGGCACGGAATGCAAATTTGAAGTTCAGGGGAGGTTTTGCTGATTGAACTTTTTTCATTAACCGCCATAAAGAAATTTGAAAAATCTGAAAAATTGAAATGCATTAGTATATTTATTAAACCAGGAAGATGCCATTAACTGGCATGACACACTCTTGAAAGAAAAACACATATGTATTTCAAATCCACACATAATCTGACAGGAGACACTCAAATTCTCCCTCACACAGCAAAAGACCAAAATTATTTATCATTGGAGTATTTCTAAGCCAATAAAATTTAATCACTCCAACCATGTTTATAAAGTACACTCATTCAAAATATAATATTAAACTGATTAAGGAAGCATACGATTCTTCAATAATGCGGTCCTTGTATTTAAGCAAGTTAAATACCACAGTTCACTGATGATAAGGCGCCAGCCATTGTAAGAGGCACTATTATTTCATTTATTAACAAAAAAAAAAATGCCACTAACAGGTTTTATCATATATTGATACAGGGCAACGAGGCACACTAAAATTGGCCCAGGACAGTGCCCAGATAGTCTGAGTTCTTCACTAGCACACACAATTGTAAGACTACTCAGGTTCCGGGAACAATAATGGGATTTATTTAACAAACCAGGGAAAACAAGGAGTTACTGAGGCCAGAAATGGCCATTGCATTTTTCTCTATTTTTCCTGAGCCCTGGACATCACTATTCTTGTTCCCTTGAGAGGCTCTGTTAAGCCATCAGTTCTCTTCCCCAGATTAGGTTTTTGTTAAACAATACACGTATTGCTTTTGAAGTGGTGACAGTATGAAACCTTATTAGCAAATCCTTGCGTGGAGAAGTCTGCAGGCCACCAAGCCAGCAAATATTGGAAGGAACCACCAACTTGAAAACGCATCCTGATTCCATTCTGATGTGAAAACGTGAAATGTTTGGATTAAAATTGATGAAATACAATGCCCTTCAAAGGGATGTGACTTGTATTTCTTGCTTAGCCCACATTTTCTAACCATCTCACCCCATCCCTTCAGTAGAGAAATAGGAACCTAACTCCACTATCTATGTCTGTCGCTCTCCCTTCCCCCCACCCACTCAGCCAGCAGTAGTGGGAAGGCCCATGAGCAAGCATTAACCAATTAAGCAAACTAAGCTGGACCAGTCACTGTCATTTTGGACAATAATTTGAAATCAGGACCAAGACCTTCTAAGCTAGCCATATATGGGGAAGGAAGGTAAAACTCAGGAGTCATAATTGTCATGATGTACACTTGAGAGTAGAGAAAACATGACTGTCAAGGGGGTAGGGGGGAGAGAAGATGATTAGTTTGAAGGGCCTTCCAGTCTCTTTTTGAATTTCCTCCAAGTCATTGCTTTCTGTGGTGCCAGAAAGATGTCTCTGTATCCTTATAATAAATCAAATCAGCACACCCAGCTCCTTGTTGTGTCTTAAATGAGTTAAATGTGTTTCTGTGACTTGTTAATGAAATGCCATAAATATTTCAAAATCTAAGCTGAAAATAAGAAAAATACATAATTATGTTAATGCTCCCACTGTAGTTAACTGAATGTTTAACAAAACTGTCTTCTTTCGCAAAACTGTCTTCTTTTGCTTCTACATTTCTGGAAAGATTTTCTGGATTTGCAGGAGATTTTATTTTAAAATCATTTTCTCCCAGCAACACCAACTTAAACTGGAATTACTAATACAATGAACTTGTGGTATAGGCAGGTGAAGCTAGAGAGAGACTGGGAGAAGAGAACCTAGAGGAGGCACATTGAGCAGAGAGACATGTGAAGAAGCTACACTTTTTTTTTTTTTAATGCATTCAAGAACTGGAGTACAGGCCAGAGGTGTGGGGGGGTGAGAGGACCCACCAGAGACAGAATGGGGAACAGAACAGGCAGATTGACTGAAGTACACTGCTGAGGGGAGCAGTGGGCATGACAGGAGAGGTCTGCTGCGCCTTGTGGGTAGCAACCTGGCCAGCTGGGGATCGAACTTGTGCTGCAGAGGCTGCAAACAGCTTCATAGGTTGCGTCTTTATCCATTGCGCCCCCAGGGAAGACCCTACACTTACTTCTTAGCCTTGGACTTGAACCTGAGACTTCAGGTCAAGGAAACAGATGAATGAGACAGAGATGTGGGTGAGAGACCCATGGAGAGGCTGACAATAGCAACCTTTATCTTGATGTTGATTTTGCTCTTTTCTTTCCAGACTTGTCTGGCCCCTTGTGCCCCTTTCCTATGGGTCCCCACCAGAAGGTGCCTTAGACTTGTGGCAAACTTTTGGGTCTATTGGCCCTGCTTTGGTCCAACCCTATTTGGCTGGACATTTACCCATGAAGAGATAGGTAATTTTGGGTGTTTCATGTGGGAACTATTTTATCTATTCTTTCCCTTCTCCTTATTGCACACTAATTGTGTTACAGTTCCTTTCCATTGAAAGTCTTATGCATTAGATTATGTTTTGTCTTGATAAAGTGAATGGCAGAACCCATTGAGAACAGGTAGGTTTGGAGGTATTGGGGTGCCCCTCAGTTTCTCTGTAACAGAATGACTCCATACAGATATTGCAACTTCATGAAAATTAACTCAAAATTCTAGGCTGAAATGTTAAATACAAGATTATGAAGGGCCTCCCCTGGTGGCGCAGGCAGTTGAGTGCAGTGCTGTGAAGCTGTCCGCAGCTTCTGCTGCGCCAGTTTGATCCTGGCCGGCCAGTGAAGGTCCCAAATGGCGCGGCAGACCTCTCCTGTCGCACCCGCTGCTCCCCTCGGCAGTGTATTTCGTCAGTCTGCCTGTTCTGTTCCCCACTCTGTCTCTGGTGAATCCTCTCACCCTCCCGTGTGTCTGGCCTGTACCCTGGTTCTTGTATAAATAAATAAATAAATCTTAAAAAAAAAAAACAAAAAACCACAAGATTATGAAGCTCTTAGAAGATGACAGCACAGGAGAAAACCTAAGACCTTGTGTATGGCAATGACTTTACAGGTACAACACCAAAGTCATAATCCATAGAAGAAATGACTGATTAAAATTTTATAATTTTCCTCCATGAAAGAAAATGTCAAAAGAATGGAAGACAAAACAGACAGAGAGAAAATATCTGCAAAATATACATATGATTAAGGATTGTTATTCAAAATATACAAAGAACTTTTAAAACTCAACCATAAGAAAACAAATAATTGGTTTGAAAAATGGACCAAATACCTTTACAGAAACCCTACCAGAAAAGATACACTGACAAACAAGCACTTAAAAAGATTCTTCATGACCATCATCAAGAAAATGTCAATCAAGACAAGACACCACTACATGCCTAATAGAAAGTTTCAAATCTGGATTACTGTCAACACCAAATGCTGATGAGGAGATGAGCAAAAGGAGCTTTTATTCGTTAGTGGTAGAAATGAAAATTGGTACGGCCACTTTGGACAATTTGGTGATGTTTTTAGAAAACTAAATAAATCTTACTATACAATCCAGCAATAGTGCTCCTCAGTATTACTCAAAGGAGTTGAAATCATATGAAAACCCAAAAACCTATACATGGATTTTTATAGCTGCTGCACTCACAGTTGCCAAAACTTGGAAGCAAGTAAAATGTCCTTCAGTAGGCGAATGGGTAAGTAGACTGTGCCATATCCACTCAACGGAATATTATTCAGGACTGAAAAGAAATGCATTATCAAGCTGATAGGGTCCAGGGAGGGGAATGAGGAGGGCACCAAGCATAATTTAGGAGTCACTGTTTGACCTCTGGCCTGTTTGCTCTAAGCTAACTTCCTAGTTCAGGAGGTACCTGGAAGACTGATGAATGCATCTGCAGAGACTGAGCCTACCCAGAAGAGTGAAGTGCTGTAAATGAGATGCCAGTGGAAGGGGAGCTGCCAGGGAGAGCAGCAATAAAACTCCCAGAAGTTGTTAACCACCTAGAGTGAAGGCCCCTCACTGATAATGGTCTTTGTTTAAATCACCATAGAACAGCCAGTTAGAGATGAGGTGTAGAACGGTTACTTTGGAGCATGATTCCTGGCCCTTCTCAGATTAGCTGATGTAATAAAAAGTACATATTAAAGATCCAATCCTCCCCTTTGTCTTTTGGTTTTGACAATTGCGGCAGGCAGAAAAGCATCTGGTATTTCCCAGCAACAAAGACATGGATGAATTTTAAATGCATGATTTTAAGTAAAAGAATCCAATCTGCAAGGTCTATATACTATATGACTCTAACTTTATGACTTTCTGGAAAAAGCAAAACTATAGAGACCATAAAAAACATCAGTGGTTGGCAGAGGTTGAAATAGCTGAAGAATGAGCAAGTGAAGAACGGAGGGTTTTTAGGGCAGGGAAAATATTCTGCATGATATCATAATGGATGCATGACATTTTACATTCATCTAAGCCCACTCAAAGTGCCGCAGCAAGAACGAACCCAAATATAAACTACAGACTCTGGGTCATAATGACCTGTCAGTGTGGGGTGATCAACTGGAACAGAACTTGACAGCGGGAAAGGCTCTGCCTATGTGGGGAAATGTGTCTATGAGAGAAATCTGTAACTTCCTCTCAATTTTACTATGAAACCAAAGTTGAGCAAAACTGCTGTCCTGTATTTTTACTTGCTTAAATTTGAAATGTTATCCCTCTCCTCACCCCCAACTTTTGGACATTTGACAAAGTCTAGACTCATTTTTATTTGCTATAAGTTGCTACTTGTGTCTAGCTGGCGTTGGCTGCCCAAGCTGCTATGCATTTTAAAGTGCTTGGGGGGGGGGGTGCCCCAACAGCACTAGTTACCTGACCCAGAAGGTCAGCAGTGTCCAGGCTGAGGAACCTGGGCCTGTGGGAGCCACCGTGCTTCACTCCCTCAGGGCCTGCTGTGAGGTCAGAACGGGCTCACCACAGAGGCCCTACAGCTGTGAGGAGGCTAACGACTGGAAGGCAACCACCTATCCGTGGGGGAAGGTCTGGTGCTTGTGTCACAGTATCCCCATTAGTTAGTAAGGACCCCAAGTGCTCACCTATAGTCTGTCAGGTTCCCGGATGGAAGACAGAGTTCTAGTGCCCTATAATCATCACTTCCTTTCACAGTTTTCTGTTTCTCATTTCATTCTCTCCACTCCCTCATCTCTGCTTGCTAAAGTCACCTCCCAAATAAGTCTGTCTCCAATGTCAAGTGTCTTCTCAGACTCTCAGTTTGGGTGGGGAGGGCACCTAATAAAATATATATCATCACTACCACAGAGCATCCCCGCGGGAGCTGACATCTTGGGCCTGCTCACCCGGAAGTGCTGCGCCACCAGCACTTTGTCGTGGAGGCATCTGGGGTAGAGGACAGCGTGGAGGTCCCTCAGGGCTGCGTTCAGTTTTTCCTTCTCTTTGAAATTAGCAATCACGTGGCCAACAGCTTTCATAATGACCATCGCCTGCTCTGTGAACCGGTAGCTCTCCTGTGAAGACAGAGAAGAATTGCCAGCCTTGTTTTCCTTTACTTGGGTGTACTGAAGTTTACAAAAAATTAATGTCTGCTAATATATTAAACCTCTGCTAAACAGCTGACTTAATAATTGATCCAGGACTTGATCAAGGCTTGATTGTGCTCCAAGCTGTGGCCCTAGAGACCTTAAACAGGGACATTGTTCTTGCCATGCAGGAACACAACCTCTTATTGGGGGCAGGGAAACTTCTCCAAAGTATAAATACCTGATTTAGTGTGGAAAGATGTCTAGAGATTAATTAGTTTGACAACAACTGTGGGGTCAGATGGGGAATGAAGAGTAAGGCAGAGAATAACAAAGATCAAGAAGACAAAATGGTGAACAGGCTGCCCTACTGCTTCCCGCCTGGTGTGAATTCTGAGGACAACTGACGTGATGAAGAGACAGGGATTTGAAAACAGCATGGAGGCTCCTCAGAAAATAGGCCCACTACATGATCCAGGGCTCCACTGCTGCTGATGTATATAAAGGAAAGCAAAGCAGGATATCGAGGCAACCTAAGTACTTCCACATTCACTGCCCATCATTCACAATGGAGTAGAACATTAGTTGTAAGAACAAAGGAAATCTGCATTTGTAACAACAGGGAGGGGTCTTGAGGGCATTGTGCTAGGTGAAAGGATTCAGATAGAAAAATACAAGTGGAGTCTCCCTGGTGGTGCAAGGGGTTAAGCACCGCACTATGAAGCAATCCACAGCAGCACGAGTTCGATCCCTGGCTGGCCAGGGAGAAACCCACATGGTGCAGCAGACCTCTCCTGACTCGCCCGCTGCTCCCCTTAGCAGTGTGCTTCAGTCAGTCTACCTGTTCTGTTCCCCACTCTGTCTCCGGTGTATCCTCTCATCCCCCGCATCTCTGGCCTGTGCCCCAGCTCTTGTATGCATAAATAAATAAATCCTAACAACAAAAAAGAAAAATACAAGTGGTAACACTTATACATAAAAGCAAACAACAACAACAAAAATTCAAACACATAAAACGAGTAGAAAAGTGGCTTCCAGAGGGAGTCTGAGGGTTGGGAAACAGGGAGAGGCTGGCAAAAGAGTACAGACTTCCAGCTGATGGATGAATCAGGTTCAGGGACCTGATGTAAAACATGGTGACTACAGTTAATAACATCGTATTATAATTGACAGTTGCTAAGAGAGTAGGACTTAAATTTTCTTTAAAAAAATAAGATAAACATGTGAAGTGTTGGCTATAGTGAGAATCCTTTCACATTGTGTATGTATATCAGCCCCTATGAAGTGCATATACTATAAATACATTACCATCTTAAATAGGTCTGTAAGAAATGGATAGTATGAAACCAAAAGAAAGTGTGGAAGAAAGGAGGCAGAGAGGGAGAAAAGAAGGGAGAGAGGGAGGGAGAGAAGGACAGAGAGAGCCCTGAGGAGTCTGCCAGGTTTCTAGGGGTGTGGGTTGACATTGGTGGAGCTGATCGGAGTAGAGGTGCTCAGAGGCAGTAGAAAAACAGTGAATGAAGTTGGAGAAAAAAAAAATCTGTGGAGTTTGTTTTTGACCCCTTTCCTAGGGATTTCATGACCCACTTTTCTTCTTGCGTCCTTGGAGAATATTTGAACAATGCTCCAGCAGGTGCGCCTCCTCCATTCCCTGCTCTGAGGAGAAGCAGATGCGATGCACTTGGACCCCGATAGCAGTTGCTTCCATCACTTATTTTCATTCCTTCCAAAGTCTAAGGAAGCCCTTGCTCAGTGATGTCTTCCCCAGGTGAAAGCACAACCAGGAGAGTTATCTTTTCAGGGGCAGCATTGCAAGTGATCACGCATGACACTGAGCGACAGGAGCCTCTGCTCTTGGGTCAGTCCATCCCCTCCTGCACCCTCTCTTCTCGCTTCTCTTGCTATGTCATTAGAATGGAGGAAACACAGGGCCATTGGCCATTGGCTTTGAGTCCCAATAATTTTTATAAGCTGGAGGAGTTGATAACCTCAGGGGAATATGAATTCACAGACCAAAATAACTGAACATCTAGGAAGCTGAAACATCTCAAGAAACAAAGTGGATAACCCCTATCTAAAGCAGCATTTTTTTTTTAAAGAAAAAAAGAAAGAAAACAAGAATTTAAAATAAACAGCGTAAACACAACGAAGGAAGTAAGTGACACAGACATATAAGGTGAACCTGCTGATCTTCCTTCCCTGTCTGTTGAACAGAAGAGAGAGGGATGGTGAGAGATGGCAGTGATGGGGATCCTGTGCGCCCCTGCCCAGAGAGGCAGGAATGGGTGACCGGAGCTGGCTTGAGCAACCTTGACCATGGCCACGAGGTTTGTTGGCTGGCATAGCAGAGCCCATCCCATTAACATGAGACTGTGCTACATGGAGATGGGGTGGGGTAAGGGGATAAAGTGCCATTATGCCCCCAAGATGCTGATGCCCTTTTATCTAAAAAGGGTCTATTTAGGAGGATTTCTAAAACCAAGCAGAACCCCAGGAGAGATGCTGACACCATTTATTCCATGTTTTCTTTCAGAACTTATCAGCAGAGGAGCAAGAGAAACTAAGACATCACGAGGAAAAAGAGAAGATGAAAGAGAAGTGACAGACATTCCATGGACCCTCTCCCTGAGTTCCAGAGACACACACTCCAAATTCCTGAGGCCAAGGAAGGGATGGGAGAAGCATATGATACCCAAACATTAAATTGCATTAAAAGGGGCTGTGCCAGTCTTTTATATCCCCAAAGGACTTACTGTACTGTGGGATCTGCCTGAGCGATTAACAGATGTGAAAGAAATTTAACAGAGCAAAGGCAATGGTTGGGGAAACAAAACTAAAACTATTTTATTTGTGTACCCATAGAGTGTAGACAGTTTACTGCACATGCTGGATTTGGAAATTTCTTGCAGAGTATGTTTAATAGTTTTAAAAGGTAAAAAAAAAAAAAAGGTTAAGCTGAATAAAGAATAGAAATACGATTTAGTTAAAAATCCTGGAAAATAAGGCACACCCCAAAAAGTATTGTTGTTAAGATATTTACCAGCTCAAAGTTGGGAAGCACATTGTCTTCATCCCCAAAGACAAAAGTGACCATACTGCAGATGTGAATCGAGTGTCCGACTGCGGAATATGTATTGAAGAGCAGCATGTGTCTCCTGGAGAGAAGGGACACTGTGTGAGCACCAGGAGCTTCCTTTGCAGCAGTCCTGACCTGTTCATTTCTTGCTGACGGTTTGTGCTCAAATGAAGTAACGTGTTAGGAAGAGTGGAATTCTTTTTACTCTGAAAAGACTCTGAAGAGAGGATGCAATCTATCTTTCACTAATTAGGTTGGCTAGAAACAGTTACACTAAATGACAAACCTGCACTTGCTGGAGATCTCTCCCATGCACTGCAGTCACACTGCAAAGGACTCATCTTGTTCTTCCCCAAATAACAACAATAATTCATGCTGGCATAGGGCGTTGTGGATTTCCTAGTCACTTTCTCACAAATGCATGATTTCATGTGTATTAACTGTGCTTTCCCTACCAGCTTACACCATCACCGAGAACATTGACCACCCCTCAGTATGACACCCTCAGAACATGGTGACAGGCTAGGCTTTGTGGAGGGGGAGAATTAGATGTAAGAAGATTAATAATTTGGTGGATGAACACTCAGAATAGTGATTTCTGGGAGAATCTCACTATGTCAGAGTCTTTATAGAAGATGTGAGAAATACAGATGTTTTCAAATTTATTATTTTCTAGGAATAATGGATGCTTGGTGTGCATTATTTTAGCACTTGATTTTATAGCTTAGTTTTGCTTCCTGTGCAAGAACCCTGGTTTTTCATTAATTACATAGAATTAGCATGATTTCTCCTAGAAAATCTAGCAAAAACGATACTAATTTAATCTGAAATAGTAAGGCAATATTTTGAATTTTATTTATCAAAATCAAGGAAACATTTCATTGGCCATTTTTTCAATGGAAAATGTGATGTATTTAAGCAGATGTATCTTAATTTAAAATAAAGTCTAATAAAAACAAATTACAGACAAAACTATAACTTGGCAGGGGGAAATGCTACATTCCTCAATCTGTTTTGAAATAAAGTCATGGGTCTTGGTAAGGAACATAGCAGGATTTACAAGGGATCAAAAGGGATTCTTGATAAATTAATTTTAGAAAAAGCTGGCTTCAAGAGGTTTAAACTACATTCTTTAATAGATAAATTACTAGACTCCCAATAATTATGAATCTTTTGAAGGGAGATTCGTAATATAGCATTTCATTTTTTATATCTAAAGAATCATTAAGAATCAAGATCGAAAAAAACAAAAGAATCAAGATCTGTATTTATGAATTCACGCTAGGAAGCAATATCCTAGATTCCATATCATTTAGTTACTTAGTCATCAATGGTTTATAAGACTTAAAAAAAAAAAAAAAAAAACAACTGTTAGAATGGGAGAAATGAAGTCCCCTTCCCACATACCCGAGAGGCAGGCGGATCACAGTGGCTTTGGTGGCATAGGTGTGAATCTTCAGTATGGGATCACGTGCCTTCACAGACTTCCAAGAAACTGTTTCAGCTGTGAGGAGTCCAGGCTCTACAGGAGGACTGTCTTTTGTTAAAGCTTTAGAAAAAGTGAGAAATATTAGGGGCCTGCCTGGTGGCGCAAGGGGTTAAGATGCAACCTATGAAGCTATCCTCAGCCTCTGCAGCACAAGTTTGATCCCTGGCCAGCCAGGGAGCAACCCACATGGTGCAGCAGACCTCTCCTGACTCGCCCACTGCTCCCCTCAGCAGTGTACTTTGGTCCATCTGCCTGTTCTGTTCCCTACTCTGTCTCTGGTGAATGCTCTCACCCCCCCCCATACCTCTGGCCTGTACCCCAGCTCTTGTATGCATAAATAAAATCTTAAAAAAAAGGGAGAAATATTAATATTTAATTGTGAGAGTATAAGTGGCCTTCACTAGTATTGCCTTTTATCTAGTAACAATATTAATGAATTATAGCAATAATAATAAGAAGAAGAATACATATCGAGGACTAGAAATTTTCTAAACATTTTCATGGCACATTAAAAATTAACATGGGTGAATCATGCTTGGAAATATACTCAAGTGACACCCACATCTTCCTCCCTGTCCTTCCCATAATCTTCCCTGAAGGTAAGAAACCAGGAATGGGAAAGTTAGGAAGAGGACAGAGAGGGTGTCTCCCTGTAGTACACCATCATTTTTATTATATATGGCAGTAATCACGACATCCCTCTAGATACAATCTTAAAGGAGGAAACAAAAAAACATCATATCTGGAAAAATAAGAGATTTTTGACCTGACAAAGCCAGGTCCACATAGCCCATTGTTATTTTTGTTTGTTTTTCTTTTAAAGATTTATTTATTTATGTATACAAGAGCTGGGGTACAGGCCAGAGATGTGGGGGGGTGAGAGGATTCACCAGAGACAGAGTGGGAAGCAGAAGAGGCAGATCTACTGAAATACACTGCTGAGGGGAGCAGCAGGTGAGTCAGGAGAAGTCTGCTGCACCATCTGGGTGCTCCCTGGCCAGCCAGGGATCTAACTTGCACTGCAGAGGCTGCAGATTGCTTCATAGGTTGCATCTTAACCCCTTGCACCACCAGGGAGGTCCCCACATATCCCATTGTTTATCTAAGTTTTCACCTTTGACTCTAAGCTTTCACCATATGTAGAAATAGCAAATCATTAGCAAAACTTTAATTTTAATATCAAATGTTTCCCTTAAAATGAATAAACTATAACAACTATTCTTCATCAGTAGCTTAATGCAAATTATTTTCTACCTTATTTCCAGGTAACAGTCAAGGAGACAAGATGACAACATGACTTGAAACCCCTCCACACACAAGAATGTAAATGTCTGGTCATACCTTGTGGTTTAGGGGCTCTTGGTTACTAAACACACTGAAATTATACCACTGAAGCTTATTCAACAAGTACTTATTTCCCACCTTGGTAAACCAGACACAATTCAAAACACTGGTGGTATCTTGATGGAAAATCAGAGTCCCCGCCCTTCAAGTTGGGAAGACATCCCATATTAAGTATTCAGCAAATATTTACCAAACATTTAGGGTGCCAGATTGTGTATTAGAGAGAAAGTTTTAAACCAAAGAGGTCAAAGAACTGAAGAACGATGTTTTGTGCCCTTGCAAATGTGTGTGCAAAGGGCTGCACTCAGGGGAAAGCAGGGACAACCCACCCATTAGAACAGGAGGGAAGGCTGGGGGACTCCCTGGTGGCACAGGGGGTTAAGCACCGCACTATGAAGCGATCTGCAGCCTCTGCAGCACAAGTTTGATCCCCAGGCAGCCAGGGAGCAACCCACACGGCACAGCAGACCTCTCCTGACTCGCCCGCTGCTCCCGTCAGCAGTGTATTTCAGTCAGTCTGCCTGTTCTGTTCCCCACTCTGTCTCTGGTGGATCCTCTCACCTCATCTCTGGCCTCTGCCCCAGCTCTTGTATGCATAAATGAATAAATCTTTAAATAAAAAAAAAAAAGAACAGGAGGGAAGGCTGCCCAGCGCTTGTGAGAGTTCTTTATGAACAGATAAGGTGGCTCATTTCTGATTTGTTCTCTCTCTTCAGTGAAAACAGCCACAAGGTCACGACTTAGGGAAAGAGTGAGGAAGAGAGTAGGTGTTAGCAAGAGAGAGAAAGCAGAGGTAGGGAGGGTGGGAGAGGAGAGATTTGAGGTTTGAGGTTGTCATCCACGGGAATGAGAGCGGGAGAATGAATGAACTGGTGAAATGCTGGCCTTGCGTTGGGGAGCTTTTAGGGATTTGTGATCTTTGATGTAAGGCGGGGTAGCTGGTATGATGCTTTCCCTCCCCAGTTGAAGCTGCTCTGATTCAACTCCAGGTTAGGCACAGAGATGAGTTCAACCAATATTAGGATTTTGTCAGGAAAGTAAGATGAGAGCACAGGAAAACGCCTATGTTGAGGGCAGATGGGAGGATAAAATTACATGCCAGACCATGGGAACTATGTTGGAAGTGATAAAACTGAAGACAGGGGTGAAGGGCGCAGAGCGGGGTGTGGCTGACAGATGGTGGATCCTGAGGAGTCAAAGGACTGTTGAGTTGGAGGTGAAGAGTGACCTGAAGCGTCGAGGGCTGGTGGGCAGAGAACTTGAAACTGAGATGACGGAGATGGTGCAGCTTTTGGTCCAGTAAGTTTATTTTAAAAGATTTATTTATTTATGCATACAAGAGCTGGGGTACAGGCCAGAGACATGGGAGGGTGAGAGGATTCACCAGAGACAGAGTGGGGAGCAGGACAGGCAGATTGACTGAAATACACTGCTGAGGGGAGCAGCGGGCAAGACAGGAGAGGTCTGCTGTGTTGTGTGGGTAGCTCCCTGGCCCAGTAAGTTCTAAAGTACAGACACGAAGTAGGAGGTGAGGTGGGATAGAAGAAAACATCTTCAGAATTGTGAAATCAAAGAAGAAAGTAGGGCCTCCCCTGGTGGTGCAGCGGTTTAGCGTTGGGCTGCAAAGCTGCCTGCAGCCTCTGTAGCACCTGTTAGAGCCCCGGCCACCAGAGGAGGGTCCCACATGGCATGCAGACCTCTCCTGCCGCCCGCTGCTCCCCTCAGCAGTGTACTTCGTCAATCTGCCTGCTCTGCTCCCCGCTCTGACTCTGGTAAATTCTCTCACCCTCCCGTGCTTCTGACTGTACCCCAGTGCTTGTACAAATAAATAAATAAATCTTTAAAAAAATTTTAAAAAAAGAAGAAAGTATATATTTGGAAAATATTAAAAAATATGATATATAAGTGGAAAGAAAAACAGAGTGGCTTGGGGTGCCAAAGAGGTAAGCAGATGACAAGAAGTGCAGGTGGCAGGAGTGAGCATTGGCCTTGATGCCTGAAGAGAACGAAGATCATAGGAGATGGTGTAAGTGCGACTCTTAGAGAGGCTAAAGAGGGAATAATCTCCTCCATCCAGAGCCTAAAGCCCTGTTATTGCATCCCCCCTGCAGTGAAGGTGAGCTGGGCATTAGGACTATAATTTTCTCATCACCCTCTTACCTCCAGATTCTCCCCAGCGTACCAAGGCTGAAAAGCAAACCAGGAGCTCAATAGGTTTTAGACTGTCCACAAATAAATAGTAGGACACACGCTCATCTGAGAACTGCAAGAAACGAGACCAGTCAGTGAACTTAATTTTAGTCTAATAGGTGGTTTCCCACTTCTACTTATAATGCAATGGCTAATGCTTACTTTGTATGTTGTACTGTGTTCTAACTCGATTCACAATAAGAACTTGATGGTGTTTAAGGATGGGAAGAAAATCACACCAGATGAATGCTGGGAATAGTCTACAAGTAAGGCTTAAGTAAACTGGGAACCATGTCAGAGAGTGAAATCTTCTCTCCATGAACAGAGAAAAGGAATATGCTTGTTCTAGAAATGATGATGGGGGGAACACTGGACCATGGCTGAGCAGCAGGCTCACAGAAGGGTTCCTGGGAGCCAGGCCAGAGAAAATTTGGCAGAGGCTGGAAAGGTCTTATGGGAATGTAGTGTATATTTTACAGGGTGATATATGATATAAACCCTCTATTCCTTTATCTGCAAGATCTTCAGAAACACACCCACAGCCGTGCTAGCACACAAGGCTGAAATTTGGTTTTGGAGATGCAAGAAAGTACTGAATAAAACCAGAACTTCTCTTAAAGAGAGCCACCTGAGGGAGATATATATATGTATCTCCAAGGTCTCAATTCATTCTATGTGGGCATCATCAATATTCATAATTATGGTTAAGCAGCTGAAACACAGGTAAGGCAAGCATTTGCCTCAGGTCACCAAGTTTGCAAGGAGCAAAACTGAGATTCAAAAGCAGGTCTCTGGGGCCTCCCCTGGTGGTGCAGCGGTTGAGTGCTGGGTTGCGAGGCTGCCCACAGCCTCTGCAGCTCCAGTTCGATCCCTGGCCACCAGCGAGGGTCCCACAAAAACAAACAAACAAACAAAAAGACAAAAGCAGGTCTCTGTCCACCTGACTGCGGGTGGTGTTCTGACTGTTGAGCTATTATTGCCTCTCAGTTTTCAAACTCCCAACCTAATTGTGACTGACAGCAAATGGTAAAGGTGTTAAATGAATTTCACTGCCATACACTTTAAAAGTGTTTCATATTAACTTCCCACAATATTTAAAGAGCTCAGTAACATCTGACAGGAAGATCTCCTGTAACATGGTGTGCAAGGACACTTTCTTACCTCAATCAAGTATGACAAGATTTTTAGAAATGCTTGATGCAGTGATTGCTTGTCCCAATTTAGCATCTGACACTAACTCCTTTGTTTCCTTTTAGCTGGTAACAGACCTTGGTTTTAAATAGCCCCTCTCTGAAAGAAGGGCCCTGGATCCTGGAATCCTGGATCTGCGAGCCCACGGTGCCAGCCTTGTGGGGGTTTCTGCTCAGAGACCGCATGCTGTTGTTTTAGGGGTCTGAGAATGTGGAGGTGCGATGACAGGGGTGGGGATGGGCACATGGAGGGACTTCACCCTGGTGCCAACACAAGGCATCCTAGAGAGTCCTCAGCCCCAACCCCACCAGCATCAGAGAGCCTCTGTGGAATGTGTGCAGGGGAAGCCTCAGGCTCGCTACCTCTAGCTCACCAGGCAGTGCCTGTGGCCACTAAAATCAGAAATGTTGGTCTCAGATCACCAACCCTTCCGGTCAAGTCACACTAAAGGCCATTGAGTTTGAGTTCCAATGCTCTCCAAGGAAAAGTTATCATTTTCTCACACCATTAATGTTTACAAAATTTCAGGGAAATAGAGACTCACAGAAGAATCTCATTATTTTATGTTCCCACACTGGGACTTTAAAAAAACAAACAAACAAAAAGCCACTATGTCTAGCCATCACTTCATAAAATCAGGGTCAGAATAAAGAGGAGCGGGGCTTGTGACTGCACATATACACGTATATACCAGATGGTGATGCAAAGGGAAACTCCTGCAAACACCTGACCTCGATTTTCACTTGTTAAGCAACAGGCATTCTTCTAAGCATTTTGCATACATGATTCCTCAATTCCCTGATAAAGGTCTCTTATTTCTGCCATTTTGTAAATAAGCACTGAGACAGAAAACGCACATAAATTGCACAATCGCACCCCAAGTGGAAACTTTTCAAAGCCAAGTGGTCTGGCCCAGAGCCACTTGTCTGCTTCTTCTAGCAGTGACCCTGGTCGAGAAGAGCCCTGGCCCCCCGCGTCTCGTGACACTCACACCACTGAGCAGTTTGGTGTCTTGGGCATTTGACCGAAACCTGACATGACTGCAGACCTGATTCTTATTTCTGAATTTAGAACAAGGGCCACAGAGCCCCCTTTGAGGCGTGGTCTGGTTTTCTCTGTCTGTATTTCCATGCAGTACAAATGTGATGGAAAAAGTCAACTGTAAGACTCCTCCCACATCCCAACCCCCCATCCTGCTCATGGAGAAGACGTAAGAGTATCACTGAGGCTTGTATGGCCTTGTTCTAAGATAGGAAAACATGCAAGTTTGGGTATAATTTGCTTTCCCGGAATATGTTTCATGTTTTTCCCCCAAATTCCACTCAATGTGGGCTTTATTAATGAGCTCATTTGACAATTTTGTATTGAGTTCTTACTCTTGCCAACACTGGCATCATAGTGGTGAATGAAAGGATAGCACTGTTCTTCTTCTAAAGATGCTGAACCAAAGTGACCAGCAATTGAGGAGGGGAAGGTGGTATGGTTCAGCATGGAGTGTGTGCAGAATGTTTGCGCAAGACTCCAAGACCAGGGAAGAAGGCCTCAGAGGCTCAGGGACATCAACGGCATCAGCCTGATGGAGGCAGTAGGATGAATGGGATTAAGCTACAGCAGAGGGACAAACATGGGCAAAAATAACAGAAATGGTAATGAGAGGTGCTCATGTTTTAATAACTGCACACTCCTTAGAAAATGCAAATTGAAATCAAATATGCTGAATTTTATTTGTGTTTCTCCCTCATAAATCAAAAGTTTCTTCATGTGAATTTGCATTTCTATAATAAAGCATCCCATGATTGAACCACTATTCTGAATAAAGGATATGAAGAAGAACCTAAGAATTAATTTTTAAAATATAATCATATTAACAGTTTAGAAATATTTGATAATTTTTTTGTTTTGTTTTGTGTCCCTCCTCCAATGGTTGATAAAGGTGTCATTCACAAGCATGGTTTTATCCAAAATTTGAGTGTTAGGGGGGAAAGAGGAGAGATAATAATATGCTTACCTTAAATTCTGATTTTTGAAAGTTAATACAATATGAATTTGGCCTGTGGAAAATATATATATTCCTGAAAAACATTATTTAGAACAGGCTATTGTCATTATATATCACAGACTGATACTACATGCTAAGATTCTTAGAGTCAAGTAATTCTAGGCATAAGAAGGTAAAGACAGATGTAAGCTTAAAAGTAACAGTTCAGGGGCCTTCCTGGTGGCGCAGTGGGTTGAGCTCCACACTGTGAAGCTGTCTGCAGCCTCTGCAGCGCGGGTTTGATTCCAGGCCGGCCAGGGAGATACCCACATGGCACGGCAGACCTCTCCTGTCTCACCTGTTGCTCCCCTCAGCAGTGTGTTTTGGTCAATCTGCCTCTTCTGCTCCCCACTCTGTCTCTGGTGAATCCGCTCACCCTCCCACACCTCAGGCCTATACCCCAGCTCTTGTATAAAAATAAATAAATCTTTGAAAAAATAAAAGTAATGGCTCAGTAGATATGTATTCACTGGGGACTGGGAGCTGGACGGGAAATAGGGAGAGGCTGGTAATAGGGCAGAAGTTTTCAGATATAAGACAAAGTCTGAGGGTCAAATGCCTAGTACTACCATTGATAACACTGTATTGAAAATGTTCTCACTAAGGGGGAAAAAAAACCATATGTAAGCTAATGTGTGTGTTAATGTTATATATATGGAGAGACCATTTCACAAAGTATATATATCAATTCATCACTACATACACTTTAAGCATCTTATACTTTTATTTTCAATTATACCTTAACAAAGGTGAAAAAATAATAGCTATTGAAATGGTTGCTGTAAAGGGACAAAAATGCTCTCTCTCTCAGTGAATAAACTGTCCTCCTCTTAATCAACAAATAAATTTTTGAGGAGAAACTGAAATTGGCCTGAGATTGGTTGTTTTCCTTTCTAAATTTTTGATGTTTTAGCTACGCCCGACTAATGCTGGTGTAACTCTTTTAAATGATAGCTAAGAATTAATAGTTTCTACAACTACTATTTAAATGCACACAAAATATTATATACTTACTGAAAACATGCACAGAAGTCTTCAAAATCAAGCCATATTTCATTGGAAATACCCACATTCATTGCTATTAGTTCCTCCTGTGATTTTTCCTGTGCTGCTGTGCTCAAGCTGACCACCTCTCTTTCCAAGCTAAATCCCTCAGATTGGTGGACAGCATCATTCACTCCCATGTCTGTTAGTTCATCTGTACACAGAAGACAAACAAATCAAACATGCCTATGTTATTACATAATGTGTTATTATTAATAAAATAGGAAAATCCAGAGAGGGGAGCTCATCTATCAGAGTCTATTTTTGAGAAATTATTTATTGAGATAATCATTCACATGCAAGTCTCAGAGGATGGGGGTCCATGAAGACACAGTTCATACCTTGGAGAATTGGATCATAATATAAACATCATAGAGTGGTCAGGAGTCTTGAAATCATATTCATACATTTGAACTCACAATCTTTAGTGATTGTGAAGTTATAAAAGAAATCATCTATATTTTGTGCTTAAACTTTGTTGCAGGCAGACGTACTGATTTAAGAGAGACGGCTCAGTCACCAGAGGAGAGAGAAAACCTGTAAGATCTGTTGATTCATGTATTTCCACAAACCATTGAACAGCTCCCCACATTTGGCAATGCTATATGCTCATGTTTTCAAGTAATACAATACAGTGCTTATGGACTTCTTGAACCAAAATCATCTATACACACAGGCTACCTAACACTTTTGTTTTTATATTAAGGAATTGAGAAATCTGCCATAGTCCTAGTGCCTTGACCACAAAATGCACACATAAACTACGTAAATTTCTTCATGGACCCATGGTCTTTGGTTCTGACTTTAACCTTGAATTTAGCAAATGATATTATCTGATCTTTCTGTCTCTGAGCAGATCAGCCTCAGCATCACGGGACACCTTCAAAGGAGGCTGGCAGTGAGGAGAAAGGTGAACTAAACAATTGTCAGGTGGAGGCTCCTTTGTACTTTGATGTCTGAAACAATGTCACGAGAAGATGATTTTACCTTTTCCAGCTGCAACTTGTGAAACAAAATTACCCTGCAATTGAAAGGAATACATTAAGAAACTACTTATAAATCTAATAAAACACTGCAGCTGCTTAAAGTACCAAAGTTTTTAAAAGTTAACAGTCTTTTAAACATTGAAGAAAATAGACTTCCTCAAATAATTACTAAAACATACAGTAAGAGAGAAATTCATTTTTACTTTTAAAATTTAAATGAGGTAAATTTAACTTTAAAAATTGAAAATTTAAGTTTATGAGTCTTATAATAAAGTTAAATTAACACAATAATATACTTAAGTAGATACATTACTTGCTTTGGGTCATCTGTCATCAATATAGACTGGGCATAATGAGATTATCATTGGCAATTATGATTTTTTGGGTAAGTTTGCTCTTTTCACCATTATATACAAAAGGTTAAAATTTTAAAAATATTTTAAAAATATAAAATTTTCTTCCCCTTATATCTCATTTGTTAGTTTCAATTAATATTAAAACATCTTTTCAATTAATATTAAAACATCTATTTTCCTGTACACGATGGTTGCCCTCTATATATCTCATACCAGATGTTGAAATTGATAAACTATGGCTAATACACATACTGAAATATCATGTAACTTTAAGAATAAAGACACTCTTTAGGTATAGAATATAGAATCGATAATTCTTTTGCTAAATTTTTAGTAGGAAAAGAGGTGGTAGAACATTTTGTGTGTGCTTTGCGTTTACATGAATTAACCCTAAAGTGCCATACAGAGGGCTGAGGGGTGAAAATGGAGATGTGCTTAAATGGGAACAAGACTTCTTAATGAGTGTCTTGTGTTTTTATTTTTGAACACGTGAATATATTATCTCTTAAAAAAATACCTTTTACAACCAAAGTTGAAATGTCAGACGGTATGTATTGGCCATGATGTGGACAATAAAGAAAATTCTCAGCTAGCACTGATTGGAATGGATGTTGATAGATGGGTATTGAGGAAAATTATTTGGCATTTTTATCCTAAGGTTAAACAGGTGACAGCCTCAGGACCCACCAGTAATACTACCTGACACACAGTCTAGAGCAGTGCTTGCTAGTCTAGTGTCCACTGGGACCAATGGTTAGATTTCAGGAATCCATTAACATGGATGATTTTTAAAAACATTTGGCTGACATTCAGCATTTTCTTCAATTATACGATTTATCAATGCACTTATCACAACATTGTTAGTAATAAATGACTTCATTCACAAAAGAAAGTTTAAAATGACGGTATATTATAGTTGTTGCAAGTATCTTAAAACACGTATGCTGGCCACTGATTTGCAATTACAGCCTTTATTAGGCTGATGGTTGCATGTCATGCGGTCACGTCTTCCTGTCTACAGATATTTCCCTAACCCACAATCACCCAGCTAATCGGCAACTCTGCTTAACAGTCACACAGCCACTGCTAGTCAAGCGTGGGCTCTTGCATTGCTGAGCAGACAGCTATATTCCTCCCACTACCAACAATATTTAACGAATATGCAGAAATAGATGAGTTGTTCTCATTGCATGTTAAAATTTGGAAAATTGACAAAGGGCATCATGGCACATAAAAGGTTACAAACCCAGGAGATAGAGAGATTCTTGCCCATATGGGACATTCAAGAAAGTCAAGGCACCCTTTCTGGCAATAATAAGAAACAAACAGCAATGAACAGCGCTATTAACACTGTGAAAGATTAATGGAAAAGGTAGTTAAATACCCTTGACCAGTGAAATGAATAAACTGGGATATGCAAAAAAGACAATGTTAAGTAAGAGATGTTCCAGAAGAATTGATGATGCAAGAATTCACTTAAATAGAACTATGTGATAATTATAATATTTATATAAATACATAATATGTATAAAAGAATTATAATAATATATTATTTATAAATGATACCTAATTGGCCAAATTGGAAGTATATGGAGTTAAACAATTCTTCCAGAATGGCAGACAAGAAATACAAAGGAGATATATTGGGTCCTTTTATATGACAGGAATAGGTGATGCTATAGGAGGGGCTATTAAGAGCTGTATTCCTTACTCTGTTCAGAGGAATGGTATATATTCTTTTTTATGTACATTTCACAATTTGAGAAAAAATCTTTTATAATTAAGAAGGGGGCCAGTAATAAGAGTAACATAGTTACCTGAGATGTACTTTTGGTCAAATGATTGAATTCGGTCTGGCTAAAGGTTATCATTTCATCATTTTCAGGAAGGGAAGATAAGGTAGGTGCTTTCTTAACAGATGGTACAAAATGACTAATGGAGAGGGGAAAAAAAACACTTGTTATCTTGCTCTCACTGAGAGTTACTAACAAATGAATACAGTTTTTTATTGAGATATAATCAACATATTACATTCATTTCAGATACACAATGTACTGATTCCATATTTGTATATTTTTAAATATGTTCACCATAAGATCTAGTTGACACCTGTCAATAACTTTACAACCTTTTCTTCCTTGAGATGATCTCATTGAAATCTACTCTGTTGGCAACTTTCAAATATATAATACGGCGTTATTAACTATTGTGACTACTGTACATATTACACCCCTTATTTATTTATTTTATATCTGGAATTTTGTGCTTTTCAACCCCTCCTCTCATTTTGCTCTCCCTCACTGGAAATCACCAATCAGTTCTTTGAATTTTTAGTTTGGGTTTTTGTTTGTTTGTTTTGTTTTGTTTTAGATTCTACATGAAGTGAGATCATACATTTTACTCATTTTTCTCTGATTCATTTTACTCAGCATGATGTCTTCAAGGTCCATCCACACTGCCACAAAAAGCAAGATATACTTTTTGTTTTTTCTTAAAACTGAATAACATTGTGTTTATTAAAATACTACACTTTTGTCCACAATGGAAAGCTCTGTAATTGCTCATTTTATCATTCTCATTCTTTTGCAACCATTAATATTGTTTTTTGCTTCATGTCAAAAACACTGAATTGCTTTCTGCTCTTCTGAAGAAATATCCACTGTCTGTCGATATGTTGGTATACAATAATCTAGAATACTATCTATTTTAAAGCTATAGTCATCATTTATTGATCAGAATATAGGAATATGACAACATTTAGAATCAATTTAACTAAGTTCCAGAGAAATGGATCAATGAAATAGGACTCAGCATCAGAAGCTGAATGATGACACTTGAGCACTTAAATATCTAACTGTGGCACACATACCAGATGCCCAATTTCCTTCCAAGTAATTGCTGATATGACCCAAATCACTGCTGCCAGAGGCAGAATAAAAAGACATTTGTTATGGTATAGATATTTTAGGTAAATGCACTTTAAAGGATGAAGTTAAATTCCATGTAGGCAGACTTCCTTACCTTTCAGATTTTTCCTTGCTAGTGCTCAGTAAAGCTTAATTGATTTTAAACTGGATGTCTCTGATTTACCTGCCACTAGAGGGTAGCACAAGCGCATTTGTGGAGCTCAGATTCTATCCAACAAAGCCAGGGGCCAGGAACCAGCAAGCCAGGCTTGTTGCTCCAAGAACAGTGTTCCAGTCAGAGGCAATTGCCATTGCAGTGGCCCTGAGCACTCACCCAAGAAAGGGCTACTCTTAAGCTGACCTGAGAACTCTGACTGCAGCAAAGTAGGACAAGGGATGTTTCTTTCACACAGGATGAAATGCCTTTCACCTCACAAATGCTTTCTGCTCTGACAACAGAAAGATTACGCAAGTGAACTCCTAACATACTCAAACAGTGCGAAAAGTGGCTGCATTAAGTGTGCAAGTCCCCTGCATCTGGGTTATAAAATTTTATCCACCTTAGTTGAGTAATACAGGTGAAAGAAGGCATAATAAAATCAGGTAAGGGAGTAACTTAAGTTCAGGTTTGAAACCAACTCATTTGTATTCCTTATTGGCATAGGGATTCTAGAGGTCTGGGTGTGGTGTTTTGAATCACAAAAATGTCTGTCCTAGGCGTCTCTAGCTCCTTATTACAATCCAGAAAATCTTTGATTAGTGTGCAACTTTAGTCAGCTGAAATAATCCAAAATTATTTGTAATGGTAAAATCACCATTTTAGTGACAAGATGATTAAGCATAAAATTAATTACCAAAAGTATAAAGCATCAGCATATTTATGTTAAGTTCAGGAAAATCCTCAGAATATATGACATTCTGAACCTATAATATGCAAAACAATTTATTATGCTACATAGTCCAGAAGACTAAATTTTAAAAAGTGTTGCTTGATATTTAGTTTTAGTTTTATAATTAAGTTCGAAGGTAAAGATTTATAGATGTGTAGGAAAAAATAAAATTAAAATAAAAATAAAATTCTGCAAATACATGAGTTTTAACTTATTATTTGAACTTTTATAATGATTTTAATACTTAGCAAGATCTACTTTCTACAACTTTTGGCTTTTTGTGTAATTAAGGAGAAAATAAAAAAGAGAAAATAGGTTGTCAATATAATTTTAAATGTTTATGTTAATTCAGCTAACAAAATGTATTCCACCTATATGTTCTTTAAAAAAAATAATAATTTTAAAAGGAAGATAAATGGAAATGTACTGACTTAATAAGCTTAATAAGTGCTAAACTCACTTGATAAGAGGTGCACAAATCAGTTGTTGAAACATCTGAATATCCAAAGATCCAAAAAAATGATTACGTAAGTTTGCATTCTTATTAAGTGAGAAAATGTAAAAAATCTGTATGTTAAAGGAAGTGTTTAAAATTGGGTTCAACTGAATGTGGGCCATGCCACTCCCACCATCAAAACACCAGGCACCCCCCAACGCAGGCAGCATTCATTTGAAGAGGTGTGGACCTGTACGGAATACATACGCAGTGCTGTAACCCAAAATTACCTCAATAAAACAAAATTGTTCGGTAAATATATAAATGAAGTTGTTGGATTCAAAATACAACAAATGTATTTCAAACATTCTTAGAAATTAATGTTTATGCAGAAAATAAGATTTATATTAAGTTAAAACAAAGTGGGAGAAAAACTAGATTTATGAGTTGGTAACAGTAACACTGGACGGACAAATTCTATTACATTTGTCACCAAAGCATATATTTCAATTCTAAAATAATAATGAAAAGGTTCAGATGCTTTTAACTATCATATTAGGATTTAAATTCAACTGGCCTTCTTAGTAGAACGAAGGAAATTTTTCTAAGTTACACTATATAACATAAATGGATTTGATCTCCTCATGTTAATTTATAAACAGAAATATAGGCCCAACAATAAAAACTATAGTAAAAGTGCTACTATAAAACACTTCTTAGGAGAAGTCATTTATTCAATCCTTTTAACATTTAAAAAATATGAATTTAATGATGAAAATATTACTTTAGAATAACTCACCCTTATTTTTAAAGATTTATTTATTTATGCAAGAACTGGGGTACAGTCAGAGGCGCAGGAGGGTGAGAGAATTCACTAGAGTCAGAGCGGGGAACAGAACAGGCAGACCGACGAAATACACTGCTGAGGGGAGCAGTGGGCGACGGGAAAGGTCTGCCGCACCATGTGGGTTTCTCCCTGGCCAGCTGGGAATCGAAACCACACTGCAGAGGCTGCAGACAGCTTCACAGCGCTGCACTCAACCCACTGTGCCACTGGGGAGGCCCTAGAATATTTCACTCTTGATCACTTGAACTGTGACTAGTTCACAGTTACATTAAATTTACATAGTCACATGTGCCTAGTAGGTACTATATTGGTCAGTACTCACTAAAAATTTTGAATAACTTAAAATGCCTCAAAGGTATTTTCAGTTCAGTTGATATTCACTGAGCACCTGTCACAGCCAGGATACTATTTAAATATCAAAGCTTAATAATATAGATATAAAGTCCATCTGCTACTTTGAAGGTGCCCATTCTAATTTATATAAGCCTACATTAACTAATTGTAAAAATTTAGTAATGTTTCTCATTGTATGCAGAAAAGTGGAGGCAAATTTGGAGAAGACAAGGCTACAGGAAGCAGACAATATTGAGCAGAGATAATGAAGTCATTAGTACTGTGCATACGAAACTAAAACTGTAGCACAACCAAGTCGAGGTTGATATTCTGGAACTGCCAAATGTTAGCATAAGTGGAATTTCTTAAAATCTCTCTGACATAAGAAGACAGTGTAGTAATAGTGCTGGGTATGATTAGTCCAGGGAACAGGGAACCTTTTAATTATGCTTTATTATTAATAAGGAAAGACAGTGCTTAATATATTTATAACACTGATATATTCATGCACATTCACAATATGGAGAACACAACACAACTTTTGTCCAGGATAATGTCCAAAAAACCAAACAAACAAACATGGCAATAGTAATGCACTGCATTTATGTTTTATTGCACTACCAGTTAGGACTATTTGTGTCCCAAGTGTCAAAATGTCTGATTCATAGTAGCTTTAATAGGAAAGGAAATGGCATTGGCTTACTTAGACAGTGTTCTATTCCTGTCTAGGAGCCTAATGAGCAAAATGGAGTGTAGCATATAATTGTTGTGAAATATCTGCAGGTGTTTCAGATAGAAAGAGAATGAAGGGCTGAATCCTATTTTAGCTGCTTCATAAGTTATGCCATTTAGGGGAAGGAAGGTATTTACTTAGGATTCACCTTGACAGAGCATGTACTTGCCACATAAAGTGGGACGGGGTGATGTAAGTGGGGCTTTGAGGAGATAGTCTGAAGAGGAAGCACAAGAGAAAAATGGAGGGTTAGCTTGCTCGCTGAAGACAAAATGGGAGGGTGGTAAGAGAAGCAGAAAACATGGAGGCAATAGACTATCCAACAGGATAAAAGCTGGGTGATGATGGATAATGGCCAGTGGGAATCCCCAATGAGGAGTGATGTTAAAAGTAGGAGTATCTAATTTTCTCTTCATTATTTCAGTTACTCAAATGTTGGTTTTTAATGATGAAACCATTAGAAAATCTGCTATGTTCACAAATAATTTGAGCATAATTCTTATTGTTTTGGATTTGTTTGGTTGCTTGGTTTTAATGGAATGGAAAATGGAAGGAGCTAAGGCTAAATAAGTCCAATCGTGGTAGGAACAGAGGGAAGGAATAGCTACGGGAAGTGAAATGCACATGAAAAGAGCAGAAGCAGGAAATCACAACCAGAGACACACATTCACTTCAAGACGATAGACAAATCAAATGTGTCCCTCTTCCTCCCTCCTGCAAGCTGACCAGGGTCTCTTAAGAAATTAATAAATAAAAACATTCCTACAGAATTAACAGAATAGGCTTGCCATGATTAGTGATACCAGCCCAGCCCAGTGGGCTCCAGAGTCTCTCAGTCAAGAATGCAGTGTGGGGCCTCCCCGGTGGTGCAGCGGTTGAGCGCTGGGTTGCGAAGCTGCCCGCGGCCTCTGCAGCGACGGTTCGATCCCCGGCTGCTCCCCGGCCACCGGAGGAGGGTCCCACGTGGCGGCAGACCTCTCCTGCTGCCCGCTGCTCCCCTCAGCAGTGTACTTCAGTCCTTCTGCCTGCTCTGCTCCCCGCTCTGGCTCTGGTGAATTCTGTCACCCTCCCGTGCTTCTGACTGTACCCAGTGCTTGTATAAATAAATAAATAAATAAATAAATCTTTAAAAAAAAAAGAATGCAATGTGACTTTGAGACCCCAAATACAGCAGAAGCGTTGGGCTTTGTAAGACATGGAAGAGGAGGATTGGCAATATAGAGTGCCATGATTGGAACAATACATTCCTCAGTGCTGGATGGAACAGAGAGATGGCAAAGTCCAACAGAGCAGGCCACTCTCTTGTTAGTACAGAAGAGAGGGCATCTAAAATCGGTGAGGCTACCCAGAAGTCTATCTGGGTTTTAATCTTAAGGTTAATACAGCATGTGGGCAGCGTAGCAAGAAATGCTGAAAAGGGAGGTGCATTAATTACCCAATCACCTTCACAGCAGCAGACTCCAAATTCTGCCCTCGGGTAAAGCCTCCATGTGGCTTTGATGTGCAACTTTAAATTGGAAGGTACACATGGGTGATGGGGAAAAAGAACCTCAAACATGGGCTATTCCTATGGCCACCATTATGATGAGGACTCCTGATATCTATAAAAGGTGTCCCCTGTATCACAGGCTGATGATAAGTTCACTGACATTAGGACTCCTTTAAGCAGGGTTCAAATAACTTCTGCAGAACATGTTCTTTGAGGTAAAAGCATAGAATTTGGGACATACCTGTGCAATGGCAATTCATATATTTTATGACAAGTTTTCACTTTTCTTCCCCCCAAAGCTGGTATCTATGGAGGGCAAGGGAAATGAACTGTTTCCTTCCATCTTCAAGTTAGATAGTGCCTCACTGTATGAGTCTACTGGGGTTGCCATAACAAAATAGTAACAGGATGGGTGACTTCAATTACAGCAATTTATGTTCTGACTGTTCTGGAGGCTGGAAGTCTGAGACCACAGTCCCAGCATGGCCAAAGCATGGTGAGGGCTGTCGTCCTGGCTCCCCTTCTCACCCAGCTCTCACATAGCCTTTCCTCTGTGCATGGGTGGGGGCAGAAGGGCTCTCTCTGTATCCTGGTATCTCATCTTATGATGATACTATTTTTATGACCCCATTAAATGGCACCTCCTTAGAGGCCTGACCTCCAAATACAGCTATATTGGGTGAGGGTTTCAACACAGAATTTTAGGAGGATACAAACATTCAGCTTATAACACTCACACCTAATAGGTGAGCAAAAAAAAAAATTGTTAAAGAAGTGAAATAATGAAATCATAAGCTGTACAAGATCAAGAGACTTCTTCATTTGTTAACAAGGTGCATTTGCAGAAACGAATGTCATATACTTACGTTTCTCTTGGAATTGTAAATGGAGTCATTCTGTAATCCAAAAATGGACTTGATATCTCAATAAACTGGTCAGGCTTCTTTATCACTACTTCTAAAAAGTAACAGAAGTAACAGACAATATGGTCTACCTTTTGAATAATTTTCAATGATTACATGAAGAACTTAACATTGAATGGAGGTCTGATGCAATCACTATCTAGTGAATGTCAGTGGAGTAAAGTAGGAATGTACTAGGATATATTTTGCATTATCAGAAAAGTCATGATGTATTTTTGCTTGAAAAACTGAAAAAAATATGTCATTACTTTTCCAACAATTGAATATATTTTTTTAAATTGAAAGTGATTTCTGGATCATGCCAATATTAGACTACATTAGTCCACTTTTCTTGTTTTCCAAATTTACAATGTGAAGCAATCAAGTCTCAAGGGGGAAAGTTAGCACATCTTCTAGAATTATCACTCAGGAACAGCTGCTATTTTAAACACAGGAGTGACTTTCTATAAAAGTATTCACTAAAAAATGTGTTCTCTTAAACTGTATAACACAATTGCTGAAGACATAAAGAGGAAATGTGGACTAACACAAGGAGATAGTAGTCAAAGAACAGGAAATGTACAAAAACAAAGATCATAAGTAGAAAAGAAAGCAATAGAACAAGAAATCACCTGTGGAAACTTCTAAAGGAACCTGAGGCTGATGGAGAAGCAAATTCCCAATGGCTGTGATACATATCACCTCCCTCCTGTACTAACATGGTGAACACAGAAATTAACCATTAGGGATGATTATTTAAATAAAAGCTCTTGTTACTGTGGGTAGGATGCACATTGGAGGAAAAAATTTCAAGGTCTGACACAACACACAGAACTTTTCTGATTGTTCTGTGGCAATCTCTAACATAAGCTCTTTTTCCATTTCTTGTTAGTTTTCACTTTAAATAGTTAACCCACGAGAGAGAAGACAGTTACGTGGTGGAACAGCTATGTGGCACAACAAAATTACTGAATCTCAACAATCATTAGATTTTCTTCCCCACCTTGCAAAAGAGCTCTCCAATGGATCGATTTGCACAGCAACCCCTACTAAGTCAGAGAACGTGTATATTCAATATTTTTCATTCGCTTCAGGCTACTCTTTGATGTTCTGAACAATTTTTATTTATTTATTTATTTATTTATTTAAATAAATTTTATTTTTATATTCCCCATACAATTGTGACCCCCTTATTTTGACCCCAATCCCTCCCCTCCCTGCCCCCCACCACCCTTAGAGTGTCTCTGGTTCATAGTTGTTTGTTGATTTTGATTTTCACTTTCTTATAGTTATTCATTTTCCTGGTCCCTTATTTAAGTTTTCTAGATTCCTGCTATGAGTGAGACCATCCGGTATTTTTCTTTCTGGCTTATTTCGCTGAGCATGATCCCTTCCAGCACCATCCATGTTGTGGCAAATTGCATGAGTTTATCTTTTTTGATTGCTGAGTAATATTCCATGGTGTATATGGACCACATCTTCTTGATCCAGTCATCTATTTTTGGGCATTTGGGCCCTGAACAATTTTTAAATTATGATTTTATGCATTGAATTAAAAATAGCATTTAAAAGCAAAAGATATTCTTTTCCTTTCAAGCACTATACAGATGCTGATCTTTAGTTCAGGGAAGACAAAAGAGAACAGGGAAGAAGGAGGAAAGAAGGAAGGGAGGAGGGCAGGCGGTCGGGCGGGGAGAAGAGCAAGACTGAAGGGAATAAAAAGAAAGAAAGAAAAAAAAGACTGAAGGGAAGGAGGTCAGGAGCTTTGGGAGCACTGCAATGGGAGCACCGTAAGTCCCAGCAGCAGCAGACACCAACAGCCCATTCCTGAAACATTAAGAACTCTACAGAAATGACTGAGATCATCAAGCAAGAGGGAGAGAGGCCGACAGACCTAAATAAAAAATAGAGACCATATCTCCTCTCCATCCAAACCAGATTTTTCAATCTTTGTTCCTTTCTGGCTGGGATAAAACATGTCGTGCTAGAGAAATCTTTGCTTGCAGCTGTACTGGCTGTGTCAATGTAGGCAGAAAGCAAATGTGAGGAAAATTGCATAGCTATCGGTTGTTATTTATATTTTTTAAAATGCATGTAAATTATAGGTGGCAGGAGGCAGTGAGGTGCAGGTATGTGTTGCAATCTATGTGACCACGGCAGTTTCAGGAGCCCGAGTGCCCCTGAGAGTGCGTGTTTCACTGTGACGGGCACATGGTCTTTCGGACACCCTTGGCAAAGGATCAGCCAAGTCAGCACCACCAACAGGGGCACAAGCCACTATCTATGGGACCAGAGGCTTAAGTCATGTGTATAAGAATCACAATGGTGCCTTCACTAAATGGGCACTCGGAATGTTCACTGCCACTTGTTCATTCAGATGAAAACACAGGCCCTGGGGCATTAACCTCTCCAACCCAACCCGGCAGTGGATGAATACAATCAGAAAATAAGGAGGTATCAGAAAAGACAGACAACGCAAAAGTGAGGAAATGAACACAGAAGACAAAACAAAAAGGGTGGTTTTTGAAGAAAAATAATTTAAGCTCTTTTGGAATTATACACGCACTTACATATGCATAAGCCATAGCACTCCCTTCCTTTATCATTCTTCATTAAAAACTGCCAGCGCTAAATTAGCAATGGGAAAGCTGTGTATGCTGAGTATACAAAAATTATGCTTCATGCTGCTATGTCTTAATGTTTTCAAGCTTATTTATTTATGTATACAAGAACTGGGGTACGGCCAGAGGTGTGTGGGAGGGTAAGAGGATTCACCAGAGACAGAGTGGGGAGCAGCACAGGCAGACTGACTGAAATACACTGCTGAGGGGAGCAGCAGGCAAGTCAGGAGAGGTCTGCCCTGCCATGTGGGTCAGGTCAGCTTCCTGGCCAGCCGGGACTTGAACTCAAACTCATGTTGCAGTGGCTGCAGACAGCTTCATAGGTTGTATCTTAACCCCTTGCACCACCAGGGAAGCCCTATGTCTTAATTTTTTAATTGTTATTTTTTATTTTTTAAATCTCTTCATGTTAAGCTTCTGCCTTAAAATCAATTTTTTTTTTTTCATTTATGGTCTCATTCATTTCTTTTCTTGCCACCTTGTCTCATTTTCATTCAAACGTGGTGCTAATGATAACAGACTGATGAATGAAGACCTGCACAGGAAAAAGTTGACAATTCACATACAAATTGTGAGAAATTTAGGCATGAACTTGTGGACTGTCTCAGCTCCGCTCTCAGCCCAGGTGGGCTGATTTATGTCTGAGGACAACTACTGTTCACTCAGTGCCTCTGTGTCAATAGTAACACAGAAACAGAACTCCTATAGAAGCTGCAAGTGGAAATCAGTTAATTCAAAGATTATGTCCTGCAGGGCACTCTAGATTGATTCCCGTAGTATAAATACACCCCAGGGGCTTAACAAATGCTATTTAAGTTTCTATATAGTTTACTACAAACCACTTTGCTTCACAGTAGTAATGACAATGTTGTCACTCAAAGAATGGCCTTGATATACCTGGTCAGTTTAAAAGAGAACAAACCATTCAATTCCTGAGATGTAAAGAACTGATCCTCTAAAGACTCAACATGGGGCCTCCCTGGTGGCACAAGGGGTTAAGCACCACACTATGAAGCTGTCCACAGCCTCTGCAGCATGAGTTCGATCCCCGGCCGGCCAGAGAGCAACCCACATGGTGCAGCAGACCTCTCCTGTCTCACCCGCTGCTCCCCTCAGCAGTGTATTTCATCCAGTCTGTCTGTTCTGTTCCCCACTCTGTCTCTGGTTAATCCTCTCACCCCCCGCATCTCTGGCCTGTACCCCAGCTCTTCTATGCATAAATAAATAAATCTTTAAAAAAATAAATAAAGACTCAACATTTGGGCATAAAATTAAACGTAGCCTTTGTTGTGACATTGGGTAGCTAACCATGATATTCATCTTTCATTACAAATGAATGAAACTATTAGAACTTCACATAAAAAAATGTTAATTTGAAAAGACTTTGAAATAATACAGGCCATACCTTTCGGTTCATCTGTTATAACAGTCTTCTTTTTTTGGCGAAAGAGCTTCCAGGCAGGTACAGGAGGTGATTTCGGTGGTACGATTAGAGGACAAGATCTCGTTCGAGTGACCAGCACAGGATGGCTGTAGATGTGGGAAAGGCCGTATTCTCTAAGCTTCTCAGAAGAACTGGACTAAAAGGTGGAAGCAGATTTATAAGGACTCTAGCAACTGACTCAGATCTTAAAAACAATACTCAGATCTTAAAAACAATCCTCTGTCAGAGGACAATAAAAGAAAATGAGCCGTATTAATGTGTCCATTAATATAAGCACCATTACACTTACATCACTTCCTAGCATTTCGCTTTTTCTGGGCACCCAGTTTCTTTCTTTACAAAACAAGAGAACTAAAGTCCGCTGTGCAGTTCTAAGAGTTTCAGATTATATGAGACGGCAAAAAATTTAGCACACCAACTTGGGTTCAAAATTAATCGACTGTTATTTTTATGGATAAAAGCTTTGATGCAAGTGTTTAATATGTAATGTTTGTTGCTGTTGCTTTTCGCCACCAGCAATTGCCACACAGCATGCGAGGTCGAGCAGGAGCTACATGGCTGCCTTGTCCATAGTTTATGGCTTCTTCCTCAAACAGCCGCTCCCCCAGAGGGAATCCCCATGATCCTGCCTAACAATGGGGGCTTTCATAGAGGACAGAGGCTGCCCAGCACGCTGCCACATCAAGAACTTTCTCAAGCAGATGCTTCCCCCATCTATCCTGAAGCTCCTATGCTTTGGAACAACTCAGAATGATTGCTGTTCACTTGTCTGGCTTCCTCATTAGACCCTAAGCTTGTGGAGAGAGACCTTGTACTCAGAGCTTGCTCTCTGCTGAGCACATCAGGGACAAAAGACATCTGTTGTTGCACACAAACCTAAGTGAGCCTTTTTATCTTTGAAATTCAAAGCTCACTTTTGTTTTGATGTTAGTTTCTCAGAAGAACAGTGAAAAGATCAAATGGATGGTGCTATACTCTTTCCTTTTTGTAATGCATTTATCCTGTTCTTGTACTTTTTGCAGTTATGGAAAATGTTTAAGTACTTCCTGTACACGAGGCCATGACACTCCAAGCATGGTTTGTGTCCTTCATGGGCCGCTGTGTGGGTGTTCAGTGTGTCTGGAAAATCGAAGACAACACCTGGGCCTGTGCCACGTAAAAGACTAAAATTAAATCAGGGCTGAGATGACCAGTTCCAGCTATACGCATGACTCACATTGGATTTAATCATGATCAAATGAATTAACTCTGAATTAAAAACAGAAAAACTACCACTATCTCTGTATTGATAGCAGCTCATTAGGTCCCATTATATTGATATTATCACTGTGGTTATAAGGGAGTCTTTTGGAGAAAGGAATGTTTTCTATATGAAATGGAAAGTGGAGGAAAAGCAGGGAGGAGGAGGAGGAAGAGGAGAGATGAATTACATTATAACTAATAAAAATATGTAATTTACATGCCTTTTCTTTGGCATATAATAGAAACAAGCAATTGATAAAGAGCATGTGAGCCTACACCTTCATTTTCTTAAAAAAGGGAACTGCTGGAATCATTTGAATGTCCCGATCCCTGTGTTAGTGTCTAATTTTATAGATAAGGAGACTGAAATCCAGGAATACGATTTTAATTATTTCTGGTAAAATTCTGGTATTCCTTTCTAGCACAAGTAACTTTATTCTGCTGCCTGTCTCTGTGTCTTTCTCTCTCTCATGTGCACACACACACAACATAAATAATATTGTGTTTTCTGGCCTTAAGTGCTTACCATCTTCTTTAATGAAAATATCTTCCTTTCAAACAAATAGAGAGGTGTGAAAGTAGCATAGACAACCATGTGAGGGTACTGTATTGCTGAAGAACCTGTGAAACCAAACATAAATAGTTTCATGGAATTCTAACCCAAATGGGCTTGTCAGCAGGTCATCTCAGCTTGATCAAATCCTTAATGAGCTCATCTGGGCTGGTAAAATGTACGTAAATAACTCTGAGAGTATTTAATAAATGCTAAATCTCAAATATGCACATATCTTATAGGCTGTCTTACTAATTCTACCTTCACAGTAATACCTTGTAATTACTTAAGAAATAATTTTACTTCTCTGAAAATGCTATTACACAAACTTACAAGCTCTCAGTCAGTGTAACTTAGAATGAAAATAATGATGCACAAATGGAGTGTTTTGGAATTGAGTGATTTATTGAGGATTCCATACTCCTGAATCACACACAGTGTTATAAACCAATGTAACCCCAATAAATCAATAACTAAAATTGAGATCATTAGTAACCTCTATAGATAACATTTAAATCAGACCAGGAGTTTCTATCTCATTTCAAAAAGAAAACATAAACAAATGAACACTTCCATGGAGAAAACATAAGTAACTTAATTTGAAATGTTTAATGCTTGTAGAAATTACTTGAGAGTATCACATTTACTTATGCATATGATTCTTAGCATCCCTGAAATTACTATATTTAATTCAGTATGATATTTTGTTCTTTAAAGATTCTGTCCAAAATTTTAGCACTTAACTTATTTTCCTTTCTTATCTTTTTTTTTTTTTAAGTTATGTTTTTTTTTTTTTTTTAATAGAGGCATGTTTTATTTATTTATTTGTTTGTTTGTTTTTTTGTTTATACATGCACTGGGTACAGTCAGAAGCGCGGGAGGGTGAGAGAATTCACCAGAGCCAGAGCGGGGAGCAGAGCAGGCAGAAGGACCGAAGGACACTGCTGAGGGGAGCAGCGGGCGGCAGGAGGGGTCTGCGCGCCATGTGGGACCCTCCTCTGGTGGCCGGGGAGCAGCCGGGGATCGAACCGGCGCCGCAGAGGCCGCGGGCAGCTTCGCAACCCAGCGCTCAACCGCTGCGCCACCGGGGAGGCCCCCTTTCTTATCTTTACTTTTAATCAAAATGATTTATTTTATTCCTTAAAAATATTAAGCACTTACATTTAATTCTAATATAAAATAGTATTTTTTGAAGAAAAATGCCTTTACAACCACAAAATATCAATTACATATGAGCCCAGATCTCTCTAGAATAGATTAAGATGTGAAAGATGCCAAAAATAAAAACCCATTTTTACATTTAAAGGCTAAACTTTATATGTCTTTCATGGAATGGAGATTTGAACTTGGCTTCACCACACAGCACAACCTCTGAACCACATTCTGTATCTTGACATTGAACTTATCTGTGAGTTTGGTAGGAAAAAAAAACTGTTACTTGTGACTTATGTTTTCACAAAGAATGAAACTCAGAGAAAGATTTGACAGAGATGAAGAATTATTAATTTTGGGAGTGCTATGTCATCCACCATCAAAAACATTGCTTAAAGTCTTCAATATAAGAGAGAATATTTACTAAAGACGTAAAGATGTGACTAGGGACTTTTCTGTGTCAAATGACCAGATGCTTTTCTGTTAAAAAGTCGTAATTATTAAAATTTGCACACAAAAACCTTAATAACATATTGAAAAAGAGCACGAAGTGAAAATAAACTAGACATGGCATAGACCTGGAGTAAATGGAGGTATTTTTAATCACACAGTGAATTATGAGCTGAGAATCTTAATCTATACCCTAGAAATACCAAAACAGATGACTCAACGTTAGGACTATAAACTTAGCTATAAAAGGTTACATGTATGTATAATTATTTTAGCAGAGGAGGACACATACTTATATAACTTTATATGTATTATATATAACACTATATAATTACAAATAACATTTATTATGTGTATAAATACATGGTTATATATTTATATATATCTAAATATATGTAATCACGTATGATAAATGTAATGCAATAACATTTTAATATATTGATATATTAAAGTACAATATATATTTATTAGTATACACCTTCCTACTGAATCATAAGAACTTGGACAACCTTGGTGTTTATCACATGCAAAGGCCCTTGCCAGAATATGCACACCCATGTGAGATTCTGACAACTACTGGCAATCTTGAATGCATTTATTTAGATATTTTAGAAAAGGAAATACATTTCTATGCTTCAAAGTTGTTTTATTTTTTTTAATTTTTCCAGTTGCCTTTGATTGGCTCCCAGTTTTATTTATTTTTTTTAGATTTATTTATTTATTTTTATGCAAGCACTGGGTACAGTCAGAAGCTCAGGAGGGTGAGAGAATTCACCGGAGCCAGAGCGGGGAACAGAACAGGCAGACTGATGAAATACACTGCTGAGGGGAGCAGTGGGTGAGGCAGGAGCGGTCTGTCGCACCATGAGGGACCCTTGCCAGCGGCCGGGGATCGGGGATCAAACAGGTGCTGCAGAGGCTGCAGACAGCTTTGCAGCCCAGCGCTCAACCGCTGCGCCACCAGGGGAGGCCCTGCTTCAAAGTTATTTAGTATTTTGGAAAGAGCCAGAACAGTGATTCTAGGAGACTGAGCACTTACAATCTGACAGAGACTGCAGAGAGTACTGTACTTCTGAGGAGGGTCTTGAACCATGAAATGACCATTTGAATTTTTCCTTCTCTCCATCTTTACTCCTCTTTTTCCCAATGTCTTTTACATCTGATCTTTCTAACAAATTAAAAAAGACAACCAACGTTTTAAGCACAAAGTCTCAAAGTATATATCTTATTCAGTCATTATGCTGAATAACAGACCAAAGCAGCAGCCCTATATAAATACAAAAGCATAGCACAGATTTCCCAAAACAGTATTCGCCTCTAACAAGAAGCAAAAAATAAAGCAAGGGAAAACTGACATGGATTGAGAAAGATATATAGCAATAGTTAATATTAACTACATAAACTATAGGTTAGATGCAGCTAGTCACTAGAATTTAAGTTATATATATATAATTACAGGGTCAGGATAATTCTCTCATTTTCAACATGGAACAGTAAAGCATATACTTAAATTTGAATCCTAAATGTGAAACTCACTCAGATCTTCCTTATTTGAAGCTCCCATATCAAGAACACACAGCTTTCTGTTTCTAAGACATCCAGTATTTTTTTTAAAGATTTATTTATTTATGCATACAAGAGTTGGGATGTAGGCTAGAGATGCGGGGGGTGAGAGGATTCACCAGAGACAGAGCGGGGAACAGGACAGACAGACTGAAATACACCGCTGAGGGGAGCAGCGGGAGAGACAGGGGAGGTCTGCTGTGCCATGTGGCTAGCTCCCTGGTGGCCAGGGATCGAACCTGTGCTGCACAGGCTGCGGATTACTTCATAGTGTGGTGCTTAACCCCTTCTGCCACCAGGAAGGCCCAATATCCAGTATTTTCCAATGGATTCTGGGTTCCTACCAACACTTTATTGCCAACACAGCTCACAGAATAAAACTCTAAACCCAGAACTACCTCTATCATATAATTTCAATCATTTTATTTGCATAATTCCATGAAACACATTCTCCCTTCATCTTAAAAAGAAAATCCGTCAAGATTTTTTATTCCCTAATAAATTTCTCCCAATTTAAGAAATTTCAGATTCTGCCATTTTATTTCTTCATTATCTGCTCATTTTTTGAAATTTACATAAATAAAAACTATGTATATTCACAACTGGCAATGTTCTTATTCTGAGGTATTCCTGTCTCATCTCCTAGCTTTCATAGTATATTAAAAATCTATGTCAGATAGTGAAGGCAAAGATAAACAGCTGGGACTACATCAAATTAAAGAGCTTCTGCACAGCAAAAGAGACAATAACAAAAACAAAGAGAAACCCCACCAACTGGGAGAACATTTTTGCACACAACACTAATGATAAAGGACTGATCACAAAAATCTACAAAGAGCTGATGAGACTCAACAACAACAAAGAAAATAATCCAGTCAAAAAATGGGCAGAAGAGCTAAAAAGAAACTTCTCTGAAGAGGAAATGCAAATGGCCAACAGACATATGAAAAAATGTTCAACATCACTTGTAATCAGGGAAATGCAAATCAAAACTACCATGAGATACCATCTTACACCAGTGAGAATGGCACATATTAAAAAAACTAGCAACAACAAATGTTGGCGAGGGTGTGGAGAAAAAGGAACTCTCCTGCACTGTTGGTGGGAGTGCAAACTGGTCCAACCACTATGGAGAGCTGTGTGGAGATTTCTGGACCTACTAAACATAGAGCTTCCATAGGATCCAGCAATTCCACTCCTAGGTATTTACCCAAAGGACACAGAAACATCAATTCCAAAGAACACCTGCACCCTATGTTTATAGCAGCACTATTTACAATAGCTAAGCTTTGGAAACAGCCCAAATGCCCAAAAATAGATGACTGGATCAAGAAGATATGGTACATATATACCATGGAATATTACTCAGCATTCAAAAAAGATAAACACATGCAATTTGCAGCAACATGGATGGCGCTGGAAGGGATCATGCTCAGCGAAATAAGCCAGAAAGAAAAAGAAAAATACTGGATTGTCTCACTCATAGCAGGAATCTAGAAAACTTAAATAAGGGACCAGGAAAATGAATAACTATAAGAAAGTGAAAATCAAAATCAACAAAAAACTATGAACCAGAGACACTTTTTTTTGGGGGGGAGGGGAGGGATTGGGGTCAGAATGGGGGGGTTGCAATTGTATGGGGAATATAAAAATAAAATTTATTATTTAAAAAAAATGAAAAAAAAATCTATGTCAGAAACAAAAGTCAAGATAGCTATAATGTTAAGTTTTAGGAGGTAGATCTAATTGGTGACCATACATACATATAAAAAGTAGGTTTTCAGAATTTTATCCTGTGAGTTTTCTATAAATATTTGATTTAAAACCATTTTTAGGTAGCTATATGACTGAATGTATTATTTTAAAGTAAGATTTTATAACACCTTCAAATTCCTACCCAGAATTCATAATATAGACATAATATATGATAAAATTTAAAAGGAGAAAAAAAAATACGCTTTCACATAGAGATGCATATAGTGTGCAAGTCTCTATTAAACTGTGCTATTGCCAATACTCTAGATAAATGTGGTGCTCCTCTGTCACTGTATCCCATCCATCTAGCCGGTCCCTCTTGCAATAAAATCAGCAGATGAGCTGTAGTGGAGATAATTTTCCTTTAGTTCTGTAAACATTTACCACATCTACTTTAAATCACCATGAGACTCTTTATCTTCCACTTTCCAGTGAATTATCAGCAAAGCATAATCTAACTGTGTCTACTTTCCATTTCTTGAAAAAACTACTAGTTTTCTCCTTTGCCTTTTAGTTCATTCTACTCTACATGTAATATACAAAAAGCATGTATGTGATGAACATTGAAAATTTAATCTTTCTTCCTATATTAATACCATATGATGTAGCACTGTCAATATGTATATATATAATTACCTTCAATTTCTAAGAAAACGATACATGGAGTAATAATTAATATGAACCTGGTACGTTCTAGAATCTTAGAAAAGAAGGATCTTATTATATGGATGTTTTCACAAGAGTTAATAAATTATACTACTACTAATAAAGAGGCACTAAATTTAACAATGTTTCTAAGGCATTTATATACAATATTCATATTTAATAACATGGTGATAAAAAATATCTTACCCTTGGGAATTCTGTCACTTCTCTCAGGCACTTTTAGTGTTGTCAATGAAATTTCAGGTTTGGATTCTTTGCTGTCTTTTCCATCTTTAATTTCTTTGCCATTTTTCACTTCTTTTCCTTCTTTCCCATCCTTCACATCTTTGCTATCCTTCAGTTCCTTCCCAGGTTCTTTTACTTTGGGTTCTGTCACTGTAATTTTGCTTTCAGAACTGTATTCTTCTGTCAGCTTAAACTCAGGCAATATGTCTTTTAAGAGGTCCCAAATTCTGTTTGTATATGTTGGGCTTAGATAAAACACATGGATATTAATTTCAACCACTTTCAACTTTCTTTCATTTCAGACCAAGAAATTATTACAATAAAAAAATCAACTTACTCTTCCATATACAAGACTAATTTCAATAGCAACTTCAAATTTTTGTTAAAAACACCACTTGGTGCATTCACGAATTCAATAAACTCTGATTCAGTGTCTACTGTGTGCTTTCCTTTATTAATGCAAAAAGACCAGAGGGCCTCCTTTGTGGTGCAAGGGGTTAAGCACTGCACTATGAAGCAATCCACAACCTCTGCAGCACAAGTTATATTCCTAGCCGGTCACAGAGCAACCCACATGGCGCAGCAGACCTCTCCTGTCTCTCCTGCTGCTCCCCTCAGCAGTGTATTTCAGTCAGTCTGCCTGTTCTGTTCCCCACTCTGTCTCTGGTGAGTCCTCTCACCCCCACATCTCTGGCCTGTACCCCAGCTCCTGTATGCATAAATAAATAAATCTTAAAAAAAAAAAAAAAGACCAGAGTTTTGTGTCCATTGATGGATGAACAAAGAAAATGTTTTACCCAAATAAGATGTGAGATATATGTTATATATTTTTTGTGGCTGTAGTCACACACACATAATATATATAACACATATTTGAAATATTATTCAGCCATAAAAATAGAAGGAAATTTTGTCATTTGTGACAAGTTGGATGAAACTTGGCAGCATCATGCTAAGTGAAATATGACACAGACAGACAGAGGTTAATATGATCTCATATGTGGGATGTAATCAAACCAAACCAAAACAAAAATATGTACTCACAGATAATAGAGAGGAAAAATTGGTAGTTGCAAAACTCAGAGTCTTGGAAGTGCTAAAATTGATGAAGGGGTTCAAAAGCTACAAAATTCCCAGTTTATAAAATAAGCAAGTTTCTGGAGCACGATGCATACAGCCTGGTGACCACTGTCAAGAATACTGTATTACATATTTGAAAGTTCAGAAGGTGGACCTTAGGAGTTCTTATCACAAGAAGAAAATTTTAACTGTGGGGCAATGACTGTTAATAGAGTCAATATACGAATATTGAATCTTTGTGCTGTATACCTGAAACTAATATAATGTTACATGTCAAATACATTTTAATAACAATCATGGCCTTAGTCTTTTTTTTCATTTTTAAGATTTATTTTTATTTACTTATACATACAAGAACTGGGTATAGGCCAGAGGTGTGGGGGTTGGGGGTAAGAGGATTCACCAGAGAGAGTGGGGAGCAGAACAGGCAGATCTACTTAAGTACACCGCTAAGGGAAGCAGCAGGCAAGAGAGAAGAGGTCTGCTGCACCATGTGGGTCAGCTCCTGGCTGGGGATCAAACTCAGGTCACAGTGGCTAGTGATAGCTTGATAGTGCTGAGACTTTAAACCCTGCGCCACTAGGGAGGCCCCACAGAAATATGTCTCTTAGTCTTAAGGGTCGCTCAGGCTGGCAGTAGGGATAGGCATATCACAGTCATGACAGGGAAAATGCATGTGTTTGAGTATTGAGTATCAGTCACTTTCCCATACATTATCATTTATGAAAAACATCTTTATCATACCTGAATTCTCCACAGAATTTAACAATATTGCTATTCTACCTTTCTTTAAAGTCTTCCCTGAGGCATACAGCATCTCTCTTTTCTGGTATCTTTTTGTTATAGATATTATTTGCAGACCCCTTTGAAAACTCTCTTTCCTGTGCTTACTTTTGACAAATGAGGGTCACTCTCCCAAAGTACTTCTCCTTATGATCATATTATCTTTTAGACGCTTTTCTCAACAAGTGAGCAGCACCACATTTTTAGTTTACATAGATGTAACACTCGAATCATTAACTTCAGCTTAAACCTCTCTTCAGACATCCAAACCTATATGTTCAGCCACCTAATGGATAGCTGTCCAAAAATAAACATAAAAATCCATGAACAAAACATACTGCTATCATCTTCCCACCTATCAATCAAGTCAAAAAACTGATTGTCAAATAAATCACTTTGTCCATCAATCCTACCACCTCTAACTCTAATAGATTACCTGTTCTCCATTCTTATCAATAATTCCTCTATAGAAGCTCTTGGCAAATCCCTCTGGATTCCTGCACAAGCCAGTTCCCACACTCCAGTCCAGCCATCTGCTCTATTGCTCCAAAGTGTCTTCCAGTTTCACAAGTCTGATAAGATCATTCTCTTGTTTAAAATTCCTCAATGACAATCTATCACCATATGGATGTGAGAATTTTTTAACAAGGCATAAAATGTCTTTGTCTATGCGGCTTTTGTTCTCTACCCGACACTCATGCCTCCTCTACAATCCTGTAGCACAAATTCCAGTCATGCAGAACCACATGCTTTTCTGGGAGTACAACTACTTACCTTGCACTTCCATGCGATTGTTCTCTAAGTTGGCTTTCCTACCGCAATAAGTTGCATTGTCTTCAACTAATCCTTGAGGTCAGCTCAAGTACTACCTTTTTTGGAAATTAAAATACATGTTCCTGCTCTGAGTTCCCAAAGAATCTTTTACATATTTTAAATTTAATACTTTTAAAATTTATGTTTTAGAAGATTAATCAGATTACCATATAGAGAATTATTTGGGGAAGAGGAAGGTAGACACAAGAGGATTGGTTATAAAGCTATTAAATTTTTGCATGTAAGCAGTGACAGGGAGTTAATCTGGGATAGGCAATAACAGAGATTCAGGACAATGGATAAATTCAAAATGAGGGAAGGGTGTTCTATTGACAGAGATCAGTAAGGGCTATGCATGAGATTGAAGAAAATGATTAAGGCTGTCTCTTAGTCTTGTTCTGTTTGTGTTTTAGCTTGAATCTCAATACATGGGTGCCATGTATTGAGATGAGGTAGTCTAGTAAAGGTATAGGTTTGGGATATTGAAAATCAAGAGTGCTGTATATTTTCCATCTCATATAATTTTTTGATATCCACTATCTATGCAATGTATGTGATTGAAGTAGTATATATACATACAGGCTATGGTTCAAGAAAGGTGATCAGGCCTGGCAACACAGACTTGAAAGTAACTGTCAAATATATTGTAGTTTAAGTTCATGGGATAGTACACCTATTACACTCTCCACTGTGGTTGAGGAGACAGTTATTGAGGAGCTATCCAAGAAGACTGAGAAAGAGCAGCAAATAAAATAGAAAAACTCAAAAGAGTGTTGGGCCTCCCTGGTGGCGCAAGGAGTAAAGACACAGCCTATGAAGCTGTCTGTAGCCACTGAAGCATGAGTTTGATCCCCGGCCAGGGAGCTCCCCACATGGTGCAGCAGACCTCTCCTGACTCACCCGCTGCTCCCCTCAGCAGTGTATTTCACTGTTCTGTTCCCCCTCTGTCTCCTGTGAATCCTCTCACCCTCCCCCACATCTCTGGCCTGTACCCCAGTTCTTTCTTGTATGCATAAACAAATATTTGAAAAAAAAACTCAGAGTGTTTTGCGGAAGCAAAGTGAATTAAATTTTGCAAAAGAAATAAATTATTCAAGATCAAATACTGGGGTACCACATCAATAGAGAAAAAGAGGTGACCACTGGACTTGATAATGTCAAGGCTTTTGTTGACATTAAAAATCAATTTATGAGTTTAGTATAGGATGTACAAAAAGTTGGGTGAGAAAAGTTTGAGAGGTGAGAAAATAAAGTATAGACAATTCATTCTTTTAAGATTGTCTCTGAAAAGGAAGATCAGCTGGTGACTTCAAGATAATTACTGATTTTCTTTTATATCTGTGGTTTACTTGAGTACCTGAACTGCTTCCTGTTCATCACTGGGTCATCAGTGCTTGGCAGAGAGTGGGCACTAGTATATTTCACTTTGCTTTAATCTTACAACAACTCTGCAACAGAGGTATTAAAATCCTAAATGAGGCTTAGGAGGCTGTAAATTTTAATGCAGTAACACAATCCATATTATCTTTCCATCCACAATATAAGAAAGTGCTATGCTATGAACAAGAAACATTCTACCACAGAATTAGACCATATAACTTTTTGGGTGGTTAGCTAAAATATATTGGATGGCAGAATCTTCTATTCATGGATGAACTACACCGACATCAAAGAAGTATGCCAAGAAAAGTCATCTCTTCATTTGAAATTACCAGACTTCTTACATCCACTCACAACTATCATTGATTGTATTCTATTACTATATGGAGAATCTGAACTTTCTTGTTTTTTTTCCAAGTGGTAAAACTGCATTAATTGTAGAAAAGCATAATACACAAGGTCAACAATTGCAAATAGAGCAGCTGTCCTTTGCTCCTGTGGGAGAGTAAAAGGGTAGCTGGTGTCTGTGGGATATGCCAATGAAACACTTTTCATATGGAAAAAAAAAATCAGCAGTCCACACAAGTTAGCACTCTCCTTGACCTCTGTAAAACCATGACTACGACTGGCACATTCTAATCCTTCTTAGTAGCAGAAACATTTCACTGAACATACTATTTCATGACTTTGATCATACTGTTTGCCTGCCTTTGGTGCCCCTGTCCCCTTCCATTCCTTCAAATCAAACCCAGCCAGTCAACAGGAAAGACTCCAAACAAGTCAGAAATTTCTCCATGAAGCCTTACTCGATCCCTGCCTATGCTGAGGGCAAAGGCGACTGTTGCCATATTTCAATTTAGCCAGTTTCATGACTCTTTTCTTTTTTTGGTGATTTCATAATTGCAGTATGATTGTAACTTAAAATTAGATGAATAACATGACAGAGTGTTCATAAGAAAAATCCCATAAGGCAGTTCACAGTATGTCTTTCAAGTTGTATTTAAAGGAAAATTGACAGGTTTAAAATTCTAGTTCAGTCTCACTTTTTTATACTTCTTTTCCCTGTATCTAATGGTTGATTACCACGTTTTTACAAAATAACCTAGTGAAAACAACTAGAGAAGGAAAAAAAAAAAGCTTTTACATCCCTCTACCATATGCTGGCTACTTATTTTTGACAATTTCACCTACTCAGTTTCAGAATATATAGGAGAGGTCATTTTATCTCCATTTCACAACTGAAGAAACGAGGATACTGAGAGTTTACATTACTAAGACTACTTCGATCTTCTCCAGCTTCTACCCTGGGAAGCATAGTTTCACCACATTGATCAAAGATCAGAGATGATCTGTGTTGATAAATGTACTGTGGATTTGATCATCTTGTAAAATTTAGCATCTAAATTGGTGATTTGTGCAGATCCATTGATATAATTATTTTCTATGTACCTTACCCCTATCAATTTCCAATGTTAATGCTAATATGATCAAACTGTCCGTAACATTCATGTAAAAACACAACTATTTGTGAAATTTTACATATGACAGTAAGTGGCTTCTCTGTTCCATTATTTACCTGCAAAGCATTATTTTTGGACCTAGATGACAAATCTTATATATCTAGAACCACATAAGAGAAGGACTGTGGGCAGCAAGACTGCTATCAAATTGTTATCGCTGCCTCATAATAAATTCCAAACTGAGCTTCAGTTTTCTCATTAGTAATTACTTATACCTAACTGATGGGGCCATTGGGATGATGAAATAGGACAATGGGCGCTATGGTGGCAGGTGGTAACATAAATCTGAAGAGATGTGATCTCTTACATGTACAGTGTTATAAACTAATGTTATCTCAATAAATTGATCCATTAATTCATTAAAAAAGAAAGTATTTTAAGGACTGTGGTCTTTAATTAGCAATGTTACATTAAAGTACTCAATGCCTAATGAGTGTTTTATTATTTTTAATCATTGCCAAATATGTATGGCTAATTAAAAACTTCTTTTGTGTTTCTGTACTTAATATATGTAATAGTGGTATAAGTAAGAAGGGACACCTGTAAATATTTTATCATAATAAATTATTACCATTGTTTTAATATCTGTAATCCAGATATTTAAAGATTAAATATATGTGGCGATTGAATTTATCCTGGAAATCTCAAGGAATTTTATGTAATACTATGTTATTTTCCCAAAACACTTTTTGTAGAATATGACATTTTTAAAAATCCTTTTAATAGCGGAGAACATTTCTGTTAAAGAAACTTTACTAGGGATGAAAGAAAACAAGAGATAAGGAACCAAATGTCAAACCTACTGGATAGAAACCACTTCAGGGAGCCATCCTGTGAGGGCGTGAATAACAGTGAACTCCCCCAGTTCTCGCCTCTCTGCTATGTGGATGCTAAAAAAGGAAATACACAACAGTATGATTACTAAACTTTAGAACTACAGAGTGGTATTTCAGGAATGGGGATCACTAATAAACAGGGAAATATTAAATGCAGGGGTCATGCTGGTTATATATTATTACATAGGAAAACGCTAGATAACTGGTTTTGTTAAAATATTTAAACCAATTGAATCATAAAATTTCATGTCGACTTATAAAATAGGCTTACAAGCATGATTACAAAGAGAAATAAGTTAATATTAATGTCCTTGAATAACATCTTTTTGTTCAATGTTGAAAGAATCCAATCAATATTGAATGAAATGATGCTCAGAGACCTGGCTTCCTTATTTAAAGCTTCATTTAAAGTTGCAGTTTCCAGTAATCTATCAGTGAGGATGTATCTACATAAAACATATTCATACAGAGTATTACAAATATATAAAAAGCATATAATATTTTATATATTCAATATATCTACTGTATATGATCATGTGTAGTTATTTTAAAGAGGGTAGTCTCTTTAATTTTTCTGATTTCAATAATTAATCTAAGGTGACTATGAAATTAAGCCAGTCTCATACATGGCAGTGCAAAATGGGCATCAACAAATCTTAATGAAATCCTTTGATAATTGCAAAGAAACTAGGAACATCTGTTCTATCCTGTACAAAAGTGTAGATCTGCCATCACAGCATAAATTCAAACCAGGTTGTGACTGAGCAAATATGTTTCTTCTCATTTTAGTCCTTTCATTTTTTTTTTCTAAGCTGGCTGGTCCACTTACATTACTAAACATAAAACCCAGATTCCCATTTCACCCAAGAATTACAGTTTCAGCCCAGTGTATGCCAATCAGTGACAGTGATTTATGGTTTTGACCAACAGACTTGTCCTCTTCAGAAAGAAATCTTACAGTCCTTAGTCACTCATTCCATCACTTATTCATGTGCACTGATTTGTGATTCACATATTATAAATTCTGGTGTATCTACATATATCAGAGACAACAAACATCTATTGGGATAGTTTACTGTCTAGTTTAAACTCCCCTTTGAATAATTGTATTTATGAATTTACTCTGCAAACTGATAAAAATAATGCTTTTTCTTTGTATATCTCACATAGATATTGAGATGACTACTCTACATTAATTTTTAAGTGTAGAAATATAAAACATGAAAATAGTCGCTATGTCATACAATATCTGAGAAAATGCAAAGAAAAATATAAATGTTGCATATAGTGCAGATTTCCACTAGAAATTCTAAGAAATATAGTTCACTTAGTCTGGTACTATTTTCAAGCTGGACTGCTTTTTTTTTAAATTAACAATTTAATTAAAAAACTCTATATTGCTATATTGCAAATTTTATAGCAACTCTATATTGCTATAAAATTTGAGGGCACTAAAGCTTTAAGAAAGACAAATGCCATTCCACTTATCCAAGCATTAAATGCTTCACCTGACTTGCAGCTCTAAATTCTCAGAACTTCAACTTAGGCCTGAGAGTCAGCAACACTAATTTCTCTTAAAACAAGTAAGCACAGTTGTCACCACTGTGAGTACTTCATAGATTTAGTTATCTACAAAGACATGGGCTGAGTTTTTTGAACAATCTTTGAAATTAAGGGCTGCAAGCAGGGTGAAACAAAGTTTCCAATAAAAAATTGAGAGTTGGTAAGAGAAAAAGAGAAATGCAGGTGATAGATGCAGGAAAGGTTTCTGATTTGTAGCCTTGAAAGAGAAAAAGGAAGCTGAGGCAGAGACAATGCACTCAAAGCACAAGGGCTTCTGACTTGCTGTGTTTACAGAAGGGGAGGGGGCTAAGCTTTGAGCAAAAGGCTGACATGGCCTGTTAAAGGTGAGGGTGTTCTGTTGAATATTAAACTGCTGACACAGGCTTAAGAAGGAAGGACGTCAAGTTTAAGCAAGTGCAGGGTAGGAAAGGATTCTACCACTCTTCAGTGACACAAAGTTGCCATGCACAGCTCGAGTATCTAAGCTTTTTTTTTGCATTGCTCATGCCAACATGAAACTAAAGCGTTGCATGTATGCCTTCTATATGTTGGTACATAAATCACACAGATTTCTCAAGGAGATTGAAAGAAATACTACCAATTTTCACCATGAATGCATGAAAAGAACCAGTGTTACCAAAAGCATGATGAGGACACTGGGGTTCCTCCAAAAAGCAGATTTTTCAAGGCTGCTAAATAATTGCCAACCAAAAACTTTTAGGGGATTCTAGTATATATTGTTCATTATGAGCTATTTTCCCCCTATAAAACTACATCTTTCTCCCACTAATCTGAAACATTATTTTCTATGACTGATTTTGCACTCATAGTTAGAAAACACTGGATTTAAGAAATAATGGTGAAGTATTTTTTGGGGAGACAATTTTGTCTTATTGTTGCCTAACCCAGTATTTCATGCCCGTGGCTATGGCATGTTCATTCTTATATTAGAGCATTTACATTGCTTGGGAAGAAATATTTTTAATTTTTCAATGAAACTCTAGAATATAGATGTATATTTGTTGCTATTATTTGCTTTTTTGTTTTTATACAAATGACTAATTCTTCACTCTACTTACTCAACATTTGTCAACTTAATTATGGCTTTAGACAAGAGCATTGGCCAGAGCTCAAATTCATTGGTTGTGGCTGGAAGCAAGAGTTTGTTATCTTCATCAAAAGGCAGAGAATCATCAATAGTTATCTTTCTCCAGCAACCCTAAAAATGAGAAAAAAGGAATGTGCCTCAGTGATTTGTTACTTCTGCTTATACATTATTGATGTTATTATAATACTGACATTATTATTTACTGTTTTATAATTTTATTTTAGTTCCTTCAATATAACTTTTGTGGAGAATTTTAACTTACTATTTTATTTAATATATTATAGCATATCCAGACCTAACTAAGTCAACAGTGTCCTTATTTAAGAGGTACTGTTAGGACATTTTGGGGTACCTCACCTTATATAATGCAACTAATTAATTCTGTTTCAAAGAGTGGAACTAAAACATTATGCAACCATTAATAACTGGGGCATAATCAAAGAACTTAATATAGTCACATTGCAAATTCTCCAAATATAACTTCAGTAATTATCACTTATCCTGATAGGCTCCATGATGTCACACTTCCAATTACCGTATTATTCTTACTCCTCATCAAAGATTTAATTTTATCATGAAGTTAATTAATAGATAGTTTATGTAATAAAATCAGTATATAAGCATATTATTTCAAATAAAAGCTTGAAATAAATGATAATATTAATAACTATAGCTCGATGATTTTTTATCTCTGATTTAACATGCAAAATTTTATTACAAGTTCATTCCCAAATTTGACAAAGAAATATTTTCAGCAGGGATACAAGCATTGTGAACAAGAAAATTCAGCATCACACATGGCCTATAATCATTAAGCTGCATATAGTCTAGTGAGGGAAGGCATAAAAGAAAACAGTGTAAAATGCAATATGAGGTGCCCTAGGATCAGAAAGGAATGGGGAACTAATTTTGCTTGAGAAAAGTCATCACAAGAAAGTGACATTTGAACTGGGATTCTAAGGACATTATACTTTTCCAAGCTAATAATAACTATAGAGTGAAAAATGTATTGTTTTGTTCTGTTTTTCATGATACTTATAACTCTGAACTCATGTTGCCTAATGTAGTGGTTATATATCTTTTTCTTCAGATATAAAAGCATGATGTAGGACAGGACAGGGTTAAAGTCACATAGTTTAGCAACTCCATCTTCCAATTTCAAATGAATTGTTCCCTCAAAATCACAACTCAAATAAGTCAGATGCATAGGGACAGATACAACATGACTCCACTTATATGAGGTTATCTAGAAAAAGCAAATTTATATAGACAAAGGCAGGACAGTAGTTGCTAGGGGCTTGATGGAGAGGGAAATAAGAAATTAATATTTAATAGATAGTTTTTGTTTGGCATGATGAAAAAGTAGTGGAAATAGTGTGACAACTGCATAGCATTGTAAAACTACTAGTGCTACTGAACTGTACATTTATGATGGTGAAAGTACTCAACATTATTTGATGTCTATTTTGCCACACAACCTATAGTAGGAGTTCCCTTACTACATTTTGATTTTCAAGAATATTTTAAGTGGGGGCAGCTGGATTCCAACTGAGGAGCTCCCAGCTGAACAATGCTATCACATCAATAAAGAATGCTTTGATTACTAGGTAAGTCACATGCATGTATATTGTATCTCAATCAATCTGCTACCAGAAAAAGATGAAAAAATACACAGGGATGAATGTTCAGTATCACATTTCTAAAATAAAATTTGACTAGACTTAGGAATTTAATTGATTCCTTGATATTAATACATTGGTTGGGTTTCCCTAAATTGTATAAAGAAATGAAGGAAAATATTATACACATAATTTGAGACCTCATTACAGAACACTGAATTATTTTTCATTTATTATTTTGTGTTACTGTGTGTAAAGGGGGTATAACAAAGGGCACTTTTTACTCAATTGAGTGTGTCAGCACCACATCATTTTTTTTATTATCGAGGTAACATGGGTTTATAACAATGAATGTCATTTCAAGGTACAAGGTCACACCTCCTCAGATGCAAGTCACCACGCACCATGCCTGCCACTGAGGTACCCACAGTCCATTGAGCCTCCTCTCCACTTTGAGTCTCCCTGTCCCACTCCCAGTCTTATAACCTAATACAAGAACTTGGGTGTAGGCCAGAGGTGCGGGGGTGAGAGGATTCACCAGAGACAGAGTGGGGAACAGAATAGTCATCTCAACTGAAATACACTGCTGAGGGGAGCAGTGGGGAGACAGGAGAGGTCTGCTGCACCATGTGAGTCATCTCCCTGGCCTGGGATCCAAGTGTTGCAGTGGCTGCAAGAGCCTGATAGTGCTGAGACTTTAACCCCTGCACCACCAGGGAGGCCCTAAGCTGATGCTTTTATGAAAGCCTTAATCATTTGACCTCACTCAAGTTTAGGCAAATGAGCAGAAGTGGGGGACATATACCCAGGTATTTGACCTGCTCATCTTCCTAGGTTCATCACCTTCTAGAATTCCTCAACATTTTCTGTTCCGTATCCACTTTCTTATCCCTCTCTCCTATCACACATTTAAACTCTAAAGTCTAATCTGTCAAATCTGCCTCCTGTTAGTAAATAAAAGTGATAAAGTAATTTAGGGAGTTATTTTCTCTCCTAACAGTTTGACCTTCAAGGTCCATTGTCTTGTGGTGAATATTAAAAAACCCAAAATCCTATTTCAGCTATCAGAAACTAACATTACCTTCTTTACTGGCACCTTCTCACTGTAATGATGCTATTATTTCCTAAGCATTGACCTTTCAATATTCCCTATCCCAGGAAGATAGATAGCTGAGGGAAATGTCATGGCCCTAGAAATATATAACATATGATTAATATTCAATATTTTCCCTACTCCCTCAAATGTTCAAGAACTTTTGAGCCCTTGACCAGCCATTTGTCAGCGACCAGGCCCAGTGCCATGGGTGCGTCAGCAAGTCAGTCACTTGGGACCCACACTTAGAAGGACCCCACACTTGCCTTAAAGTGCTGCTATCACTGTCCTAAAATCCTGTAGCTAGTGCTGCCTATGACTTGGGGCCTCTAGGAAGAGAATTCTACCATTAAAAACCTAAAGATGTGGGCTATACTCTAGCAGTGCTAAATATGGTGTGAATCTACTTTGCCATAGCAACCAGCACAGGTCATAATTCTCTATTTGTGCTTCCTACCATCACATTCATTTTCTTTTGTGTCAGCCAGAAGTCAAAAATGACTTTGTCAGATAGAGGTTGGTTAACATGAAAACAGATCTCAAGTTCAGGGTCAAATCCAGTTGAGATCTTGGCCAGCAGCAGCAGCCAAATCCAAGAAAGGAGGACTAGACCATACTCAAGCACTCCTTTCGGCCCATGACCGTGATGTGCACCTACCTGCTACCCAGCCAGCCTGACTCCTAGGGCAGAGGGATGCACTATCACAAGACTGGTATCACAGGAGAATCCGCTGTGTTTCTTACTGATCCCAAATCCCAAATGATACTGGAGTATTTCTCTCCAGTAGTTATACAAGTAACATCCTGCATTGACTGCATCATCTTGCATTAGCCGAGGTAGCCGCATGCAAGACATACATTTCACTATGAAAGCAACATGACAGTGAAGGCATAAGAACACGACGACTTACCATCCAGTAGAGTTTCACAATGTACTTTCCATAGCTGTTGAACAAAGGCATGTGCCCCTTCACAGCCTTGCACAGAGAGTAGATGTGTTCCCAGGGCTTCCAGTTGAGGACAGGTGGCTCCCCAGCACTTCCTTTAAAATAATTGCTTAAAACACTCCCATTGAATATCTTCCACACAGCGGAGAGTTCACTGATAATCCATCTCATCAGCTAGAGACAAAAAACTTTTTAGTGTTAATTAGTTCTTTTTCAGTGGTTGGTATGGCAATTTAAGCGGGGAGGGAATCCAGTCCAAAATCAACTTTAAATAGTAACATTAAAAAAAAAATAGTAACATTAAATTCTACATGTATTTCAGCTTTTGATTTCTGATCTGTGACAAAATCATAGATTTGCTTTGGTTTTCAGAAAATGTAATCAGAATACAAATTTAAAAATCCATTATGAAACACACACCTGGGAGCTGTCATCAGTAGTGGACTATCTGTAATTTGACCTTCACCTTCATTTCAATTCCGTGTGTGTGAGAGAGAGAGAGAGAGAGAGAGAGAGAGAGAGAGAGAGAAGAGAGAGATTGAATCCTTCTGAGTGAAATGATTCTTATATGTAATAAACTTTTTCTGAAGGAGTAAGCTATTTTTCTATAAATGTTGACAAGTATGAGAGAAAATGACCTTTTATGTCCATAGGACCAATTACACTAAGAATGCAACATGAAAGAAATAAAACTGCACACGCACTAAGAGATGACCTGCATCTCGTGTTTCACACCTTGAGGTGCAGGTACAGAGCACAAATGTTTGGCTGATGCTCATTGTGGGGTCTGTAACTGTGTAACTGCCACTGAGGGCGGGGGCCAATAAATTTCAGAGTAGCAGAGACCAAGGTTGGAATCCTTCAGATCCTTCTGCTCTTGGGCAAATCACCTTGACTTCTCTCAATTGCAGTTTTTCATTTGTGAAATATATACATTCCACTGTCTATTTTTCAGCGTTTCAATCTATCAGTAATTTCTGGGTTACAGTGAGTGTTAAATAAAGACATTAGTACTTCAGTAGAGCTGGATTTCCTGAAATTCCCTGTCATGTTTAACTGCTTGGCTTACAAGAAAACATATACATGAGACTGAACTCATAAGATTTGTGCTTTTCTGAATGTCAGTTTTTAAACAAACTTCTTAAAGTTTGTTTAAGTTGAAGAGGGCAAATCAGAGAGCCTCTTATAGATCGGGAAATTTTACTGGAGAATATTTATATGTCTTTCGCTTAACAAATTAAAAACTGAAGTTGAGGGCCTCCCTGGTGGCTCAGGCGGTTGAGCGCAGCGCTGTGAAGCAGTCCACAGTCTCTGCAGCACCGGTTCGATCCCCGCCGGCCGTGGAGATACCCACATGGCGAGCAGACCTCTCCTGCCTTGCCCCCTGCTCCCCTCAATAGTGTACATCAGTCAATGTTGTGTTCCCTGCCCTGTCTGGTGAATCCTCTCACCCTCCCGCAAATCTGGCCTATACCTGGTTCTTGTATAAATAAATAAATCTTTAAAAAAAAAACACTAAAGTTGATGTGTATTTAAGATTCATAAAATAAACATCTTTAAAATTGAAAATAAAAATAATCAGATATTAGAATTTTATACTAGTTGGTACAACCTGGTAGAAGCAATACAAGTTTTGATTTTATTATTGACAAGATATTAAAGATAAGAAAAAGTGTTTGAATCAAGAATGACTGTGCCTCACTCTTCTGATTGGGGGTTAGGAGAATATAATCGAAGTCCCTGTTTTTCCTTTAACTACCTTCAGGGACTAGACTGGGTCTGTTTGATGAATTAAATCCCTAGGTGGGAGATGAGAAGTGGGGAGGTGGGGAGGTGGGGAGGGTGGGAGGGAGAAAAAGAGGTGGGGAGAGGAGGAGGAGCAAGGAAGGGTGGAGGAGGAGCTAACAGAGAGGAGGTGGGGTGGAGATAGAGGTGGGATGTGCGAGGCAGGGAGCTGTGCTCCAACAGGAAGAAGGGCTATTATGCTCAAACTGTGGTTTGTTTCAATGAGTCCTGGGAATCCAACTATATCCCATGATTTCCCCACATTTGCAACTCTGCATCACGACATCCTACTCTTGGACATAATGGCTGGCAGCAGCTTCATGCAATTGCTCCACACCTCATTCAGGGAAGAAATGGCCAGAAGGTGAGGACTCAGCAACCCTGGGACCCTGGGCAGGAGAGTGAGGTTCAGTCAATCTGAGTACTAGCATTTTCTGACCACATGCATTCAAGACTCAATTAAAAAAGCTTCTCTTCCCTTTTAATATCTGGCATATAAAATTCTTTGTAAGAACAAAACTTCAAGGGGAGGAGGAGAGAACAGAAAGTGACCAGGAGCTGTTTGAGCAGGTCCTGAAGTCACTCTGCAAGGAGGCTTTAGTTCCTCCTTGACCACATACCTCACTGCAGAATAAATGTTCATTTGCTGAAAACAAGTCAATCAGGATTTCATTTTTCACAACTACTGGAGTCTGAAATAAAAAGAAAAAATATAAAATAAGATACTAGACATGTAGCTTAGTGCAATAAAGTTTCATCTGCCATGAACAGGCCAAGCTTTGCAATCAGAGGAATTAGAAGAATTAAAAAAATAATTATTCCACATGATCACCCTGTCAGAGCTATCAGTGATATTAATTTAATAATATAATGCATATAAAATACAGTATTTTAGCAAACAAAATGTTTTATGATTTATGCAGATAAACTTAGCATGCAAAGGCACACAAATGAAGTTTATAAAGTGATTTGAAATTTAAATGAGCCCCTCAAATTAAACCTGAAGCTTAGTTAACATCTGGTAACTGAAAAAATATCTTCATCTTGGATAAACATATTAGCTGTGACAGCTTTCTAAACTCTTGTCCAACTTGAAATCCTGTTATCTTAAAAAAAAAAAAAACTGGAGGGCTATTATTTAATTGGTCTCTATCATCTTTCAACATATTTAGATCAGCAAGGAATAAACCTAATAGGAAAAGTAAAACTTGTGACAGTTTTCAAATAATGATTACAATTCATAACTACCTTTAAGTAAGTACCAATATGCATTAAAATTATTTAGGGATAAACAAATATTGAAGTTTGAAAGATTAAACTGAATAGAGTCACCTGCTGACAAAGGAAAAGAAGGCACTGGCGGTTGACAGAAGATACGAGGTCTTTCTAGCAGTATTCTAGCATCCCCCCACCCCATTCCTGGACAAGCTAAACTTTCACATATGTTACATTTGTTCAACGTAATCAATGCTCAAAGGTTTGGCCACCAATATCTGGTCCTTAAAAGGCAGCAGATCTGAGTATTTCTCTGTGATCAGAGCTTGGGAAATGCCTTGGCTGGAATGATTGATGTTGACTCTGATATCTTAAATCCATGCTTAAGTTTTTTTTAAACTTAGTTTCTCTTTTATTGAACAGAAACATGTCTTCTGGCATTATCTTTTGCTTAGACTATTGTGCGGTATGTTTTTTAGTTGGACTATGCTATTTAAATAGCATAGTCACTAATAGTCAGTGATTCATTAAATCATTTTAATGGCTCAGGAACATATATATGTATAAAATATGTATATATGTGGAATAAGATAGACTAGAGTAGATCTCACATAGAACGGTGATTTATTGTTTTGTAATTTTTTCATTTGAACTTTACATTATATAGAGTCCATATTTAAGGTAAAATTTACTTATCACTGTGGACTTAGACATACAAAAATTGAAAACACTATTCTGAGACTTTGCTACTTCACTAGACTTTCAGATCTTACTGTTCTGGCCCATAGTCTAGCATGATGGATGGAGGGATCAAGTCAGAGCAGAGGGGGAGATATTGAGAAGGATGCAGCATTATGTCATCAGCTGTAACAAATACACTTATTTTTAGTATGAGTTTTTCTCTCAGAACTAAAGTATACTAAAAAAGAAAAGAAAATGACCCAAAACTTTTCTATTCTCTATTCTATTATTCAAGTTTACAAAAATTCCACTTCACAGACTTCATATCCTTTACCTGCACAGCATGCAATCTCTGCACTGACATTGAACAGAGCCTGAATATTATTACATTACACTAATATTATGTTATATTAACTTTGCAGAATTTACATTCTTCATGTCAAGGCTACCTAACATTATATATGTAATTTAAATGCATGGTTCACGCCTTTTCTTAAAAAAGTCTTAAACAAAGATTTATAAAGTCTTACAAATGATATTCAACAACTACCCCTATGGACAGAGATGTACCTTCTTATTTTCTCATTTTAATAAGTATTTTTGAATTTAGGATTATTTGATTTTTCCAAATAGTAACAGAAATTGGAAAATATGGTGGATAAACTGTATTTTCTAGCATTAGTAGCAGTGTTTATGAAAGCTAAACCTTTAAGGAATAAAATCACTGTGTAGAAACAAATTCAATGGACTCCACACAAATGAAAGGATCAAGTGCATCACAACCATTTGACTAGCACTAAGTAACTAATTTCGCCTGCAGGTTTTTATGTATTAAGTCAAAATAGTAAGAGATTCACGAAGGATAAAAAGGCATTAGTGATAATTAAACCCTGGGAAACACCAAATATATTCAGACTATCACAGTTATTAGGAAGATGCACCAGTGGGTCTAAAGTTTAAATGTACATAAAAACCATCTAAAATGAAGGTTTTCGGGCACCATCCTAGTCAATGAGATTCACATGGCTGGGTGTAGGGTCCAGAAATTAAAGTCCTTAGAAATGGGGTCCTTTGAAAATGTTTCATGAATCTCTGAAATAGATAGATCCCCATGCAAACCTCTTGAGCTGGAAAATTAATGTGAATTAACACTAAAAGGACCTTCACATTACGTAATTTCCTCCTAGGAAGCAGAAGAAAGTCTGTCAGATATTAAGGAGTAATTTTTCACAGGGAGAGGAGAAAACTCAAGCTTCTAAAGTAAATTTCAAAATTCTCTTGAAATCCAGTGCAAGAAATAGTCAAATACACTGATAAACATTTATTTCTAATTTAAATGCCCCCAAACATAGTTACTTATTTTTACTGAATACCTCAGAGGAAAAATTACCCTACATTGCTTTAAAAAAGCAAATTTTCATATCTAGGACATTCCATCCCATTGTTAATGTATATTTTGTTCAATAGTAAAAATATTTCTTACCCGATTAAATAGAAATTCCTGGGGACGTTTCCAGGAATAAACTTTCAGTGATGGTGGTAATTCAATCTTTCCTTCAGGGTCTTCAAACACATGCTATATAGAAAGTATATATAGATATATATTTTTTGTAGAAATAAAAATAACTCAGTACTAATTAAAATTAATCAATAAGTAGAGCATTGGTAAAGCAATTTGTGTTTGTTGTCAGAGCTAGTTCATGGAGTACTCGGAGAACACTGACATTAAAATTATATTTAATTAATTAAATTTTGATTTTTGAGGTGTGTTTTGATTGCAGAGGAAGCAATCTGCATCAGGTGCCTCGGTATGTGAATTAGGTATGGTAGGAAAACAATTTCGCATGGGCCCAAGGTGGCCAGATTTTTGACTGAAATGAAACTGTTTTATCTGAGTAGAGAAGACAGGAAAATCCTTAATTTTCAATTATTAGAGTCATAACCAGGATTATGTGTAAGGAAAATTTATACCTTTAATCTGACTGTTCCTGTTTCAATTAAACTTGTTATTTTAAGATAATTACTGCCTTTGTATGAAATAATACTGAGTTTCTGTGTTCTGTTTGGCCACCTTCTTTAACATCTTCCAAAACTATAGGACAATCACATAATCAAGACACAGGCACTCCATCAGCATGAGCATCCTTCCTGAGCCCTTTATAACGGCAATAACACCCCACCCCACCCCAGCCCCAGCTGTCACTACTTCATCCACCCACTGAAAGACATCTCGGTTGTTTCCAGGTTGGCACTATTACTAATAAAGTTGTTAAAATATTTATTTGTGTCTTCATAAATTTCCATTTCTCTGGGATAAGTTCCCAAAGATATAATACATTCATTAATTTTTGAACCCATGGTATGGGTTAATTAATGAGGTCTGGAGAAAATAATGATATCCAAATTTCTACTCTGAAATGATGCTAGCAGTATAGCAAACTAGAAAGTCATCAGGTGGCTACTATGTAAAGGCTCTCGCTACTCAGAAGGGAGAAGAGAGAAAAGATCCTTATAAAAAAAAAAAAAAAAAACAGAAAAATTGTCAGGAGTACAAATAAAATGCTTGAAGAGTATAAAATATCTGTATGGAGGGGGGACTAAATTTCACTTGAGTGAAAAAGTCTACACAGTCTTGTCACAGGGACTGACAAAGGTATATTTGCAAGCTCGAGTCTCTAAAGAACATTATATCCTATTTTGATCAAACACATACATTCTTCCCTGCTCCTTTGTATCTTCAGACTTTGGAGTGACTCATCTCTAGATCTTTCGCAAGGTTCAACTGCTCAGCTGAGGATAAGCACAATCTATCTTCCTGAAGCAAAGTCACACAGTCCCGTAAGTTTTGAATTACTGATAAAAATATGTAGAAATGTGACCCTTTCCATTTGAATTTAAAAAACCCTTTGTATGTAAAAGTTCCATAATCACCCTCAACACAGTACAAAGAATGCATTCCCTCACACATTTTAACTTGAAATTGTTCAAGTACTAAGAGTTAGCAGCTATTCATATTTATTGAATATCTTTTGTAAACAAATTACTGATATGAATCACAGAGTTTGTGATCCTGAATTTCACAAAAGCAATGTTTCAAAATGCAAATGTTAATAAGTACATTGCAGACTTCTCTATGCAAACTAAGACACCAGAGTTCAACTTCGCCTTTTCAACAGTTTTGTTTGCATTTTGAAAATTCTATTACGTTCTATAAACATTTCTGTTAAATGAATTGCTGTACTAAAGAGGTCACATCTAGAATGCAACCAATACCCAGAGTGTCCACAAATAAGTCTTCAGAAACAGAGCAAACATTTTTAAATTGGCAAAAGAACCTAAAATAATATAACTGAAAAAATGTGAGATGTGGGAAGCCCATTGGCAGGTCCAATCTTGAGGACATATGATGTCTAAATGGCCTCAGGTAAACAAAGAGTAACTGAGATCTCTACCCACACATCTCAGGGAGGGGAATATCAAGAGGGATTCTAATCTTATCTTACAGAAACATCTCTTTTTAAAAATCTTCTTTCCTATTATCTCCAATAACAATCCAATGTTGAATTCTCTCATTTTCAAAATCACCATCTGTAAATGTCTGGTACGCAAGTCTGTTTAAAATCCTCATAATAACCTGTTCTGTCAATTTCCCTTTTCTTCAATTATGACCACTTTCATTTACCCAAGCGTGATTCACCAAAGCTCAGGACTGGAGCTTGAAAGACAAGGCAGGAGGGAGGAGGTCAGGTGCACGTAGACACAAATTCTTTTTTGAATGAAGAGTATGGGGAAGAGTAGGCAGGCTCACAGGTAACAAATACTATTCCATTATAAAACTACCAACCAAAATAAAATCTAGTCACTTTCAAATCTACTTACAAATACAGGGCTTTTTCCACTTTTGTCCTTTTCTTTTCCACTTTTGCCTGCGTCCCACTTTTCTGCATTTATGTCTGCTTCATTCCACTCTGGCCAGATTGGGAATTTGCCCTTCTTCTGTTCAGCAGAACTCGATTGGACGTTACCGCCAAAAGTGTAAAGACTGAAGACAGAGGAAGTGGTGGGTTAATTATAATTTAAATCCCTGAGATAAAATATCAGATTGATTGCATGACATTAAGTTCAAAAGTCATGTTAAATTGAGCTTTCAAAGTAAAAAATCAAAATCAACAAACAGGGCCTCCCCGGTGGCGCAGTGGTTGAGTGCTGGGTTGCGAAGCTGCCTGCAGCCTCTGCAGTGCCGGTTCGATCCCCAGCCACCAGCAAGGGTCCCACATGGCTCACAGACCTCTCCTGCCGCCTGCTGCTCCCCTCAGCAGTGTGCTTTGGTCCTTCTGCCTGCTCTGCTCCCCGCTCTGGCTCTGGTGAATTCTCTCACCTCCCGCACTTCTGACTGTACCCAGTGCTTGTATAAATAAATAAATAAATCTTAAAAAAAAATACTTATAAAAAAAAAACAAAAACAAAATCAACAACTATGAACCAGAGACACCTATGGGGGGTGGGAGCGGGGAAAGGAGGGATTGGGGTCAAAATAAGGGGGTTTCAATTGTATGGGGAATATAAAAATAAAATTTAAATTTAAAAAAAAAACTGAGCTTTCAATACAGTCATTCCAGGATTTGAAAAAAAGGTTCAGCATCAGAATCGGGATTCTTTTTATTTAGGCAGACACCAGAGAAAAGCAAGTTTTCTCTTCAACTTTCTCCACATTTTCTCATTCAATTTTGAAAAGAGAATTAAACTTTGGAAAGCCACAGCTGTATCTAAAGTGGCAACACTTCCTTTCCTTATCTAGTCTTAAGACCTTATCCTTTATATGTTAAAACAAAAGATTCTAATTTCATAAGACCGAAAAGCCTTCTCTAGGGAAGCATTAGAGGCCCAGCACTCTAACCTTCATTTACTATTTTCATTTTTGGATCCTGAAGATTTTTACTTATCTACATAGACATTAGAGGCACTTTTAAAATCTTAATCTACCATCATCGTGCTGGAAAAGAAAGTCCAAGAATTACAAAGGAGTGTTCCTAAGTTATGTAAGAAAACACAAGAGACACGAATAATTAGAACAGATTTTAGGGGGACAAGGTCACATTTCCACAATAGTAATAGACATCAAAATGATGAAAAAAAAAAAACAACCCTCATTCTGGAAATTCAAAATCTTAAAAACTAATTTTGTAAAAGGAAAATCTAATTTCATAAAATAAGAACCCTACGAGATCATGTTTTGCTTTCCTTTTCATTCTGTCAAGTGCAAGGAAATGTTCAGCTCCTTCCTTAAGCTGTGAAGCTTTATCACTAGCTTATAAATATATAAACTTTATCACTAGCTTTATCACTAACTATACTTTCCTTGCGGCACATCAACTATATTGCCCTCTATATTGACGATTACTTGAAAAGACTCTCATTAGAAGTATCTTCTACCAGCCCAGTGACTTACCTATAGTGCTACACACAACATAAATGATGCCCAACACTCTCCAGTGTCAAACACACTGCAGACTTTTCAAATGGGATTTTTGAAACTCTCCGCACAGCATGTTCACATGTGCGCCTACCCTAGCATAGCTGGCATTCTTTAAATGGTCTAAGACCATTATTCCAAGTGTCATCAATTCTTAAACCAAGATCATCTTTAAATATAAAAGTGGGCCTCTCTGGTGGCACAGTGGGTTAAGCGTCACCCTGTGAAGCTGTCTGCAGCCTCTGCAGCTAGGGTTCGATTCCCAACCATCCAGGGAGAAACCCACATGGCGCGGTAGACCTCTCCTGTCTCGCCTGCTGCTCCCCTCAGCAGTGTTTTCGGTCATCTGCCTGTTCTGCTCCCTGCTCTGTCTCTAGTGAATTCTCTCACCCTCCCACGCCACTGGCCTGTACCCCAGTTCTTGTATAAATAAATAAATCTTTAAAATAAATAAATAAATACAAAAGTAACCCAGGACTTTTAAAGATCTGGAAACTGCAACTACCAGGAGACAGATGTTGTGAAATTTTGGAAATTTCAAACATGCAAAGAAACCAAAATTGCCACATTGAAATATCAGGGGTACTTTCAGAGTTACTCAATTCACATAACAGGTTCTAGTTTACAATTTAGTTCACAAACCTAGGTACTAGTTAATTATTCAATTCATTCCAAATTGGAGGTTGTATAAAAGAGTTCAACGATAAACAATCTCTAAGTATATGTTCAATGTTCTCTTCCCATATGGTGTGTCCAAATATATTACTCAGATAGGTGAGTGCCTCTGATCCTTTTAGGAGAAGCTAGAAACATGTGTGCAATCTCAGTTTGTGGCAATTCATTATTTTGTAAATATTTAAAGCCATTGGGCAATGTTTATATTATAAAATCTGTATATTCCAAATGCCAAGTGATATTCCAAAGAACAATGATATTTGGAGGGAGGAAAATTTTCAAATAGCCAAGCAAGACATTTATCTCCAGAAATAGATATGATGAAGGTGCTCCTGGGGGAGAGAGAGGAAGCATAAAGAAAGCAAATTATTGACAGATCAAGTCAGACAGAATAGTTTGATATGAGGATGGTACATATCAAGTAAACGACAAATACAATGATGCTAAGATGATTATATAAAGAAATAAATATAAAATATATTTATATGTACATATTCAAAATATACATATATTGAGATGAACTGACCATTGCTAAGAGGCACTGAAAAATGTCAGTGTAATTACAGAAAGAATTTGTGGTGATGTACATGGCCTGGAATAATGGAATTGGACTTGAACATGGTTATCCAAGCTTAAACCTTTATATGTCTATTTTGGGAAAAAAAGTTGAATTTTCCCTATAAATTTCAGAAGAACAGAAAGAGGCTGCGGGAATGAGCAACTGACTTGCTGAGGAAAATAAAAATCCTCCAATCTTCAAATCAAGACCCTAATTAAACTCTTATTTCAAAAGTGAAATGGAAACATTACATTTATAAAAGCATTTAAAAACTGAGTTTACCATCATAGCTTCTTTAAAAAAAAGAAAAGAAAAAGAAATTATTGAAGAATTTATCTCAGGAATGAAAATGTAGGATACAAATAGCAATTCTAAACAAATGAGACAACTGTGGAAAATCTTGGTTTTTTTTTTTAATTTTTTAAAAAAATTATTTTTGTATAGAGGACCTGGCCAGAGGTGTGGGTGTGTGAGAGAATTCACCAGAGACAGAGTGGGGAGCAGAACAGGCAGACTGACTGAAACACACTGCTTAGGGGAGCAGCGGGACCAGACAGGAGAAGTCTTCTGTACCATGTGGGTCAGCTCCCCAGCCAGGGATTGAACTCAAGCCTCAGTGGTGATAGTGCTGAGACTAATTCCCAGGCTAGCAGAGAGGCCCAATTTTGGTAAAATCTTAAAAACTATATTCTGTAAGTAAGAAAAATAAAAGCATTGTCAAAAATAAAAGATGAGAAAAAGAATTCTGAGGGTCACAGTGTTTTTTCTTTAGGAATAATATTGAGTAATTCTAGACTTTGAAAGTATTTAAAGATAAATACGTATTTTTAAAAGTTAATATTGTCTTAGTTCAAGCTGTTGTGGCAAAGTTAATAGCGTAGGTAACTGATAAGCAATAGAAACATATTTCTCACAGTTCTGAAAATCTGACATCATGGTACCTGCCTGGACAGGTTCTGGTGAGGGCCCACTTCTGGGCTGCCGATGGCCGATTTCTCCTGGTGTCCTCACTGGGTGGAAAGAGAACTGTCTGGCTCCCTGGCTTCCTCTCATAATATAGGGCACTAATCCCACTCACGAGGGCTCTATGCTCATGACCTCACAACCTCCTCAAAGCCCCAGCTCTCAGTACCACCACACTAGGATGAGAATTTCAAAATATAGAATGGAGTGGGGTGGGGTGGGGGTGCTCCACATACTGTGAGTCCATTGCGAGGATGGTCTGAGAAATCCAATACAAGACTTCCAAAACACGAGAGAACAGGAGGAATGGGTTTGACACTAGAAACAACTCACCGGAAACTCTGGCTTGACTGGAAGGGAAATTAGTGAGTGGAATTCCGTTAATTAGAGTCAAATTAACCAATATATCTGGAAACTAAAGAATTTTAGAAAAACACCACTTCAGAATGACAAAGGAATCTCATGCAGTCAACAGTTCACTTATTTTTAACTAACATGTACTGAACACCTGCTCAGTGACAAGCCCTGTGCCAGATGATGGGGTTGCAGGCTCAGAATACAGATCTCTGCACTTGAGTTTATTTTAGAATGCAACAGAAACTTTCGATATAATTTGGTATCTGTATAGAAAGAACTATTCACACGTGGTCAAAGGGGGACATTTTGCCCAAAGTGAAGCAACTAGGAGAAATCTGAGCTGTCTTGAAGGGAACCTATCAATAGATTTTTTTCCAGTTTGAAAAAGGTGAAAGGGCATCACCAAGAAGAAAGGACTATATGGAAGACAATGTCAGGCAAAACATAGCAGACTCGGGGCAGAAAACATGAACTCTTCAGTGTATTGGTATAGATGGGAGGGGGAGGTAATCAGGTGGAAGGAAACACAGGGACACAGGTAGCACCGCAGGGAGTGCCTCACTGGGGAACTTGAACTTCAGTTCTTACAGCGCTGACTTTGCCTGTTCTACAGGGACACTTACTCATAATGGACCACTAGTTTAAAATAGAAAGCATGAGAAACACTCAAGCTGTTGCACAACTTAAAAACGAACACAGAGCCTATGACTGTGAATACCTGATAGAATATAATTTTCCTCGGATCTGGACATTTCATTCTTTTCATTTGTGTGAAACTGGTAGTAATCTCCTCACTCTTTTCTGATTTTAGTAATTTACATCTCTCTCATTTAGCTAAACTTTTGTCAACTTGCTGATCTTTACAAAGAACCAAATTTCAGGTCCATTAATTTCCTCTATTGTTTTTCCACTATATTGTTAATTTCTGTTCTAATCTTTGTTATTTCTTTCCATCTGCTAGCTTTGGTTTACGAACTGGAAAGAATAGGACTAGTCCTGAGCCTGTATGAGTCTT